TTAGTGAGGTCCTTGAGGCTAAAGCTCATCCTCTTTAAGGTTTCGGAGTGCATCACCTCCGAAGAACCCCCGAAATCTACCAACATCCTCTTAACATCGAACTTGCCTATTTTCAGAGTTATGATTAGGGCGTTGTTATGGGGAGTCACTATGCCTGCCAAGTCCGCGTCAGAAATGTGATACCTGGCTCGCCAGTCCTGGCCCTCTTGCTGGGCGGGCCCCATTGCTCTCGGCAACCTTTCTCGTAAGGGCTACCCTCTTGAGATCGGACTCAAGCTCCTTGGACGTCGGGCGATCTAGTGGACACACGTGGATTACGTCTATGACGTTGTCTTGCGCCACGGTCGGGGCAGAGGCATGTCCCTCCTCCAACTTGGGTTCGATGTACTCTTTCAAGTAACCGTCCTGGACCAGCCTTTCTAAAAAAGATTTGTACACTCTACAATATTCAGTGTGATGGCCGAAATCCCGGTGATAGGAGCACTTCACTTTTTGATCACAGGTGGAAGGATCATTCTGCGTCCTAGGCGACCACTTGAAGAATGGCTCATGTTTGATTTTATAGAGCAACTTGTAGATGGATTCATTGAACACAGTGTGAACACCCTTAAATGCCCCTCCTAGAGGGGGTACTAGCCCTTTTCGGGAGATGTCCTTCTGCTCCCTCTCTTTTCTCCTAGGGGCGAGAATTTTACTTTTGTCGCCCCCTATTTCATCTTCAATCTTGGAGTATTTGTTTATCTGGGCCATCAATTCGCCCATATCTAAGGGAGTCCTCTTGATCAAGGATCGGTACAGGTCCGTGTCTCTTGCCAGGCCGAGCCTAAAGGATGTGGCTGCCATGACTTTCAAACACCCCTCTACCTCATTGACCTCCTTCCAGTACAGGATGGCGTACTAGCAAAGGGTTTCCTGTTCCCTCTGCCTGAGTGTCAATAATGATCTAATATCTTTGAGCCGCTTACTCCCTGTTATGAATCGAGCTAAAAACTGCCTCGTCAACTCCTTCCATGACCCAATGTTGTTGGGAGAAAGAGTCTCGAACCACTTCATAGCAGAATCCCAAACTCATGGAGAACACTCGGCAGAGGAGCCATTGTTCCGAGTGATACAGGGACATCATTTGTTTGTATTGCCTAAAGTGAGCTTCGGGATCAGATCACCCATCATAAGTTTTGAACATTGGCACGATAAACTTATTTGGTACCTCTATCTCTCGGATATCCCTAGTAAAAAGAGATTGCATGGCCTCGTCTTCTACATAGTCCTGGACAGTCTTGCCCTTTCTTCTGGATTTCAGTCGAGCTCCGAGATCAGTTTCCACCTCAGGAGGATGCCCTTTGAGGTTTCTAAGGTCATTGAAGGGATTCCCCTTCTCCAGGTGTCGCGTGGAAAATGTTGAATTCTCCTCGGACTCATCCCCCTTCCCGCGCCTTGACAGTCCTCGCCAAAAGCCTTGCCTTCCTGGAATGACCATCGAGGGGATGTCCATTGGCTCTCGGGCGCTTTGGGACTCTAGAACTTTTAGCTTTGTCGTTTAAATGATTCCTCAGGTCCTCAAATTTTACTTCCCAGACGAAGCGTCCGCGGGAACGGAATGAGTTCCTCGATCCTTTGCCGGGGGTTGCAAATTCGTTCAGCTGGCTTAGTACATTCACATTATCTTTTTCTAACTGCCGTAGTCGATCCCCAAATTTTTTTTTGATAACTTCCGCCAGTTGACGAGCCAAGGGAGCGGATCCTCCTGACCCAATGCCCATACTAGTTTGAGGAGTATGCTCTCTTGACTGAATAGAAACGTTCCTGTTGTCACCAGCGTGATCCCTCCCCCCATCATGATAAGGAGCTTGTAACTTGAGACTTCTTTGCTAGGGACCTTTCCTTTTTTGTCGAGTATTCACCATGGTCACTGTCCTTTCTAGAAAAGAAACTAGGAAAACTAGTCGTTTTTCACAGACGGAGCCAGATTGTGCGTGCACGATCTTGCACAATATAAACACAAAAATAGATCTCTTCCGTGGTGAACACGAGTCCGTCAATCGAGTGATCAATCTTACTAGTTACAACAGGTTGTAAGGGCCGGAGGTGGCCTGAGAAATGGTAATGAATAGTTCCTGTGGGTCACCAGATTGGTCCTGTGAGGCAAAGAGAGGTTCCTAAAACAGAGAAAGATAGGTTAGAAGGGCGCTAGAGTATTTTTCGACGATCAAGTCAGTTTCTTGATAGAGGAGAAAAAGAAAATATTGTATGATGCTTGAGAAAGGGTTTTTTGCGTACCTCATTAATGTGTTTGTGAAGATTATTTATACCTTACAAAACTCATTATTTCTGACAACGTAGCTAGTAGGTAAGCATTCGAGGTGGACAATGTGCACACTAATTTCTATGAGAAATGTTCTCATTTATAACTGTTCAGGACCTCGAACAACTAATGTTTTCTCCTCAACCTGCCAAGCGTTTAATGACCTTCTCTCGACAGGGAGGTATTAAATGTCCAGGCATAGGAACATTCATTACCTTTCGCTTCTAGGCTCTTATGTATTAAATGTTGTCTCATCAAGGGAAGGATGCATTAAATACCTGTTCTCCCAAGTCGTGTATCAGCTAAGGCATTCTGGTCTTTTTGTCTCCGATCTGACACAATATGTCACGTGCCCATCCCCCTTTGGTTGAGCTTTCTGGTTTCTTATGCCTCCTGACACCATTTGAGTAAGATGATGTCATTATGGCTAGTCTAGCATAGTCTAGGTTAGTGATCTGTTCATCAATAACCCCTATAGGAGCAGAAACGCCCATGTAGACAGACACACCTCTGTGCCGAGGGACTAGAATGATTAGGACCGACATACCCAAACTGTCGAGGAATACATGTCGGTCCATGGCGTATTGGGGATCCTTGGTCCTTGTGAATAGTATCCTCGGGGCAGGGGGTTGTAAACCGATGAAAACGTGTCGGTCCATGGCGTGTTGGGGATCCTTTGTCCCTGTAAATAGTATCCTCGAGGCAAGGGGTTGTAAACCGATAAAGACGTGTCGGGAACACAACGAAAAGTCTCCATTGATGCCAAATACACATGTCGTCATCTAGGAGTGTCTGAAAATGTCTCATCAGGATCTACAGTGAAATCAATTATTGTAATTATCAAATCTATTTTTTAAGTTCATGCATATAATTCCAAATCAAAAATTAAAATTGTTTCAAAAATATTTTGATTTACAAAGAGATCGAATTATTGATTGAATCAAAATTATGATGTTCTGAGGTATTTTAGAATGTTGCGAGGTGCTTTGAAATATTTTGGTATGTTATTACCAATATTTTAGATATATTTTGAGGTGTTTCAAGATATTTTTAAGATATTTTGACTAATATTTTAAAAATAAATTCTCAATTTTTTAATTTATTTTTGAAATATTTTTAAAATATTTTTTTATTTTTTAGGTGACCCAAGCAAATACATTGCAACAAAATGTTGGTCCTTGTTCCAAACTGACATTTCAGAATAATCACATAAGACTCAAAAAATGTCGCGGCCAATTTGTGTGAAAGTTTTGGACACCATTGACAGATAATTATCCGTAGGACAAAATCATCACTATCTCCAAAGCAATTGCAAAGTAAACTACTATTCTCCTACTATCTTAACGCTGTGGTTGGCATGTGAAAATGTTTTTAAGTGAAAATAAAATAAATATGTAAATAAAATGAATTTTGACAAAGATTGATATATTTAATCACATTCTGGATTGATGACAAGTTATCAAAAAAATTTGATAAAAACAATTATTATAAATCATCACAAAATTTATAGATTTTTTTATTATAAAATAATCCATAAAAATAATAAAAATATTAATTAAAATTATAAATTTTAAAGATACAATACTAAATTTATTTTTGAAATACTTTAATCTTATCCGAAAATAAAACAAAAAAACCAAAACACAGAACCACATTTGCCTTATCATTTTCATCGAGGTGTGAAAACGGAGGCATGCATTAGAAAAGGACAAAACTTTATTAATTCGAAAAGCTGACAGAGACTGCTTATCTGAGGCAGCCAAACAAAATCCTTACCCAATCCCTTGTTGCCACATCAAACTCCACTCTCTGACACAGTTGCGGGTAGATTTGAGAAGGGAGGGATTTGGAATTTGGGTCCTTCTACTATTTATTCCCTTAAATTTCTATTAATACAATGTTAAATGAATAATTCTTTCGTTTTTAAACATTTGTTATTTTACATAATTTTTTTTATTTCATAATATCTATTATTTTTTAATCATATTACAACTATTTAATAGTTTCTTTAATTCCTGTGTAAAAACCTTAAACGAAAGATATTTAAGAACGGAGGGAATAACTATTATTAAAGAATTTTCTCACAAGAAAAAAATCTTCTCTATTAAAATTTAAAATCTTACACACGTCACTTATCTAGCACTGTATTAAAGAAAATTAAAGAGGATAGATAATGGAGGGGATTTAAATCTTGAAGAGAGTTGTCTATGGTACAAAAAAAAATCGATTTTGTATCCATATATATCAGTATTTTTGTAATTATTATAGTACATAAAAAATGATAAAAATATTTATTAAATCATTGATAAAAATACTCATAATAATAATAGATATATTCACAATAGTAATAAATTACCCACAAAAGTGATAAATTTTATAATTATAAAACAACTCATAAAAATTATAAAGCATTAATTTAAGTAATAAATTTTTGAGATATGATACTAATTTTTTTTTTTTTTTTTTTTGGTATGGTATTGAAATCCTTGGAGAAGTTATCAAAATTTATAAAAGTAGTTCAGTTGTTGAGTCTGTTATTTAGTAATAAGAATTCTTTAATTCAATTCTGTCTCACATTTTTTAAATATTAATCACTATTATCTGTTTGGAAAAGAAAAAGAAATCTTGGCCTGGGCATCTATATAGTCGCATAGAGGGTCACCTGTTTTTGGCAAAGAGTGACCATCAAAGTGAGGCCACACAAAAAGTGAGTGCTTCTGTTCAGCTCCTCCTCTCTTCTCTGACCATCCCGCTTCTCATACCCCTTTCTGTCATCGTCTGTCTTTCACACTAACAATTTTGAGGGTTTGTTTTTCTTGATTTTGAACATATTAAGCACAATACAAGCAAACCCATAAGGGTGTTTTTGAAAGCCAGGTGATTTTCAGAATAGAGATCCAAGTTTTTTCTTTTTTCCTTTCTCTTTCCTTTTTGGTGTATTTTCTTTTTCAAAATAACTAAAGAGGGCTTGTTTTTCTATCCCTCAAGGTTTATTTTGGTTTTTTTTGTAAAAACTTGGACAAGGACAAAAAAAAGGGTCCTTTATTTATCCAGTCTTTTTGATCCTGCTGTGTAGAAAACTTGCTTTCGATTTTGATATAAGAAACAGGCTGGTTTTTAGAACCTTTTTTTTTCCCTTGATTTTCAGATCTCTTTCTTGCTCTTTTTTTGGTTACTTTCTCTTTTTACATAATATATTGTGTGAATTCTGCTTTTTTGTTAACTTTGTTGAGAAGTCATGGCAGCAGCTATAGATAAATGCAGTAGCAGCAGTAAATTTTTCTCAGATCCTTTCAATGAAGAGCTTATACAAGCACTTGAACCTTTTATGAAAGGTGCTTCCTTTTCTTCTTCATCAACCAATACCTCTTCTTGCTCTCTCTCTCCTCCCTCTGTTTCTTCTTCTTTGGATTATCCTTTTCAGCCTTCTTATAACTGTTCTTCTCTCTCTTCAGAGCCCAATATGTACCCTGATATGAGCTCATCCCCATCGAAAACCCATCTGTTTTCTCAAGGGTTTTCGAGTTTGAACCAAATGGGTGTTGATCAAACAGGTTCAATTGGGCTCAACCATCTCACCCCATCTCAAATCCTTCAAATCCAAGCTCAAATCCACCTCCAACAACAACAGAACCACTACTTTGCTTCATTATCAGTAGCCTCATCACTCCACCACCAAACCTCCATGCAATGTCAAACACCACGCTATAGCATCCTTGGCACAAAACCTGTACCCATGAAGCAAGTTGGAAATCCGCCGAAGCCAGTGAAGCTTTTCCGGGGAGTGAGACAGCGGCGTTGGGGCAAATGGGTCGCCGAGATCAGACTTCCTAGGAATCGAACTCGGCTATGGCTTGGCACCTTTGACACAGCCGAAGAAGCGGCCTTGGCTTACGACAAGGCTGCTTATAAGCTGAGGGGAGAGTTTGCTCGGCTCAATTTTCCACAACTTAAACCTCAAGGAGGCTATGAGTTTTCCGATTACAAGCCTCTCAATTCCTCCATTGTGGCGAAGCTTGAAGCAATTTGCCAAAGCTTGACTAATTCTCAGAAACAGAGGAATTCCAGGAAGTCTAGTTTGGTCTCTGGGGCAAAAACGCAAACAGGTGTTCGACAGTTGCGAAATGTGTTTGATGATTCACTGAACGCTGAATTGAGCTATCAGGTACCACCGGAGAATATCAAGGTGGAGGCTTTTTCGTCGCAATCTTCCTCAGACGAGCAGTCAGCGGCCATGTCTTCGCCGGAATCTGATATTACATTCCTGGATTTCCCAGAGCCTTCATTTGATGAGTCAGAGACCTTCATGTTGGAGAAGTGCCCTTCAGTGGAGATAGATTGGGCAGCTCTTTAGTTTTCTTAATTTCCTAAGATTATCGTGTAATAATCTGTGTTTTCTGTAGCTTTTAAGGTGGCTGTTTCTAGGTTTGGTGAATAATTTGTAACTTTAGGTTCACTGTGGTGTCTAGTGTCCCTCTGCAATGGGTTTTTTAACATAGCGGAGAAGTGTCAAATGAAAGTCTGATAAGTCTGCATATATCTGACTTTTTTTGGACTATCGTACATTAGGTATGCTCTTTAGGAGTGTCAAGTAAAAGTTTGAAAGTCATTAGAGGGAATGAAGTAGTATTTGTTGATGTGTAAGCTTAGGTTTTCTCCATCTTAGGTCTTGCTGGTGTTTTTTTTTTTTTTTTTTTCTATGCATGACCAAGGGAGAATTTGGAGTTGTGTGCTTGTTGGATTTGTAGCTGGATGTAATTAAACAATCTTTAATGTATAATCTATTTGTTTCCATAGGGCTAGTGTTTCTCTATTTTTATGTTGTCCTTGGCATAACATGGTTGAATCCTCAAAGGATCTTGACCAAGACGTTCGAGACATCTACAAGTTAATCCTACCAAAAATTAGTAGCTCAAAACTTGGTGGCTAGAATAGGGTTTAGATTTAGTGGTTGAAATGGTATGGCCTTCAACATCTCATGATACATTTGCATCTTAAAAATTGGAAGTAATTGCAAAAAAATCTCCTTGAAGTTACCAATGTGATATTCAAGAAACATGTCCTTTGGGACTTTTAAATTTGGTTAAAGATTTAGGAGTTGTTTGTCTTTTGGTCCATGGTATATGGAGAGGTTGATGCCTTAATTACAAAATTACTCATATACTTGAGTGTCAATACAGCATAGAGATAACGGCATTTAGCCCCTGCAAAACTTGTTCCTTTGTTGACGATTTGTCGAAGGTCAAATTGATTTCCAATTACCTTTCGAAAAGTAAATTGATTTCCAATTGCACTTTACCCCTTGAAATATTTTAATTTTTTTAGTTTGTATCCTAAAATATTAAATTTTTTACATTACACTCTCAATGTATTAAATACGTTGTAATGTGACCTTTCTATTAGTTTTTTGTTAGTTTTTTCGTCAGTATCAATGTATTGACTTTTGACAGAAAAAAAATAATAAAAACTAACAAAAAGATTTTATTGCAACAATTTTGATACATTGCAGGTGCAATGTAAAACATTAGTATAGTCTAAATTTAGAAAAATTAGAGGAAAAATTATAAATGAAAAAAAGAGAAGTATTGATCTGGGATTGCTTTCCACTTGAGGTTACAAGAAATGGTATTGAGACTTAAAAATTTAATTGAAATTGTTGACCTAATGATGTACTAACCGACGTAATCCACTAAAATCATTGTAACTACAACAGTTGGATTTCTTTATTGAATTATATTACTAGACACATCCTTAAGGTAACAAATTAAAACAAAATTTTAAATCAAGAAAATATTACTCAGCAAAACATTTCACTGGACTTGAATCACAGGTGGCAGCAGCAAAACCAGTGATGGTGCTACTACAAGATTTGCAAATAAGATGCACATTTATCTTATCTCTTGAGTGCTGAGAGAAGAGGAATTTGGAAGCCACCACCGTCCCTTGAGATCAAAGTAATCCAAGATTCTTATTCTTTCTTCTCAGCATGCAAAGACAAGTTCATACTGCAAAACAAATGAAGAAAGAATATAACCCATTAGTAGCCCGGTGATAGGGTTTCGACAGTATATTCTCAAGGTGCTAAGTTTAAGTTTGACGAGAGACATTTTGATTGATTCGATACACATGATCTGTATCTGATTATATGTATCTTGAATTTTTGTAACACCTTTAATTTTTTAAGTCAAAAGAATTTGTATTGAAACCGTTCTCAGATATTAAGACGATATTGAAGAAAAGTGAATGTGTTTGAAAAGTTATCCTTAACCCCAACGGCTAACTCATGTAATAACAACAACGAGTTGTAAATCCAGACATCATGAGTTCAAATCTTGACAACCCCTTGAGGCCAAAACATTAAGGGTGTATCCTTCATGAATATTCTAATTCTGATATGGATGGATCGTCTTTGACCGAACTGAAAAAGAGATAATTGAGATACGCGTAAATTAACCCGAACACTTTTGAAGATTGAACCAAAAAAAAAACCTCTCCTTGGGCTGGGCCATCAGGAATCCTTACAAAGCTGACAATGGGAATTCTTCCATCTTTTTTATGTCTCCTTTGGATCATGCATTATAACCTTATATTTTGGGGTTCTCTTTACCATTAGATATGTTCAAGGAAAAGAAATCAATAGGGGCCAAAAGGGGTGTGAATGGGTGAAATTTTGTACCCTAAAGTTATTCTTTGGAGATAAAGAAAGGTCAGGAATCAAGTAGATCATTCTACTTTACAGGTTTTGATGAGGTGGCCTGTGGGTGCTTTGGCCCCAAATATCAGCCAAGAATCTCATTATTCATTTAATCTACTGATATAGATAGTTTTTGGGTAAAATGGTATTTTACATGTTAAAAGGTTTTCTAGTTTTTAGTCTATATTTTAAAAGATTAAAATTTTTAGATTGTACGGTTAATCGAATAAAAAGGGACCAATGTAGTACAAAATTGCATGTCTATTGTTTTGTACAACAATCTTTTTGCTATAGTTTTTATATTTTCTTGTTTATGTACTCAATTATTTGTATAATACTCAATTATATATATTTTATACTTATTTTAATAAAACATATTACATACTTATCTTTTAATGTGATTGAGGGAGCAATATAGAAATATTTCTCTTTTAGGATATAAATTAAGAATTTGATGATTTATTGGTGAGTAAAGTATCATTCGTTCATAGCTTTTTAATGTTCCTAGGCCAAGGTTTACAGTGTGTGGAAAATGTACATCTAGGCTTCCATGACCAACAATTTTTTTCTTTCTTGGGCAAGAGGAATTGTAATGTAGAATTAATGGTTGTAATAGAAATCTCAGATGTATGTAATTACCCTCTAAACATGCTTCAATTAAATTTGAGAGTTTGCATGTAGTTAGAGAAACATGAACTAAGGAGGAATTGATTTACCCCTTCAAACATGAACATGAATATGAACTCGACAACTGAACATGAACTTGGATGTATGTAATTACCCTCTAAATATGAACATGAACATGAACTTGCTTGACAACTGAACAACGCACTTAACCCAAATTGCTTAAGCGGATACCATGCTACTACAGGCAACGTGTCCGACCTCCATTGCATGCCACACAACTCAGAATTCGCATTTTTACTTGACAATATTATCGCTCTTCATCCAAATGAAAATAGATCACCACTAGGTTTAGATTCATTTTTTGTGTCAATTAATCAGGTTAGTACTGAAATCTAGCTTTGGAAGGATAACTACGTGCCAAAAAAACTACATGAAGTTACAAATCTGTTATTCTACAAACATCATCTGTCCTTTGGGTCTTTGAGATTTGGGTAAAGTTTTAGGAAGTGTTATCATTTGTTGTTGGAAAGACATGAATTGAACCGGAGCTTAATCTTATTATCTACCTAGTTTTCTTGGGACGCTGCATAACGGCTCAACAATTCGCCACCAACTACTTAACATATTTTTATCGGGACTTTTTCACTATTTCTATATTTACTTTAGGTGCACTTACATTTGATGCCTTAGTTTGAAAATTACTCATATACTTGAGTACCAATACAACATAGAGACAATCAATGGCTTTTAGCCCCCACAAAACTTGTTTATTTGTTGAAATTTTTGAAGGTTACATCAGTTTCTGAAACTTAAAATTTTAACTTAATTTGTTGAATTAATAACACGACAATGAATGTGATCCACCAAAAGGTATTAGAAAGACAAGGAAAGTAAGTAGTTCACTGAGTTGAAGAGTTAGATTAATCTATTTTAATGGAGTCTCTTACTTTCTAGTTTATATTACTTTGAGAAGAAGACTGTTATAATTTTTTGGAGGATATAATTGGACACGGTTCTTTGATAGGCAAATGTTTGCCTATTTATACCCTAAGGTAGTATGGTCCTCAAACAATGATGGGGTGGTCTCTTAGTTTATTAGGATTTGAGAGTGAATATTTAGTTGTTAAAGGCTACATTCGTTAGGTGTGACGTGACACTCTAGAAGATAATGATATGTCATTCTAGTGATAGATTCTCTATTCCCTAAATAAGATTTGACGACGCGATATCTCTTTTTTATCCTTTTTGCCAATGTGGAATGAGTTGTTTTCAAATAAACTGAACTAGTTTGATAATTACCGAGCTTGTTTGAGTCTTGACTCAGCTAGTTAAAGGATTAAGTAATTTGTGTCCTTGTACGCCAAGTTGGTCAATCTTAACTCCAGGTCATTCAACCTGATCTCGTGGTCGGCTGGTTTCATAGTGTTATAGACTTGTGTTCCAGTGTGGATTTGATATTGGTGACTTGAACTAGTCATTGGTTTAGGCCAATTCAGATTGTCGAGACCGAGCTTTCGGGCGTGTTATGTGCACTAATTATGCTCCTAGAATCTTGTGTAACTGAAAAAATGCGATTTAACTATTACTTGTTCTCTATGCAATCGTGTAGGCATTGCACATATTGATTGTCTTATTTTTGGGGACACCGCTAAACCAAGTCATTCCTTCTATAATAATTGATTGGATGAGAGATGAGATTGAAACTAAGCTGAAGGGCCATAACTCTACCAACAAGAACCTTACCATCAACTAATACGCCAGGAACTTCAATTGAAAGTTGATGGGATCCTTGTTAAAAATATTAATGCCAGAAAACATTCGATGAGATTCTTATTTTTTGTGTAAGACTAGTTTTATCCTCCTGTTGCCTTAGGAAGTGGTTCTTGCTCTAATTTCAGGGAATCCCTCAAAAAGTCCAATACTTTTAATACAATTAGGGGATAATATACAGAAATTAATCTTCGAGGGGTACAAAGTGAAAATTATTAAATCTTTCAGGGTGTAAACATAATTCGCCTTTTGGTAAAAAAAAACCCGTCAAAATCGCGGTTCAACCCGGATGTGTTTTGAATCTCCTATAAAAACTTTTCTGCCCCTTCATGCCCTAATCCATGATCTCTCCTGTCGTCAGTCTCTGTCTATCACCAATCCACACTTTCTGCTCCTTTATGCCCTAACCGTCTCAGAATTTTACTTCATCTCTATCACTCAGCTTCAGAGGCCCGTAGGCCATAGCCCTCGTAGTTGCATCAGCGCAGCGTCCACCATCTGCCGTCGACACAGTTGTATTTTAAGTTAATTTACGTTTATTACTGGTAGGTTGGTGGATTTAACAGTTTCAAAGCATGCTATATTGTAGCTACTGCGCGAAAAATGTCGAACCGGCAATTTTGGATGGCAGCATGTAAGGGCCATTTATGTGGTGAATTTATGAACTTAAGTTCTTCTGTAATGTATAATACGTCATAAAGTGGAGTTGTTTTGCCATGTTATCTTATTCTCCTATTTATAACTATAGAATACTCCTTTTGAAATTTGATGTTTGGCGACAAAGTGGAATTATTTGCGTTTAAAGGATACCCATTGACTTATCTTATTGCTTGTTTGGCGTTTTCCCAGATGTTGTTCGGAATGTGGAAAAGTTATTATTTTGAATAGCTTTACGGATGAACCCACCTTTCTTAAAGATTCGGCTGGACTGGTTCGTTCTATTTTCTTGTTGTACTTGTCTTGGTGCATATTTAAATTGTCAGCAGCATGAGGTTATTTCTACTCCTGAAGCATCCTTATGATGCTGTTGTGCTATCATGTGCATTACTTATGCTTTTGCAACTGCTGCATTAAATAGTTGAGCACCTCCCCACACTTGTTTCATGCAATTAATTATTTGAGGGCATTGCTTAAGTCAAGTTTGGGCCGAGTTAAGTAAAGACTGGCGACCTAGAAAGATCTCTCACTGCACACTTTCTATATATTTGTCTCCATTATCGGCTGCACGTTCTAGCTATAACTTGGAGATAGAACAATGGGGAGGTTACAATTTAAAATCTGCTATTATTGTTGTTTTTGATGTCGGAACGATCTTTATACATTGGCAACAAGCTTCATGTTGGTAGAGTGGGGCGCTTTCTTGGAATTAATTTATAGATGCTTTCAATTAGTTATACTTCTATAAATAAATAAATATAAAAAGCGTGCGATATGCAACATCAACTGACGAGAAAAACTCTCAATAATTTTTGCTTTAGGTTGTTCCTTGTGTTGATAGTGTGCTATGGAAGCACAAAGCAATGTTTGGTTTGGAAACGAGATCTTTGCATTGTTCATCTTGGCTTTTTGTTTCACCACCTTCTTTGAGTGCGATTGTGGGATGTTTAACGGCTTTTTGGGAAGTTTATAAATAAAAATGATCAAATGGACTTTATTTTATGGAAAATTTTACTTTATCATGTGGTTTGGTCCCTTTGTGCACCACCTCCATAATCGTGTAGAAAAGTATACGTTGAAGACAAAAATACCCTTTCAATTACTGGAAAATAAAAAATAACCCCCTCCTCTTCTGTACCAAAAACCACTCATCACTGATTCATAACCATTGATCTTCTTTTCCTCCTTTTTTTTTTTATTTCTTAAAATCATAGAGGGTTGAGGGTCTAGTTTAGGGGGTGGGGTTTGACATAGGTTTCAGGGGTGATGGGAACTATGGTATTGCAGGGGTGATGGGAACTATGGTATTGCGGGGGGACTTTACGAGGAGAAAGATGGGGAGGTGCCTGTGTGTTTCTTAGGTGGGGAGGATAGGAATCGTGGGGGCAAAGAGGAGGAGATTGTGGTGAGGAAGGAGGTCTGTTGGAGTTGGGGTGCAGAGTGGGGTGGGGTCATGTTGTGTTTGGATTTGGGAGAGTTTTGTTGGGGTTGGGGGTGGAGAGTGGGAAGGGGGGTCATGCCATGGTTAGGAGGGTCCCATTGAGGTGGGGGCTTGCTAAGGTTGGGGTTGGGGGTTTTGTTGTGAATAGGGGTGGGGGGGCAAATTTTTTCAATTTTAAAGAAAAAGAAGAGAGAAAGGGTATAAGGGTCATTTTATTGGTTTCGTTAATGAAATTAGTGGTGCACATTGACCTACAAACCACGAGTTATTAATAGAAGTGCTTTGCATTTTAATTTATTATAAAACTTAGCAAACGAGTATGGTGCGGCCAACCTCTCAATCGGCATCATTAATGTGCTACTGTATAGTGAAGTCATTTGGTTGATTGAAAAAAGGCAAATCTAGTTTAGATTTAGTTGTGCGGATGCTTGAAAGCCCTAGGCAGCCTTGGGGTAGATTTTTGAAAGGTTTTTTGTTCCCTAAGGTCAAAACCCAATATTTGCCTTTGTGAAATTGTCAAAATCTTTATGTTTTATAACAAATAAGGGCACATATTTATGATATTTCTCTTTTTCTACTCTACAAAAATTGACTTATATTTATTTTTAGAGCCAGTTATCTGGAAATTTTGTGAAGACTGTTCAAAGTGAAGATTCAGTTTCACGGGGAAGGATACTAAGGGATGGTATGTTTTTTGCTACTTTTAGATACCTAATGATGTGTTAAATCTCCCTTAGCCTTTTTTATGGCACACATGATATTATGCCAAGTTATCATTTATATAACTATTTATTAACATGCCTATTGGACCACCTAGGTTGTGAAAAATCAATTCTTGTGCATGAAAAAAGGCATTTTCTCTATTTATGTATTGATTGGCTTAGCTCTCATTTACGAGGTGTTTTTGGTGGATTCAACAATGAATAGTGTAGCATAAATCTCTATTCCACCTCCCGCCCCTGGGGGGAGGGTTATGTAAGATATGGTGTGTGGATATTGGTTGTGTACCTTTCAGCACTTTCTTAAAAAAAAATTGCTTATTGAAAAAGACCAAAATACTGAACATGATTTGTGCATATGGCATATGGGTCTTAGTTTTAGTCATATTTTGTTATTGTGTCATTTTAGGTGGATTTCACCAAGTTTAAATAAATTTTAGTGGGTGGAGTTTTTTAATTTTTGGTATAAAATACAAATATCTATACTGTGAATAATAGGATAGGGGGGTTTTGCTGTCTTGACTACAATCTACAATATATTCCACAAATTTATACTTGGAACTTTTTGATGGTACGTTGGACTTCTAAATCATCTAGCTCAACATTTGAAACAAAAGTATTATCAATCATTGGCTCAGAAGAACTATCTACAAGTAATCTCCCATCGCCAGAAGATTGACTTAAAACAATATTACCAAGAATCTATATAGGAGAAGCTGGCTCAACCAATTCTTTATCATTTCAGTTTCTAAAATAATTGAAAATTTCCCACAAACCCGAAAGAAAAAAGATGATACCCTACCACCGATACATTAATTAGAGGCCAATACGAGCGCTACAATTGTGGAAAGATAACTGCAAAAGATGACTTACTTCCTCACACATCCTTTGAAAACAAATTCTCTCCTCAATACCAAGAAAAAATTTGATTATTTTTGAAGAAAGACGAATCCCTTGACAAATGAATATCGAAAGGCACCGAGGATACTCCTTCACTCACTTTTGTAATCCATCTGTTTATTGAAAAAATTTATATCACAAATATTATGCTCAACAAAAAATCTCCATAACCATTTTCAAGTATATTCGTGGCCCTAAGTTGCCCAAGGTATGTCCAGATTTAATCATAGGATGGGATACCACATCTTAACTCACTAAATGGTTTTTCTCTTCCCTTAGCCACTACCTTTCAATAAGAAATCCCTCATCTTTTTCACTACCACTTTCACCACCACAATAAGCATCTTGAGAAGTGACAAGTAATAGATAGAAACATTCTCTACCGTAGAATGAAGTACAATTAGTCTTTCCATCGACTAATATGCCTTTTCCACTCCTTTAATCTGGCACCTATATTTTCACCAATGCCTCCCAAAAAACTTATTAGTTAGGATTACAACAATCCTAATTCCCTCCACTAACGGTCTACTATTGGTCGTATCCACCATCCTACATAAATATCAACCATTAATGTAAAAGGAAAAGGTGATAAATGACTCCTTGTCTAAGTCCTCTAGAAGTGTTAGAACACCCTCTTGAACCTCATTAGCAATCACCAAGAAATCCATAGACCTTCAACGTCCCTTGATCCATTTTCTTCATCCAAATAAATAAGCTTTTATTTTCACTATTGCATAAACTATCCTTCATTGTCAGCTTACCTGACAAATTGCGGTAACTCGGAGTCTTACTTTTGATTAGCCACCAAGAATTACTTGGTGCCTAATTTTTTTTGGGTGGCCACGTTCTCTTGGTTTCTAAACTAAAAAGTTTCGTTCTACATAGTTAGAAGTGCTTTATTATGGATTGGTGAATGTGGCTATATGTTTTATGATGTGTTTTAAGCGTCAATGCTTAATGTATGATGCAGACTTCCTTACAGGATGAGGAATTCTAAGTGGAATGTGGACGCTATTTACTCTTACCTTAGGATGTGATATTTTGGAAGTTTAGGAGGGATTCATATTTTTGTCTCTTTCTTCTTCTCCTTTTGGGCGTCTTGGTTCACTACTCCCATGATAATATTTATATCCCCAATTGAGCTATGTATTATGTCTTAGCTATAGAACTCTACTGTTTTCTTGCCCATTTCAATTTTAACTTATTTCCGCTACACTTTTGCCCTTTTTCCAACACCAAAACCCTTAAACTGCATCTACTAGGAATTTTGATTACCTAAAATTTGAAAGTAATGCAATGTTTCACTTTTGAATCAGGTGGAAACCAACATATTCTCATCATGGGACTATGGAAGCTCAAACATTCTTCCACGTCTTACAATCATAATTTTACAATCTTTGCTTGATATATGCCCACCAATAAATGATTTGTTGGCAACTATGATGTGCTAATTGTTAGAGGGAAACAAGAAAATAAATAAAAGATTCTTACTAGCCAAACTTGATTACCCAATCCTTTAAATGTCAAACTTGCAATTTGAGAGGATAAAGGTGGCCCCTCTCTGATTAGAGATTTTAATGTTGGTTACATGGTTCCAAGCTAAATTAGCGGTGATTCTTTTTTTTTTTTTTGGTTACAAGGTTTCACTATTATTGTTTATGTCCTGGAGTATTCTAATAGTATTTCTTACTTTATTTCTCCTTCTTTCTTTTTATTGCTTATCTATTGATAGGTTCTAATTGTATCATATTATATCACTATTCACTAGTAATAACTCGTATTTGAAGTCACTCTGCAATACCAAAAGTTGAGCGTTATCGTACAATATTTATATTTTAAATAACAATTTTTTTCTTTTCTTTAATTATGTAATTTAAAATTAAAGTAAATTAGTCGAAAATAAGGGAGAGGTAGGCATTGATTAGTGGGGTTGTTTTAAGATTGGAGAGTGTATTGATTAAGTTAATTGTCATTAGAGTCGTGCTGAGAATATGATGTTTTTGAGTGGAGGCGTTGATTAGTGGGGTTGTTTTGAGATTGGAGAGTGTATTGATTAAGTTAATTGCCATTAGAGTCGTGTTGAGAATATGATGTTTTTGAGTGGGAAAAAAAGTTTTGGGATGAATTTTGTACTATTAGATCAAAGTAGATAAAAATTAGATCAATCTTGACCATTGTTATGCATAAGTTGAAAATTCAACTTCCTAGATCAATCTTCACGTCTTAGGAAAGTAATGGAAAATTAAATTTAGCAACTGTTACAGCTACTCAATTCCATTACCGTGCAGTAAAAAGAAAAACAGGAAGAATGTATTCCAAATTTCAAATTTTCGTTGTTCTCTTTATGCATTGATCAAATACCATATAAGTTAGATTTCACCATGTTTAGTGAGGTTCTGTATTGGTTTTTGCAGCACAAATCGATATGGCGAGTATGGCATATGCCATGGAGGTGGATGGTGGCGATTCTGTCCTTATGCCAGCGTCAAAATTTTATAGAGTATGGTTCAGTGTAGTTGAGCCTCATTGTTAGTAGATATTTTGTTGATTATCAATTGGTCAAATCATTGCATCTGTTTATTATCTGTTTATTTTGAAGATAGCAGTTGAACGAAATTTCACAAGAGGGCGTAGAAAAGAGCAAGTTGAGGCTGCTTGTCTCTACATATCATGTCGGTGAGGGTTCTGTTTGATATACTTTATTGCTATCCTTCAAACTGTGGTTACTATTCTAACATTATAACAATAGATATGTTACTGTTTTTAGAGCATGAATTGGAGGTACTGGGAAAATAGTGGCTGCCTCTGTTGCCAAATTGGCAAGACAAGAATTCTTGCAGAAATATTTATTGATAGTCATATCTCCTGTGTTACATTTTGTTTTTTTTTGATCAGCAGCAAAATGTTATTAATAATAATAAAAGCATTACAAGAAAGTCGAGTAGACCATCAAGCCAAATAACAAAAAGAAAAGAAAAAAGACATACAATGATGGACACAAGTGGCAACAACCTTATTAATTTTATATAAAAATGTGGAAAAGATGCTCCAAGTTAGTTTGTTGGTATCATTATTTTAGGTTTTTTGTAATATTTTTAGAGTCGGGGATATTTTTGTGGTTTCTACAATTGCTGACCCCTGGGGTCGTCTTTTGGTTCAAATTTTGGTATTGTGTTGTGTGTTACTAAATTTAGAGTCCAAGTTCTTGTCAAATAGGTTTCCTAGTCAATGTATAATATGAGAGTCCAAATCCTTTTGGGATTGTGAGATCCTTGGAAGCCTATATATAGCCATGTGATTGATTCAATAATTACAGAGAATTTTTTAGAAACTTTTTAGCAGTTATGTGGTTTGAGAACAAAACCTTAGGTATGATACTTAAGGAATACTTGGAGTGATTCTTAGTTTCTTTTTTTCTTTTCCTTCTTATTTCTTCTATTTCTATATTTCTGTTTAAGATCTAAACCCCATAATCAAGTATGAGTAGCATCTTTTTATACTTGAACGCCATCTTCGAGGTCCTAACCTTTTCAATTTTAATTCGTCAACTCTAACCATTAAACTAACACAATTAAACACTCCTTTCTGATTGGACTCACTATTGGCATACATTGGTTTTGATATCAGAGTGAGGTTCGAACATGACTACGTTCAGGAAGATCGTTTAGAGGGCAATTAAGGGATGGACAACAAGATGAGATGCTTTTTCGAATTATGGAACAACTCAACTATATCTAAATTCTATTAAGCCCAGTAAAAGGTCAATCCACTCAAACACCAATGGTGGTACAACATCCAGTGTGGAAGGAGAGAATTCTGAATCTAATAATAATGGAGAAAATAATAAGAATCAAGGGTATCAAGACTTATACTAGGGGACAAAATTTTCCCAATGCAACAATTTCAGCTCCTCAAGGTCATGAGTCATCCCAATATCACATGTTTGATTGGCTAAGGGATCTATTCATGTGGGTACAATATGAGGCACATGATACTACCGGAGATATCACTAAAAGCATCGATATGGAAGTGCTCGATTTTGAAGGAAATGTAGAGAGTTCAGTATTTTGTGATTGGCTCTCTGATGCAGTCCATAGGATACTCAAGAAGAAACAAATTTAAGGACATGAAGAACTATGAAACTTCCCATCAAGATAAAAACTCATATGATACCTTGTATCGTTTTATTTGAGTGGTATTTTTAATTACCTTAAGTTAGTTTGACGGTATTTAGTACCTTATGTGTCTTTTATTTTTTTAGGGTCAAGGGTATTTTTGTAATTTCTAGAATTTATGGAATGGATCATAGTCTAACCCATGGGTCATATTTTTGGTCAAATTCAAGTGTTGAATATTCTAGAATTTAGAGTCCTAATTTGAGGTTATTTTAGTTTTCTAATTTTTAGTGATCTACAGTTTTTAAAGTCTTAGAGGTTTTGGGATTCTAATCTTTTGGGAGTAGGAGTAGTGAGAAATTTAGTGATATTTTTAATAAAAAGAGGAGAGAGAAATGCCAGAAATTTCAACAATTATATGCTTCTTGAGTTGTGTGATGCTATATAGTTATTGATATTTTTTATAAAGGGAGGAGAGAGAGATTTTGTAGTAATTATATGTTTCTTGAGATGTGTGATGTAATTCTAACCCTAGGTATGATGCCTGAGGAACCCTAGGAGTGATTTCTAGTCAAAAGTATTGTTCACGTTACTGGTCACAACCTAATTTACCATTAACGTTACCATTCACTGCCCCTATACAACCCCTATTTTGATTTTGCACAGCCGTCCTACATCACTCTCTTTTATTGAGGAATACTTCAATTGGTACGATATGACATATGATTGAAGAGTAGATTCTCCAAGATGAAATTTATATGCTTGACAAAGGTTTGGGGACTGACATTGAAGGGGATATAAGATGATTTGGACAACCTCTTATAAACAAATGGCAAGAGATTAAAGTAAGTGTTGTATATGCCGGGCAATTATCTTGATAAATTATGCAACAATTAGTTAGTTGAAAACATGGCAGCATGTTGTAGGAGACTGTATACGAAACTCTGAGGAGCTTAACATTCAAAGTCAAGTTGTGGAAGACCCCTGCCAAACATTAGCTTGATCTAAATCTGGTCTGAGGGTTGATATGAGGTGAGTATTGCTTTAGAAGCCACTATATGGCGTGTAGCATACATTCCAAGTGGCTGGAGATCCAATTATTAACAAATTGTGGTTTCAAGTAGACAATAGTGAGGAGACTTAATGAATGATGATGCAAACCGTGGCTCAAGAATCCAATAGATCAAGTGGTTTAAAGGCTTCTTCCTCCAATGTGACTGATTCTTAAGGCAAAGGTATCACGACTAATAAATGAAACTGGAGAGACAAGAGAGATGTTTGCTTCAAGTGTGGGGAGCCTGGGCACATTAGTTATCAATATCCCAAGAAGAATAACCTATATGTTGTGGTGGAATAAGTGGATAAAAGCACCCACAGGATGCCAATGAAGAAGATTCATTTAATTATGAATTAGGTATCGCTTATGATTTGGAAAGAAGTGAGTTGTTGATAAAAATATAAAGCTGACATAAAGTGATATGAGGAATCCACACCAAAAATGTGTCATTGGACTTTGCTATTGGAGCCATTATCTGACAAGGAGTCTGTGTTGTATTTTGATCATGACACTTAAATACATCAACGACCAAAAGAAGTTGAGTCATCGGCATGGAAAGTAGTGTTTTTGCAGCAATATACTTTTGTAACAAAACATAGGGCTGGTGTTGAATACAAGGCAACTGACACATTGAATCAGGTGGTTGCTTATTCTTTCCTTGATGTCTGTTAAGGTGTGGACTTTAGTTTGCTTAAGAAGGGCTACCTATCTTGCAAGGATTTCAACAATATATTCTTCAGCTTGATGACTGGACAACATCCTGCATATTCAATTTTTTCCTTGCAAAATGCTTATCTCTTTAAGGGAACTTGCCTTTGTTTGCCTAACACATATCTATGAACAATTGAATCGGGAATTGCATTGCAGAGGAACTAAAGTTTTCTATCGAGAATCCTTGGGTTTTTCTCCTCTTATGACCTCTCTTTTCCATTTTTAGCATGATTTGGTGGTTAAAGACCAATGCTATAAATATTTTTCCTGCCTCCCCACCTGTTTTAATTGCATCCTAATTCTATATGAATGGTTTTGGCTTATCAATCCTAAACATTGGTTCTTGGACTGAAAGCAGTACATTGGGTTGAGTTCCATAACAATTTAACATAACTTGTGTAGAGAGACTGAACCTCGTGTGGGCTTATCACGCCCATATGGTTGTACAATCAACCCACCTATGTACACCAATGCATGAGGAAAAGTTGCCATTACACATGTACGTAAGTATGTTCCCCTGTATGGACGTGCTTTCCCCACTACCCATGCATGTAAACACACCAAAATTGCACCAGCAATAGTGATCCACCCTAGTTCCTTCAATACTTGTACGACCTTTCCTAGAAGTTTATCTTAATGATCATTCTACAATTTTATGCATTTTCTACGTTGTTTTCTTGCCTAAAACCAGATTTTTTTCCTATGGCACATTAACATGCATGTATACTTAAAAGTTTCATATTCACAAATATCAGTGGTAGGGATGTAGGGGGCATAACGGTGTAAGCCTCATATTTGCTTGGATATATCATATATATTTGAGTTAGATGTTCCTATGAAAAGTGCCGGGTAGGTGCAGCTTGGGAGCTCAACTTACCAGTGGTCCATGAGAATCAGTAAAAGAGAGGGAGGGAGGGAGAGGAAGAGAAAGGGCTCGTTAATGAAAAATTGCTGGTTGATTCATTGGATACCATGTTATAAAATATGGTAATTTGGGAGGAAGAAAGTGTCTCATTAACTACTAAGATTAAAAATGGAATGCAATAATATACCTTATTGTTATTTCTGATATTGATCGAGTTTCCAAGACCTCGGACTAATTCCCTTTTTTTTTTTTGGCAGGTATAACAAAAAGCCATTTCTTCTTATCGATTTTTCTGAGCACTTGAGGATAAATGTGTATGGAAACTTTTATATCCAAAGGAGTTCGATTCTTTCATGTTGAATTGGAGAATTTATTACACTGCATTGGTGGATAATCAAAATTTATTATTGCTATTGCTTGCATTGTGTTGCAGTTATGTGCTAGGTGCTGTATTTTTGCAGCTTTGTAAACTTCTAAGCTTGGAAGAGCACTCCATTGTTCAGAAACCTGTGGATCCCAGCCTTTTTATTCATAGATTCTCTGAACGTATGTTTTAAAATCCTGCCTTTTTACAGTTTAGGTTTAATATGTACATATGCAAACAAGTTGCTTTTTGACTACATGATTCTCTGTTATGCAATCATTTTTGAGGATTATGGTTGCACCTGCATTACATCCTTTAGGATGTCTTGTCCTCCATCCTTTACATTTTCTCTCTTCCCTCATCCTTAATAGTATTCTTCTTTTATCTTCAAGGATTAAAATTTTGTTTCACTACACCCTTAGGAATTAAAGACGTTTCAGATACATAATAGAAAAGGAGAAATTCTTTGAAAACTTGTTTCCAAAACATTCCGAAACCCATCAAAATACCTCAAAACATAGAAATTCAATATTCAATCACTAATTTGTTTTGGTTTTCTATGCAAACATAAATGTTTTGACCGTTTCAAAATTAAATTTAGATCCTTGTTTATCTTGAAAAAGATTTATGTATTGTAGTCTCCAGAAGCACTAATTTCCTTGATATGATTCTCTCGTATGTATGTCACTGCAACTATCTCCAAAGCCTTGGTAATGCATATTAATATGATTAAGATATAGAAGTCTTAAACCCTATAACATTAAAAAACTTTCCTAATATATTTCCAAGTCATCCCTTGCATCCACAGTTAAGTTTGATACATTGAAATCATCAACCTAAATACGTGATTGATTCCCCCAGTTGGCCTCTTCATGAATCAAATTCTGTGAAACTATATTTGTATCCCTGAACCACATGAATTGATTTGAATCTCTCATTGATCGATCCATTTATCTTTTGTTATACTTTAGATTTCAGAACCTTACCTGGAATGATGTTATCTAGTCATCATTCGACCAGTCTTCTTAATGGACTGTCGACTGTCATTGGGCCAAACGATTCAAAACACAATCTTCCAAGCTGCTTTTTCAATTCCATGTATCCATTTCTGATCCCAAAACTTCTGTAGAGTAAAAAACATGGACACTAGAAAACCATGACTCAATGATGCAATTGCAACTCAAATCAAGTCTTGGACATGACATTTTGCAACTACAATAATGGACCTATCAGTTTACCTCGGGGCTAAATGTAAATTACCTTTCAACTGGCACCATGTTGGGTATACAAATTAAATCTTGGATACAAAACTGAATGATATTGTTGAGGAATCTGGGTTGAATCTTTTCCTTTCATTTTGTATGCTGCTACTGCTAGCTCGACAACCACTTGTTTCCTATTGGAGTGCACCTTATTCTCACTCTAAAACAAGGCAAACCATGTACAAAAGCCTGAGTTTGGTTTTGCAAGCATTCACAACTTAATAATCTTCTTGATGTTAGGCATATAAAGCCTCCGCTTTGGATTTTGGTAGGCCGATTAGTGGTAAGCCCTATAGTTTATGATCAACAAGCTCAACCTTTTCAATTTTGTTACTATTTTTAATCATTGAAGAAAGAATTATTACTAGCAGCTGACATTCCAAATCTTCATCAGTATATTTCATTTTTTGTGCATTGCACTACCTTAATGTGCTTTGATCTTAGATGGATGGGACCTAGCAAATGTATGTCTGAACCTTTAGTGTGTGCAACTCTAGTTACTAGGTAAGATCGAAGTAATTGATTATGCAGGTAGGAGCCAGAAAGTTATACTTGCTGGATTTTGCCATGGTTTGGGACAATTGTGCCCCATAAGCTATAAGGGTGAGCCATATGTATGAATTCTGTGAGCAGGGATTGAACTGAACATTTCAAGTGCATCCAATAGCAATTGAACCTACGAATTTGCCTTGGTTGGCCGCTTTAACCATTCAACAATGGATGCAAAGAGACTCATCGAGTGACGGCATTTTGTAAATACGTAATTATCTTGAATATATTAATCATTTCTTTATTTTTCGATTACATGAAAGGGACAAAAAGAAAGATCTTGTTGTTTCTTCAACAATTTCTATTCTCTAGTGGACCTCTCAGTAGGATTTGAATTAAATGGAGTTCTGATCATCTATTAGAGAAAAAAGAACGAATGGATTTTGTAGGATTCTTTGGTTTAGGGTTCGAAGATTAGATGAATTGCTGTGGGTTTTTCAGATGAGAATGCTTACGGTAAATAGGATAGGTTGCTTAATTTTAAGAAGTTAGGTTGCTGAGAATGGAAGACAACAACTAACTTTGGTTGGCAACATATATTACTAGCGTGAAAATATTCCACTGTCTCTGGAATACACGTGGTCCTTCCCTGGACGTGTTTGAGAATTGGGGAAACATTGGGGTGGAAATACCATGAGAGAGGAGAAAAAAAATATTTTGATGAAATGTTGAATAGTTGGTATTTGATGCGATCATATAAATGGACATACACTTGTGTCTTTTGAATTTTGTGGTTATGACTATTGGTGTGTAATGAATAGCTAATTTAAGAAAAAAAATTGATAAAGGAAAAAGTACTACCAAATAAATAATTGAAAGATGAATGTGGGGTAGATATATACAATGCTGATACAAGGATTGAAAATTTTGTTTGCTAATATGAGATAGCATAACGAGTACATAAGGGAGGTATAATTATCTGATCAAATAAGAAAATGTATTATTACTGGCATAAACGACTCCACTTATCTTTTGGAAATTTGAATTTTCATTGCAATTGTGAAATGTGTTTCTATTAGAGTCTATAATGACATGTTAAATATTTTTGTAAAGAAGTGTAGGAATATGAAAAGGTGAATGTGGGCTATGCAACATCAGGGAATTGTACTTGTGTCTGATCTAGAATTCTTAAGATTTATATTGTATACCCCTTATGTTGGAATGTCTGTAAACAAACAGTGTAGAAATCTTCGGATACGTGAGCATGGTTCTGAAGCATCATCCAAAACAAGACCATAAAGCTTGGCTGCTTTGTGGACAACCTCACAGCTGAGGGCTAGGAGGTTCAACCTTTAAACAAACTACGTAACTGTATGAACCAATCAAGGGAATCCTTACTCCTAAATACTTATACATTCATTAGCTGTTTTAGTTTGCATTTATTAAACTGCCTTCATGGGCTTGGACCTTCGGTGGATGGGATCTATCTCATGTAGCCTGTAGCGTACATTGATCTGATTGAAATGGTTGATGATGAGGGGATGGCACTATAAAGTTTAGAATTCTGCCGCATTTGGTTATAACCATTTTAGATAAATTGTAGAAGAATAGTTGCAGGTTCTGAGGATGTGGAAATATGGGATTTTGCTTGGTTGCAAAGATTACAGGTTGCTAGACCTAGAGTTTGGGTTTTTCTTTTGTGTTATAGACAATGGCTAAAAATGGTTTTCAAGCCAGCTTGACTACTAATTCCTCCCTTTCTATGCTCATGATCATTCTCGCAAAAATAGGACAAAACATCTGAAAGCATAACTGTGGTTGTCAAAGACCGACCCAATGTGATGGGCCATCGACATTTACAAGTGTGGCTCTGGACTTTGGCTGGATCACCATTGCAAAATCAAGTGAAGAACAAAAAAAGTACAAAAGGGAAAACTAATAAATTAGAAAATAAGAAATTTAAAGAACATACTAATACCTTTGGGTCATGAGGATTTCTAACTTTTTTAATTTTGGTTCCACTCCTAACTTGTTTACCTGGTTCACCTTTAGAGACAAACATAGTTGAAACAAATAAGTCAACGAGAACAAATTTGTCAAGCAAAATGTAATTTTCCATGCAAAGGCTTCAATTTATCTTACTTGAGAAACCGACTGCAATGTTTAGCAACAAAAAAAGAAACCGACTGCAATGATCAGATACACTCCTCCGTCTGCATGTAATTTTCAATGCATTGGGTTCAATTTGTCCTTTGTTGTATTTTACATAGCGTCATTGCTTTTAAAAATGATCGGTTCTAAAAATCCTTCTACCTATTTGTTCAAAAACCATGACATGAGTTCAATAGAAACAAATTGATATACCCCAGCTTTTCTGTAAACAAAAATTAGTATACCAAATAACCAAAAACATAATTATCAAAATCATTCTATCAATGTTTTAAAAACTGATAACATGAATTCAATAGAAACAAAGTGGCATATTCCAGGGAAGCTTTATTAACCATTGCAGACCCAACAAAAACTAATCATAAAACGAAAGGATATGCTTGAGATTTACATGTTAAATCTATCAATCTATCTAGACATACCAATTACGAACACACATGGGGTAGGCAAAATATAATTACCGGTTAAGGGATGCAGTCGAAGTTGTTCAAGTTGAATGATAGGAAAGACAAGGGGATTATTAAAATTGAATGACATTGTCTAATTGTGTGTGTGTGTGTGTGTGTGTATTCCGGGGTTTTGGTGTTGTAGAGGGGTTTTTGGGTGGGGTTTTTTTTTTTGGGAAGGGGGGTTTATGGCATGGGGAGGTTTGGTAGGGGAGCGGCGTTTTTGGTGCCGATGGCAATGATGATTTTCATCGAATAGGTGATGTGTTTATAACCAGTATAGAAGATTGTGATCGGAAATGAAAGATTACTTAAAAGTATTTAGCAAGTGTCAATAATTTGGTGAGGTGGTTGTGACAGTGGTGATTGGCTGTTATGGTGGCAAACCGTAGATAGAAGATGAAAAAAGGGGGGGGGAGAGAGAGAATTACCCGTGAGAAAGTGATGCCGAAGTTTAGGTTGCCATTGTTGGAGTGGGTCTTTAGAGTAGGTTGTGCGTTGCCAAAGTGGGTTTGCCCGTCGCTGGGGTTGGCAGAGAGAAGAGCAAGAGAGAGAGTAAGATGAGGGGTTAAGAAGGAATGAGAGTGGGGATCCTACAAATGGTCACCAAGCTCAGAATTTGAAACTATTTTAAAGTTGGGTCAACACTACAAGAAAACCCTAATCCCGAACACTTTAGGTTTGCATTTCATACCCTATTGTTAATCTATTTTGTAAATAATTAATTGGCTTGATAGGGTTTGAGGTTAGGTGAAGATCTACCATATTTAACACATGTTTGAGGTTTAAATTGAGCTAGTTCATGATGTAAGATGGATTTTGAATTCTACAAAATGTTGCATAGATTTATGTATGCCAGACAATTGTTCACATGAGTCGTGAACCCCAACATGAAATTGATACAAAGTTATCGGGATTTAAGTTTAAACTGAACAGATTCGGGTAATAAACGGGTGACTCACTAAACCTGCTTAATAAATGGGTCGTTTTGAAATCTTCTAACTCATTCACTGCCCGCCAGTCTGTTTAACCTAGGTATAAAAAAGAATAACCCTAACTAGTTTGCAAAGATCAAATCTCTCTCTCCCTTCTGTGCCTCTTTCCCTCACGCCACTTGTCATCTCATTTTGCAGATCTCTCTCTAATGTGGCTCCCTTTTAGATCTCTTTCTATTTCGACTTTCACAGAGTTATTACTCTTGTATCTCCATCTTTACTACCCCTCATCCTTGCGCCTTTTAGATATCTCTCTGTCTTAACCTTTTCCTCATAACCCTTCACGCTCTTCTTTGCAAATCTTTTGTCTCTTACTCTGATTGTTAGCTTTTGAAAGTGCTGGTGGTTTGGTTTGTTGTTAAACTAATGGTACTTGTACTTGGCGTTCGGATAAGCTTGAAAGGGCTTGATGATGCCAAGGACTTTTTTGTGCTACTTTTCTCTTTGATTTATTATGTTTTTTTATGATTGACCTATATGAAAATTTGGAAAAATAAAAAATAATTTTTGAGGAATTATAGTGAAGATGATAGTTAAATTTTTGGATAGACATTGGTAAAGTTACAGATCTCCTTGTTGTTTTCTAATTTGAATGATGGTTTGCATTCCTAATGTGTATGACATGTATGAATTACTTTTTTTTTTTTGGGTGCAAAAATTGAGAATTTTGGATTTGTGTTGTTGGCTTTTGATGTGAATTGGGTTGGCAATTAAACATGTCAACTAGTATTCAATCCAATATGACTCAAACGAGTTGTGTTCTTGCTTGCCATTGGACCCATTCAATAAATGGGTCGTGTATGGGTTGAGCTATTTTTTGACACAAACATCCTTAGATAGGGTACACTTGCCGGCCCAAGTTTTTTCTGTTTATAGTCTATGATTATGGAATGCTTGTAGGTTTGTGGTCTTAAAAGATAGAAGAAATGATGTAGGCTCTGTGGGTGGTGAAAAAGTGCAAATCACTTGGCTTCAAAGGTGAAATGTTGGTGTCTAGCTATTAGCTCAAGGTCAAAAGTAATCGGGGAAAGATCAATCCTTGAATAGGGCATGGTAGGATAGGGACTTGTAGATGGATTAAGATTTTTATGGTTCTTGGTATATAGCGCAAGAATAATGGTTTGTGTTCCTATTTCTTGTTTGTTTTTGTGTGTTGTCTCTCTGTATACGATTGCTTTGTCCCTATCGAGGAAATGATTATGATTAATAAAGTAGCACAAATATTGTTGTATAGAATTGTTAAATAAAAGTAAGAATGTAGAAATCTGGGAAGATAAGTCATTTAGAAACTTGCTTATAACCTTTTGGCTTCACACAATGAGGGCCAAGATGTATAATACTTACGTGTTCTTCAGTTCTCTTATGCTAGTGCTACTCTAGGAAGCATGGATATGAATACAGGGTCGTATCCTATACGATACAGATACAGATACAACAAAATTAAAAAGTATAGGCCACATAATAGAGTTGGAATATATTAAAAATAAAGCATATATTATAAAAAAAGACGCACCCAATACACGAGGCTCCCGTCATTGCGGACCGTTGCGCCAAGGCCCGCCCTCAAAGTATATATTATAACAATATTAATAATAAAACCTAACAAATATTTGTTTTGATTAGAATTCAAATAGATTAAATATATTCACAATTTTCACCAAATATCATTACATCTATTAACATTCATAGTATATACGTTACGGAACAATTCAATTGACCTACCCTACCCGATCAAGTGTGGTATTCCTATCCGATTAATCGGGTAGGAAGTCGAGTAGGAAGGTAGGTGAACACTTTTGTAGTTATTAATTTTTAGATTATTTTAACAATTCAATTAAATAACATGCACCAATTTAACAACACAATAAATCAATAACACTAAAATCTAAAATAACTACAACATGCATCATAAATCCAAAATGGATCAGTAATATCACACAGGAGCAAAATGCATTTTTCTTCAACATTGTAATATGGATCAGTAATTATTTTCTTCAGTTGCCCTTCATTTTCTTAGTAATTTTGAACTAATAAAACAAATTAGAGTATTGTCAGCAAAATGGATCAGTAATTATTTTCTTCTCTCCATAATCCACACTCACACTACTTATGAATAAACGAAATTATTGACAGAACCTCCACAATGAAACAAATTTAGAATTTTTTAAAGAAATCATGAAAAAAGAAAAATAGACAAATTCAGAATTTAAAATTCTTAAAGAAATCATGAAAGAAGAAAAACAAACAAGTTTTTTTAAATAAACAAAAGTTTTTAACCAGACAAAAGTTTTGTTTAAGAATTCTTAAACAAAGCTTTTTTTGTGAATTCAAGGACACAACCCAACTCTAGATACTCTTTTTGCTAATACACTCTTTTTCAGGTATTCCACTTTCACATTTCAATTGTCAACCCTAGATACTCCCCTTTCACATAGAACCTAATCCTTGATATTCTGTTCGCAACCCAAAAACGCAATGAAGGCCTGTTCACAGTCCAAAAATAACAAATAGAGTCTGTTCGCAATCCAAACAAAGATAGATAGAGACAAAAGGGAGCCTCCAAATCGCACCCAAACAGAGAGAGAGAGAGATAGACACAAAGAGAGAGAACTTGAAAGGTTGGGACTGAGGGATGAAGGTCTGAGCTATGGAGGCCTGAGCAACGATGGAGGCGAGATGAGTGAGGCGCTCAGTCAGTCAGACGATAGGGTTAGACAATTAGGGTTTTTTTAGTTTATATATGTATATATATAAATTACTTAATGCGGGTAGGGTAGGGCGAGAATGCAAAAATTGATGGGTATTCTGCATTCCTACCCGATTTAATCGGAAGACCAAAAACTCGTTCACATTTCTATTCGATTTTTTCGGCTAGCCGTTTAGGAGGGTCGAGTAGAATAGGAATTGCGGCTAATCGAAAATTTGAACACCCCTATCCAGAAAGTATCTGTGCTTCCTAGGTGCTACTCCTATTAAAAAATCGGAAACTCAAACCGCTTTTCTTCTCATGCGATGCATTTGTTGACTGTTTGGTTGAGGTTTCATGACGTCTATTTCATACCTTATTTATTTTTATTTTTTTTGCGTTTTTCAATCTGCAGTAAATAAGTTTTGGTATGCGCTTATGTGAGCTAGACGCGCATTCAGCTGGTAAAAAGTTTTTGAACTGACAAGCATTGTCAACACAATCTGAATTGTAGGTCTATTGGGAGGAAGGAATGCAAAAGTTGAGAGAACTGCCCTTCGGATTATTGCTAGTATGAAGCGAGATTGGATGCAGGTATGACATTGTATGTATATGGGGGGAATCTCTTGGATGCCAATATATTGTCTGGCTTAGCTGGTAAACATCAAGTAAGCCATTTCATTAGAGGACTGACAGTACAATGCTTATAGACAGGGAGAAAACCAAGTGGGTTATGTGGCGCAGCGTTGTATGTATCTGCTCTTTCACATGGACTCAAGTGTTCCAAGTCAGACGTTGTAAGTCGAGCTTATACTGCATAATGTATTGTTGGCCAAAATATATCTGATCATTGATCTCTTATTTGTTGATAACATGATGTGTATGTTCATCATTTTCAGTTGGATAAAAAGAATCTAATTCTTGATTACAACACGACTTATTTGTTTATGTTTTTACTTGAAGATTGTTCTCATTTCTTAGCATTAGCGGATTTTAAAAATGGCATGGGTAATGTCATAATGTTAGGTGGGACTTGGGAGTTTAAATTTTAAGGGCCAGTATTGTGAGCCATGTGAATACATAGCTGGCATTAGATCATGATTTCAAAGTTTTCCAAATCTCTATGCCTTTTGTATCCAATCAGCAAGGATGAAGTCTATCCCAATCTTGCCTTTCAAGAGATGGAGTGACATTGTTTTATGAACCATCTCATTTTATGCGGTAACCTTTTTAGAATTTGCATGCTTTTTTGGCTAATCCGGAGATGGTGGTCTCAGGAGGCAATCCGGTTAGGTGTTTGTGCTCCGTTGTTTAATATGAGTACAAGAGAGGGACGGATATTGTGATGGTAGGTGAGTGGATGCAGTGTTGTGAAAAGCACGCTTAGGTGTGAGGCAAGACGCACCGGTTGTGCATCAATGGGCCTGACGCAAGGCAACTTTGTCACGGCATAGTTGAGGTATACGAGGTGCTCTGCTTGGGCCAAAGCCCAAGGGGCATGTTGCGTGGTTCCTTTTTGTTATTCAGTAATATATTTTGGGCCATCAGATTTATTTACTTGGATGAAATATTTGATGTATATGCACCTTATTTAAGCTCCGACTTAAATATCTAGTACATAGACTCTCTCAAGCTCGATAGGTAAGTCGGCTCCCTCATTTTCTTCTTCTTCAGTCAGTGGCTTTCGACTTCTGCCTTTTTTTTTTCTCTCCTGATTTTTCAAGTGTCCTTTTTTTCTTGAATATGTATTGTATGTTACTTCTCATATGTCTGTCAGTGTTATTTTTCTGATGATATTCTTAATTTGTGAATATTGAAGGTAAAAGTATGATATGAGTCTTCACATGTTTGAGACGGGTTGACAAATCTGTTTAATTGCTAGACAGTAGGTAGTAGAGACTATAAGTGTTTAACAAATTGTGTATTTGGTTGGATCCTTGAACTTAATTGATTGATCTGCATTATTTATTTGATTGGATCATTGGAAATTTGTCAATGTTAAATATTTGCTTGCTATTTACAATCGATATGATCAAGGCCGCACCTCCCCTTGTGCCTGGGCCTCACGAGACCTAGTGCCTCAGTGCACAGTATGCCTTTAACAAATGTTGGTCCTCCAAAAGAGACAAGTTACTGATTTCAGTTTCGATCTTCAGTTCTATGGGATAGAATGAGTGATTTATTGGGAACTTAAAGTAGAACTAGATGGATGTTTGAGGATAATTTGACCAATTCCATCTCTTTCCAGTTAATAGATGTCTAAGAAGGGTAGTGATTGATCTGGAATTACACCTCTGTTTTTGTAAATTGTATGTATATTGATTGGGATTGGGGAAACAACTAATTGTGGGGAAGGGGTGGGGTGGGATGGAGAACTGAATAAACAGATCAGTTTAATAAATTATGGTGCAGATCATGAATGCTGGGAGGCAACTTATGCATAATGCTGCAGATGCTTGGTTTCTTTGCTCCTGAACCTTTTCTTGTGCTTGTAGTACCCATGGATTTAGGGTTCTAATGGCAGAGAATTTGATGTCAAAACGATATAAAGTGCACACAAAAACAAAAACCCAGAGTAATAAGGCTCAATTGTAAGGCCTACATCCATGAGCAAAGATAAGCGTTTTAAGATTTTAACTATAAAGATAAGGATATATAAGATGATGTGCCCCCATATGTATTAGAAGTGCTGGCTTGCCTCCCCAAAACGCGTCAACAATAAGTTTTCTCTCGTCCCCTCACATCCTGATATGACTCCTCCTCCTTATAGCAAGATCCGAATATAAGAGCAATCCTACTTTGCAACCTAACTAATTATGTTAAAATATTTTATCATATCCATAAAAATCAAGCTGGTCACAAAAAAAGTGTGTTGGGGGTGTTGCTCTCAATGCCCTTATTGTGTGCTTTTAAACTGCAAAAAAACTTTGTATGATCCACCAAATGCAAGATAAAAGAATGTAAATTATTATGATAGAATTTGAGACACCACAACAACAGATTGAGCTACAATTTGTCCATGCATACATTCAATGCTGAACTTTCATTGTGTGTTCATTTGCATTGGGATTGTGGAATACTTTGTTCGAGGTGGTCAGTGAGGCTTGAGTTTGTGTCCTTCTACCTTGAAAAAGAGGTTGCAAATCAAATTTTGTAAGTTTGGGAATACAAAGAAAGTGAACATATTATAGAATTGTGCATTGGAGAAAAATGAAAGAATCTTCAATAACCATTATCTTCTTTCAGAATTAGTATTGGAAAGAATTGTTTATATGACTTCACTTTGGACCAAAACTTTATGGAGCTTTGGAGGGTTGCCTTTGTCTGATCTCCAACGAAAGTGAAAGGCGACTCTATTTTAGCTTTCATTGTTACTTTTCTTTGATATGTATTTTGCTTTTATTCTTTTTTTAGGATACCTTGTCCTCAATATTATAATTCGTTTTTTTCCTCCTTCCATTCTATAATAAAATTCTTCTTTTATAAAAAAAAAAAATAGGAAAATTTATTTTTGATGGTGAAGAACATGTTTGTTCAAGAAATAAGTGTTAATTGAATAGAGCTTGTTGTTACAATGAATGTCATTGCAGAAGTGGTAGTATATAAAAGGAATGCATTAGTGAAGGAAAGAAGTTGTTCCATGGATGACTGTGACGGATTTAGTCATATGAAATATGCTTTGATGGTTGTACTATTACAACTCTGTTCAACTGCATGTGATATTGGTCCGCTTTGGGTTGTCCTTCACGGCTTTAAAACATGTCATAAGAGTTAAGGTAGAATTTTTACATATATAGCGCAAGTGAACAACAACATTCTCTAACCAGACAATGTTGGACAGGTTCATGGACCAAACACCTCACTAACCTCCTCACCTCACCTTTTTCCATTGCTTCTTGGATGGTTGGATTTTTGGCTATCATACATCTCTTGGTCAGAGAAGGTCTTTGCAATACATATGTAAAAACTCCGCCTTAATTGATGTCATACTTTTTAAAGTCTTGAGGGACAATCCAAAACGGACAATATCACATGTGGTTGGGCCAAATCATTATAGGTGCTATCATATCTAGACCTACCTCACGGTGGTGGGGTGGGTCCCACAGGGAGACGTGTTTGGATGAGTCCCATATGGAAACCTGCTTTGGTGGTTCCACATGCGGATGAGTTAGGATGGGCTCCATATGTGACATGCTTGGGTGGGTCCTACAGGGGACGAGCCAGAGGTGCTTAAGCATGTCCCATATGATGATGTATTGCTCTTAAGCGTGGTGGATTATGCTATAGCCAAAAGTCCAACAGGCCTTGGGAAAGGGTGAGATGAGGTGAGGTGCTTGTTGTATGAACCTGTCCCATATTGTTTGGATAGAGAGGTTGGTGTGCTATGTATGAAAAATCTTAGCTTTAACTAGAGTGACGCATTTTAAAGTCGCAAGGACAACCAAAAGTGGACAATATCACATGTAGTTGGTTCAGGTCGTTACATGTAATGTAGGGAAGAAGTCAAGAACCATATCTTACTTCTTTGCCTTCTTGGTTATGAATCTTCTGGAAATCCTCAATGAGCTTGATCAATTACATTGTTTTTTTTTTTCGATCTGAACACAAATGATAATCATTTCATTAAGTAGGGAAATTTTGATTACAATCAGTCAAGATAAAAGCCTTAAGCGCTTGAGGGGGAGAACCAACCCAATCCAGTGGGAACGAGTTGTGCATAGCAACAGCTGCCACCCAATGATCAATTACATTGTTGGTGTAATCATTTTGTGAGTAGGAACCAAGCTCAGGCAAAGAAGAATATAGCAAGAGCAAGTGTTATGAAGAGTGTGCTTAGCACTCCACTAAGGCCGAGCGCAGCTGAAGCGCTTTATTGAGCTTGCGGCGAGACTACTTTGCTGAGGCGTTTGCCTCCGGCTTAATCCCGAGGCAAATGTTGCATGAGCCTTTTTTTTTCCTCTTTTAGTGATATATTTTGGGCCATTAATATATTATCTTTGATTGGAATATTTGACATCCATAACATTAGATTAAAACTCTCTGTATAATTATCTAATTATAGTTTTAAACTCTACCAAACTTCACAGAGTTTAATCTAACTACAAGAATAAATATCTAAGTTGAAATTGGTAAAGGATGCTAATAATTCGTGAACTAGTTGTATTTTTCGAGGTGTTGATATATATTCTAATTCCTGAAAATTTATGTTAGATGTCTATTAATTTTGTATTTGGCTGAAACTTTGTAAGACTTGTTGAATTTACTTGTATTTGTGGCATAATTATAATTTTCAAATATTATCTACAACATGTGCCTTGGTTCCATGAAAGGCGTGTTTCTCCTCGCACTTCACACCCAGGCCTCTGGAGATTTTGGCCCCTCGGCACACTTTTTGCCTTAAGTAACCCTTGCTTGAGTGATGTTAAATATCATGGTAATAAATGAAGATTGATTTATAAGGTAAGAGGCATATTTCAAGTATAGAGGACTTGAACCAAGTGGCTGAACACATGTTGCATTCAGTCATTAACAATCACCACAACACAAACATTTTCCATATTGTGCATTCCCAGCCTCACTGAACTGTTTCCATAATCATGAGTTTAATTTGCGTTGTATCAGGGTTGAATAACTCATTTATTCTAATTATGATTTGTGTGGATTTTACACTTTGTGTGAATATAATTGTTTAAATTGATTGGCTCCAATATTATTATCCTGGATACATCATACATGAGACTTATGACTCAATTTATGTGTAATATGCTTGGATATGTTCTCTGTGTATGGTTATATTTCTCAAAAAATCTATTTTTATCTTCGTATGCTATCTTCTGTTTACCTGGGTAGTTTATATTTTGAAACACCAACTTATCATCAGGTGAAGGTTGTGCATATCTGTGAAGCAACATTGGCCAAGCGGTTGATCGAATTCGAGAATACACAATCAGGGAGCTTAACTGTAAGTTCACCCATGGCGGCATCTGAATATACTGTGTGAGAAACTTGCAATTCTAAAGCAATTTCTTTGGACTCAACTGCTAGAAGGTTGATTGACTTTTGTTGTAGCCTAGAAGGTAATGTGAATCATTGTCATAAATCTAGACCATCTCTACTACAGCAAATCAAGGTGGAGCGCAATCTACAGTTTGATGCTGTTGGTTCATAGACTTAGAATTTTAGAAGTGGCATACATGCACCATTTCATTTTGTCCTAAATTTGGCTTAAAGTTGCCCTTATCTCTTCCTATCTCACTCCATTTGCTCCATTGCTAGGGTAGTTCAGTCCAAGAGTCCAAGAGGTCTGGGCTCTCCTGTCAGTTTGGTGTCTTTGAACTGTTTAATTATTTTTTCATGTGTTTGGTGTTCTCTTAACTTCCTCTGTTGCTATATCTGTTGAGATTTCATATATTCTAATTTAGAGTCTTGACAGTTTCTCAATAGAAAGTGTTCATGCATTTTTATAGTTTGAAGTTGCATTGATGGAAACAGTAGTTTACTTTATGGTCTATGTACCTTGTGATCCTATGTTGATGAGATGAGAAACTTTACACTGGAGTTGCTGAAGGAATCCGAGACCTGCCCTAGAATCTTCCACTACTTCCATCTGAATCCGAATGACATCTTGTTTGGACCCTTCTACCACTCCAATACCCCTATGGAGATGATAGAGGAACTGACTGAGCAAGTACTTGATACAGTGTTTAACATCCATATAAAAGCGAAGGTGTCCTGTGTGCTAATATACATGCTTGTATTCCAATGTGGCCTTCTTATTAATTCACTATAAGCATAACCTAAATATAATTAGTGTCATTACTGTCTTTATCTTTTGAAGCCTAACATATACAACATGAAAAATGTATTAGATAGAAGGGAACCTTTAACTGCCCAAAAGCCCAAAAGCTACTTTTATTATAACCCACAAAAGCTATAAATCCCAGTATTTCTTTATAGATCACAAAAATCTCTTCCATTTTAAAATTGAAGTTGCTCTTCAACAAAACTGCCTCCACCTCTGTTTGAAGTCATACCGTATTTGAATCCCGTTGAAGCATACAAACCACAAATGCTCTCATGTAGAAATGCACTTTTTGATGGGATTGTATTCAATATTCCTCTCCCCTTCTACCACCACGAAAGTATTTTTTCCTTTCCGTTTCCCTTCTAATTTGCAGTACTTGCTAACCTCTAAAATTCTTTCTGGCTATAAAATATCTAGTGAAAGCATTTTCTGTCAGGAGGATACTTCTGTTAGAATATAATCCTCATTATTTTGAAGTTTTCTTTTCTTTTTATTTCATATTATTTTCGCTACAGAGAGAAATTCAGTAAAGAGAAATGTAGAAGAGACCACTGGTAATCTATATGATAAAGTTTACACTTGCAAATACAATTTTAGCTGACATTTGTTTCTCTCTTAAGCATGGTTTTTTCTTACAAATTCTAGAATTGCGATCACTATGCAAACGTTTCAAATTAGCTGTGATAATAATGAGGTTTTGCGTTTCCTTTTCATAGATAAAATGCAGCATGTTTATGAATGTTTATCATTTAATATGTCGAATGTGTGCTATTTCAAAAAGTGTTTTCAGTTCAATAGTATCTAAACTGAAGTGGCTTTCCGTAATGAGTGGATTGACACAAACTTGGAATGTGTGAACCGAATATCCGCGATAAGGTTGAATGAACCATTCTTCCATTACAAGTCAATTATTACTAATGTTGTAGATGGAAAAGGCTTTTGATTCAATGAGCTCAAGATTACCTATGGTCAGGGATTTATCAAGCGTTGCTAGAATTTTTTTCATTTATTTTGTTTGCACTGAAGTAATACATTGGAGTAGTGTTCAAGCTCTGTATGGCTTAGGGGCCTTTCCATAAAATCAAATACAAAAGCGCCAAGAGAGCCATATTCTAGGGGGGTGATTGATCAAGAATCCCGTGAGTCCAGGTTATTACTTGACGAAAGAGTGATTTAGCAACTGAATAGAAATATAAAAAAGCAAACCATACATTTGGCCTTGTACTTTTGTTATTTTATTTGGGGTGGGCATGAGCACGGGTTTTTGCTAGTCAAGTGTATTTGTTTTGCCATAAATTATTTTCTTTGGCTAACAGTACTGGCAGTTATACCTGTATATGCAGGTTTCTTAATTTGCATTTTGCACTCATTCATTCAGAGGTATACAACATTTTTGAGTGTATTTCGGAACTCCTGGCAATTTATGCATTTTATTAACATTTCCACTTGGACGATCCATTAATACAAGCGGTGGAAGATTGTAAATAGATAAAAAAAATTTCATTGGAGATTAGGAATAAATGGGCTATCTATCGTACACATTTTAGTGATGGGATTCATGACTAGTTTTGCTAATATGGTGCCTCAGCTAAGTAGTCGAGATTCTTTTTTATTCCATTTCTTGATGCTGGCAATGTACAATGGTCACACTACAAGCTTCATATTTCGCCATGTATTTGCCTGTATATCTAATTATTTATAGGCTATTTTAAATGTAGAGATCGGTAAACATCACCAAATTTTTTCATGTGTTATAAACTTATAATATGTAGCGCATAGTGTGTAGTTTCATAGTGAAATATTTTGTGCTTACAAAACTGAAGGTTAGTTATGCACCTAGCCACTCCTTTTAGCTCCAAAATATCACTGAATAAACATGGTGTAACTATCAATTATTGTTTTATGTTGTGTTTGGCTATTTTTTCAAAATCTTCAAGGTGAAGTACGAAACGAAAAACATTGTAGTGAAAGTCCCATGGAAATTTGTTGTTATTTTTTGCATTCTCTCTCTTTGTGTCTGTGTTTTTCTTTATTGTTGATAGTAACATGTAAGTGATAAGATTATTTTTTTCCAAAAAATTCTCCTGTTACAATTAGATTGAGGAGTTCAACAAGAAGGCGGAGGAGTTTGAAAGAGAAGAAAGATCAATCAAACAACCAAATATTGGGTTGGAAGCGGTAGGGACAAGTGAACTGCTTTGTGGACATAAAAGTGGAGAGCTTCCTTTTGCACATGGATTGTGTAAAAATTGTTATTATGATGTAACTTCTTACTTCCCTCTTCGAATCATTCTGTTTAGCAATTTAACTCTTGGAATCATTGTAGTGCTTGTATGGGTTATTGCAGTTCATTAAAATTTCAGGAGGGCTTGAGGGAGGATCAGAACCTCCAGCTTTCCAGCGTGCTGAGAGGGAAAGAACAATGAGAAAAGAAGATGTTTCTCAGAATGCTGATGATTCGAGTTTTGCTACCTCTGCCTGCCAAAACAACAGTAAACATTTAAATGTACCGACTGATGGCAATTTTAACTTTTTTCTTTTCACGTAGTATCATTGGAATTATTAGATATTGAAGTATTTCCTTTTCCTGTGTTTTCATTTTGCATTTTGTTCAAATTAACATCCATAAAATTATGGGGAAAGATTAATATCATACGTTGTTTATCATACTGTTTATAAATACGTTTAAGAACTAGCCTTTTACCCCAAATTTGGGTTTAAATTATCTGGTACTTGTGTAATCTTCAGATTTTTTGCATATGATATAATGTGTTGAGTCATCCTTGAGTTTTATTAATGGGCTTTATTTGGTTGAGGGTGTAACAAGAATCACATTCAACAATTTTCATGTGGAAGTTGAAATAAAGAAATTGACATATGAAATTTGGTTCATATGTGAATTGGGGAATACCGCTGTGCAATTTTATGGATTTCTGAAAGGGTCTCTCGTTCATGTATGTGGATGTGTTTATTTTTTTGGATAAATTTAGAAATATTTGGGTAATCAGGGAAAACGTTTATATCAAACATTAGTGTGGACCTTGGCACCTGCGATGCACAAGATCTGTAAACTCTTTCCCGGAAAATTCTTTCACCGTGATTTGGGAATTCAAAGAATTATGGAAAGTTATTGGAGATTAAAGCTAAGTTTTAAAACAGATTTAAATGAGTAGTGGTTAGTTTATAAAAAAGTGGAAAGGAGAAGGGGAGGCTGCTCAAGCCCCTCTCCCCTTAATTTGATTGGTATAGTTGTATAGATAGATTAGTATTGTCACACCCTAATTGACTTGGGTGCAAATGGCCGGTCTTGGTGGCACCTTGCACCAAGGCATGCCAGAAATCGGAATCAAGGTGACGCGGCTAAGTGGTTCGACAGATTGGGGTGAACCAAGGCAGCATGAGACCACCCGGTTGAGCATGGCAGCATGGGTGGGCTCAATTGAAGCAATGTGGGTGCAGAGCTTCGGATTGCATGGCATGGGTTGAACTTAGCATGCACATTGGTTCGTGTAGCAAGGTTGACTGCTGAATGTGGGCACCTGACTGATACATGGCTGCTGAATGCATGTGACCAGGAGGATGTGAGCGGTTATGATGCTAAAACTCAATCAAGGCAGTTGCTGAGGCGGTTCTGGATGTCCCCAGTCTGAATCCAGTCTAGATGCATGCTGATGAAGGGCAGTTCCACAACAGTTACTGGAAGTGGTGGAACTGCCTGCCAGGTGTTGCACAGAGACCAAGCCTGCTAGCCCAGTATGCTATGGAATAGCAAAAACGTGTGTAACTACCATCTGCCATCCTCTTGTATAAATAGGGGTGCTTGAGCATTCTGGAGAGGAGAGTGTTCTGGCTTTTGAGAGTTTTTGTAAATTGTTGAGTTCAATATATAAGGTTTGGGAGTGTTGTCCCAGTAAATTCGTGTGTGCCTTCTGTGTGAGTTTCTGTCCCTTATTCTTGAGTTGAGTGTGGCTGGTTGCAATAGCAACGCCTTCACAGGTAGCCTCAAAAGAAAAACGAAAGTTACCCTGTGACAGTTTGGTATCAGAGCGTAGTTTTGGCAACAGATCAACTATGGCTGGCGGAACGAATTCTGATCTGATAGAAAGGGTGGCACGTTTGGAGGAGCTGGTTGGTCCTCCACAGTCTGGTGATGCTGTAGCTCTCTCTGTGCAGCTTGAGTTGCTATATCAGCGGTTCGATGAGATGTGTGTTGCACATGAACAGCTTCAAAAGACTGAATCTGATCACTTCAGTCGAGTGAAAAACGAAGTCGTTGACGTGTTGGCTACGATCTCCACATGGACCAATGATATGGGGGAAAAATTGAGTTCCCTCGAGACCGACGTTTCAGTGCTTAAGAGGGCATTGCAGAATGCCTCTGTGGCTTCTGGCAGTGAAAGCACTCAGAAAGCTAAAGTGCCTGACCCTAAGCCTTTCACAGGCAGTCGAAATGCTAAAGAACTCGAGAACTTTCTGTGGGATATGGGGCACTACTTCAAAGCAGTCCGCACTCCGGATGCTGAGAAGGTAGATCTCACTAGCATGTACCTGTCCGGTGATGCTAAATTATGGTGGCAAACACGTTCTGAGGACAAATCTCGTCCTCCAATTACTACTTGGGAGTCTCTGTCTGCTGAAATGAAGGAGCAATTCCTTCCCAGCAACACGGCTTGGCAAGCCCGTGATGCATTGAGGAAACTTCGACATACAAGCACCGTGAGGGAGTACGTGAAGCAATTCTCGTCTCTGATGCTTGACATTAAAAATATGTCAGAGGAAGACAAGCTGTTCAACTTTATGTCTGGCCTCCAAACTTGGGCACAGGCAGAACTTCGTCGGCAAGGGGTGAAGGACTTACCCGCTGCTATGTCCGCAGCAGACGCGCTGGTTGATTACAAAATGCAGGCTAATCCTCTAGAGAAGGAGTCGAAAGGGAAAGCCAAGTTTGCTAAGAAGGATAAGCAGAAGAAAAAGGCTGAGAAGTTTGGCAATTCAGAAAAACAGACTGACAAAGCCTCTTCATCAAAGGGAGGTGTTGACTCAGGTTGTTTTATCTGTAATGGCCCTCATCGTGCCAGAAATTGCCCCAAGAAGAAAAGCTCAGTGCCCTCATGGCTGAGGAAACTGACTGTTCTGACGAACCAACACGAGTCAACCCATTACAACTTCTTAATGCAATTCGCAAAGAGGAGACAGTGGCAAAGAGGGGGTTGATGTTTGTGCAGATTCGCCTGAACAATGTGGCCGTCTAGGCAATGGTTGATACAGGTGCAACCCATAATTTTGTTTTTGATCGGGAGATACAGCGGCTTGGTCTGGCTTTGGTGAAAGACTCTAGTCAGATTAAGGCTGTTAATTCAGAAGCAAAACCAGTAGGCGGCGTCGCAAGAGAAGTCCCTCTAAAAGTGGGTGATTGGCAAGGAACATGTGATTTTATGGCAGTCCCTCTCGATGATTTCTAAGTAATCCTTGGACTGCAATTCCTTACAAAGGCAATGGTGTCTGTTATGCCGCATTTAAATGGGATGTTCGTGATGGACATGCCCAATCCTTGTTTTGTTCCCCTCACAAAGGCCAAGTCTTCGGGGAAATGTTGTCTGCCTTACAAGTAAAAGATGGCTTGCGAAAGGGGGAGGCAACATACTTGGCCATTCTATTTGAGGAAGAGGAGTCCAAAGCATTGCAAGTCCCTGAACCAGTGCAACAGTTGCTGGTTGAGTTCAAGGATGTGGCACCTAAAGAATTGCCAGCAAGGTTACCGCCAAGACGGGAGATTGACCATGCCATTGAGTTAATTCCAGGGGCAAAAATCCTTGCACAGGCTCCTTATCGAATGTCTCCATCAGAATTGGCGGAGCTAAGGAGACAACTTGGGGGGTTATTGGACATTGGGTTCATTCAACCTTCCAAGGCACCCTATGGAGCTCCTGTTCTGTTTCAAAAAAAGAAGGATGGATCCTTACGGCTTTGTGTAGACTACAGAGCGCTCAACAAAGTCACTGTCAAGAACAACTATCCAGTGCCGCTTGTCGACGAACTATTTGATAGATTGGGAAAGACATTTTCTTTACCAAGATGGATTTGCGGCTGGGATATCATCAAGTCAGAATTGCAGAAGGAGATGAGGCGAAGACTGCTTGTGTGACAAGGTATGGGTCATATGAGTTTTTAGTTATGCCTTTCGGCTTAACCAATGCCCCTGCTACATTCTGTAACTTGATGACCAATGTATTTCGGGAATACTTGGACCGCTTCATGGTGATTTATTTGGATGACATAGTTGTTTATAGCCAGACTCTTGAGGAGCATGTTGAGCATCTTAGGCTGGCCTTGACAAAGTTAAGGAAAACCCAGTTGTATCTGAAACCAGAAAAATGTGAGTTTGTCCAGAAAGAAATTTCATTCTTGGGGCATATTATTTCTGCGGGCGTGGTGAAGATGGACCCGAAAAAAGTTGAGGCCATTGCAAATTGGCCTGTCCCTACTAAGGTTACTGAACTGCGTTCTTTCCTTGGTTTGACAAACTATTATCGAAAATTCGTGAAAATTATTCGAAGAAGGTCGCGGTGCTGACTGATCTTCTAAGGAGGATAGGACATGGAACTGGTCCTACGAATGCCAGGAGGCATTCGATCGATTGAAGGCGGTGGTGACGTCTAGCCCAATTTTACGCTTACCTGATTTTGATTTGCCCTTTGAAGTCCATACAGACGCATCAAACTTTGCTCTTGGAGGGGTGCTGGTGCAGAATGGGCATCCAGTGGCATTTGAAAGTAGGAAGCTGAATGATACCGAGAGGCGGTATTCAGTACATGAGAAGGAGATGACAGCAGTCATTCACTGCATCAATGCATGGAGGCACTACTTGTTGGGGAAGCATTTCCTTGTACTGACAGATAATGTGGCTACTAGCTGCTTCAATTCCATGAAGAAGCTGACACCAAAACAAGCAAGATGGCAGGACTTTCTTGCCCAGTTTCATTTCACGTTGCAGTACAAGCCTGGCAGTGCAAATCAGGTTGCTGATGCTCTTAGTCGAATCCCAGTTGCTGATGGGACAGTTACTGCACTTAGCCAGATTGCAGGAGACATACTGCAGAGAATTCAGGATCAGACTAAAGATGATCCAGTGACCAGCTTATTGTTGAAACAGGTTCACGAAGGGGTGACTCGGCGATTTTGGGTAGAGGATGGTGTTCTCTACGCCAAAGGTAGGAGACCCTATGTTCCGAAGTCAGGCGGACTTCGACAGATGTTGCTGAAAGAAGCTCATGATGCTCTATGGGCAGGACATCCAGGGCAGCAACGGACTCTTGCCTTGCTAGCAGAAAGTTATTATTGGCCCCGTATGGAAGCAGATGTGGAGCTGTATGTGCGCACTTGTTTGGTGTGCCAGCAGGACAAGATTGAAAGGAAGAAGGTGGCGGGTACATTGGAACCTCTCCCTATTCCAAGCCGACCTTGGGAGAGTGTTTCCATGGACTTCATTAATGGCTTGCCTCAGGTAAACGATTTTACTTCGATATTTGTGGTGATAGACAGATTTTCGAAGTATGCCACTTTTATTGCTGCCCCAAAAGTATGTACGGCGGAAGTTACTGCTCAGTTATTCCTCAAGCATATTGTGAAGCTTTGGGGTCTTCCACTGGACATAGTGAGTGACAGGGACACTTGGTTTACTGGCCGATTCTGGACAGCTTTATTTGAACTGTTGGGCACACAGCTCAACCTTTCCACCAGCAATCATCCGCAGACAGATGGGCAGACTGAGCGGGTCAATGCAATGCTGGAGGAATATCTCAGACATTATGTCACAGCGAACCAGGACAATTGGGTGGATTTACTTGATGTAGCCCAGTTTAGTTATAACCTCCAACAGAGTTCTTCCACTGGAATGAGCCCCTTTGAGTTGGCAACTGGCCAACAGCCTCTTACCCCGCATGAAGTTGTCAAGCAAAAGTCTCAAGGGAGATGTCCTGCAGCATATTGCTTCGCTCGGGCCAATCAGGAGAGGACCGATGAAGCAAAAGACTGTTTAACTAAGGCGGTGAAGAGGATGAAAAAGTGGGCAGACGAGAAGAGGAGGGCAGTAGAGTTCGAAGTGGGTGACAAAGTGATGCTGAAATTGACCCCACCAATCTGGAATAAGATCTCTCGGAAGTCTGCACACAAGGGATTAATCCAGCGTTATGACGGCCCTTTCCTAATAACAATGAGGATAGACAGGTTGGCCTATAGGCTGGATTTTCCCAGTTGTCTCAAGCTTCATCCAGTTTTTCATGTTGCATTCTTAAAGCCGTATGTTGAGGACCCTAACAGATACGTTCGGCGTCGGGCTCCTCCAACAATCAGGAAGCAATTCACAGAAATAGCTGAAGCTATCCTTGACCACAAGACTGAGAGAATAAGTAAGAAAAATAGAAGAACTCATTACCTAGTCAAGTGGAAAGGGAAAGCACCGAAGGAAGCCACTTGGGAGAAAGAAACGACATTGTGGCAGTTCGAGGATCTCATAAAGCAATACCATGCCTCCATTCCAACGAGGTCGTTGGATACTTTAGGTGGGGGTGGCTTGTCGCACCCTAATTGACTTGTGTGCAAATAACCGGTCTTGGTGGCACCTTGCACCAAGGCATGCCAGAAATTGGAATCAAGGTAACGCGGCTAAGTGGTTCAACAGATTGGGACGAACCAAGGCAGCATGAGACCACTCGGTTGAACATGGCAGCATGGGTGGGCTCAATTGATGCAATGTGGGTGCAGAGCTTCGGATTGCATGGCATGGGTTGAACCCAGCATGCACATTGGTTCGTGTTGACTGCTGAATGTGGGCACCTGACTGACACATGGCTGTTGAATGCATGTGACCAGGAGGATGTGGGCGGTTATGATGCTGAGACTCAATCAAGGCAGTTGCTGAGGCGGTTCTGGATGTCCCCAGTCTGAATCCAGTCTAGATGCATGCTGATGAAGGGCAGTTCCACAGCAGTTACTGGAAGTGGTGGACTGTCTGCCAGGTGTTGCACAGAGACCAAGCCTGCTAGCCCAGTATGTTATGGAATAACAAAAACGTGGGTAACTACCCCTTGGCAGATGGGGGTGTCATCTGCCATCCTCTTGTATAAATAGGGGTGCTTGAACATTCTGGAGAGGAGAGAGTGTTCTGGCTTTTGAGAGTCCTTGTAAATTGTTGAGTTCAATATATAAGGTTTGAGAGTGTTGTCCCAGTAAATTCGTGTGTGCCTTCTGTGTGAGTTTCTGTCCCTTATTCTTGAGTTAAGTGTGGCTTGTTGCAATAGCAACGCCTTTACAGGTAGCCTCAAAAGAAAAACGAAAATTACCCTGTGACAAGTATTGTGTATGTGGATGTGTCTATGTTTGAACTTGTATTGAGAACCTATATTGTTTATGATGTGGAAAGCTGCGGGGTTGTACAACTTTCATTAATTATGAATTCATTGGAGAAAGCATTACTTGTTTCTGTTTAATACTTTTCTTTTTGCCATATCATGGTCTTTATTAATGCTGCGGTTGACGTTCTATAGATGGTGGGATACAAATGCTAAGATCTCAATCGGTGTCATTAGAGGGCTCTACAGATGTTGTGTCAATTAATCATTGGCTCGTCTAAATATTCCTTCCTACCCCAACCCTTTTTTTGGGGGGGGCGAGGGGAAGTGGTGTGGTAATTTCAAGGTATTTCGTGATTAATTTCAATGTCATTTATAAAAAGAGTCATATGGACATCAAGGTTCCAGTTCTTATATATGAATAGGGAAACCATTAAAACTGTGATTTCAGTCAGAACTTGTTGAACTGCCATATAATTTTTGAGTTTTTAGCATGAAGAAATACTCATCTAACATAACTACACACCTTTATCAATTTCGACTAATGTAGAACGTTCACTTGCCTGATTATTGATTGTAGCTTTAACAGTCTGTTTTATTGTGAATTTTAGTTCTTCAATAAAAGTCATAAAAGGTTCATAACAGGTTTGGTCCCTGTTAATCTACGATTCTGGGAGGCTTGGACTGGATACAACCTTAACCTTTGTCATTATTTGAATTCTTCAATGTCCATTCAAAGAAGTAATTATATAGTTTGGTGCCTTTTGGCAGAGATACTTGAAGGGAGTGGAATGGGGATGTTGTTTGCACAATGTGGTAGCCCGCATTCTTGAGCCTGCAAACTCATGAAAAACTTAATGTGTCTTTTATTGTTGATCAGATTGGTGTTGAGATGCTTAGGGAATCTTAAATTGGCATATTATTCTCTACACTTGCTAGTATTCTCAGTGGCAAACATTTTACTGGTTCATGTATATATTTACATGCTAGACAATCCTACTTCATATTTTGATAGCTGTTTTATACTATTCATTTTTTTCTTTTCAAGCATTTGTTCAGTTCCACTGTTTGTTTGAATTTGTTAGTTTGAGAAAGAAGCGAACATTCCAAACGTGAGCAGAAATGAAAACTTGCAGCAAACAGAGCCTGGATTAATAGGTAATTATTGCCATCTTATTTTTGTGACAGGATAGGGCATGAGAAGGGCCCCAAATGTACATTTTCAATTTATAGATATCCTCACTGGTCTTGACAAATTCAGGGGCATCTACAATTCATGTTGGTATTCATGATAATGCCAAATTACATGGAGTTGATGATGCGAGTCCTAAAGTTTGTGATGAATCAGAGAGCTTTTCTGATATTGATGATGTTGAGGTACTGATCATTTTTCATGGTTTTGGTTTGTCATAGCACTGCACTTCTCTAGTTACCAGTTATGACTATTTTTCTGCCTTATTTAATCAAAAAAAAAAAAAGAAAGGAAAGAAAGAAAAGCAGGGTGTGGTCTGCTATGAAGTGAGGATATGTGGTGAGTAAAAGGGACCAAACCTGAATAGGTCTTTGACACTCCCCACTTAAATCTACACCAATTTTAAGATCTATCTACCACAATAACCCATTAACCAATTATTTAGTCAATATAAGCTTAATGAACCCCTTTTTTCAACTGACCCTCAATGAATATTGGATGCAAGATATATGAAATCAACATTTCAGTCCACCATCCTTATCCCTCCAACAAGTCCAACCATCAATTTGCAAATCAAATTGATGAAGACATAAAATAGGGCAATCTATGAATCAATTCATCAAACACATGGTGTTTGTGTGTGCGCGCTATTGCAAGTTTGTGTGTGCTAAATTAAAGCAATAAACAACAATTCATGGCACGAATAATTTTAACGTAGAAACCTTGTCGGGAAAAAACCGCGAGACCAATTCCGGTCCACCTAACTTAATCCACTATTCTCAAAGTTGATTATAGGGTCGAAGATTTATACCTTGTTGAAGACCCTTTTCAACAGTTTAAGCTTTTGGAATAGATGGTTGTTTAACATGGTATTAAAGTTGGAGGGCATGTGTTTGAATTTCGTCGCCACCTAATTATTAAAAAGTTTTTATGTGTTAGGCCTAAAATCAAGCTTGCATATGAGGGGGCTTGTTGAAGTATACATACTTAAAGTTACACCCTCTCTAATAACTTAAGCTTTTTGTAGATGGTTGTTTAACAGACTCTAACCAATACACAATCTAACCCTCCGGATTACCCCACCATGAGGTCTTGAGCAATAGCTTCAGTGGGACAAGTCGAATGCGATGTTGAGTCCATGTTTCGAGTAATTTTCTAGAACTCCTTCCCATGATTCTCAGTATGCACACAATTTGATGTGGGTTTGGTTGTTCTTCGCTAGTCTTCTTGATTTGAACGTTGAAGATCAAAGTAGAATGACTTTTGCATCTTAGGGATCTAGGGATTTTTCTTGGCTCTTTCTATATGATGTAAGAGGATTTAAGCTCTGGAGAGTTACCATAAGGGAAAGAGGCATGCCCTATTTATAACCCAATTAGAGTAGTCTTGGTGTCCAAACTATTTGAGGACGGTCATAATTAGAATGAGAAAATGAATCAAGCCAAATGTCTCTACAGGAGCTTGCTACTTGCGTTAATAGTGGTGATGTACAAGGGAAGAGGACTGTGACTGCAATTTGAAAGTCATCAAATTCTGACCAGCCCGAATGGGTCCAGTTGGTTTTTTCTCCTTTTATTGTCTTCTCTTGCCATTTGAACTCATGTTTGCTATAACATTCTAAACCCCGACCTTAATAGCTTGGCACTTTCTAGTTGATGATGACTTCAAGATGACAAATCCTTTGTCTGTTTTTGCTTGTGTACTCTTCTTACTTGACCATGAGATTTGACTTGATGGGTACATCAACTGGTCTAGCACCAATTGTTGAATCCAATGCATGTGAGTAACACTAGTGTGTTCATAGTTGTTATCCCTAGCAGTGGCTGCTTAGTTATATATGCTAATTAAAGATTTTGTCTATAAGCACTGGATAAGATCATATATTTCTGAGCCTGTACAGTTTCTAGCTAGTCAGCAATCTGCAGGTAATATGTTGCCTTCGAACTTAGTTATATGTTACCAGGCATATCCGAGATAAATTACATTCTTCCTTTTGGGTCGCTGACTTATAATGGTTGTCATTTGTCACTCAAAAGAAGCAATTTTTGCGTAGGTTGACGGGTACCTTCACAATGAAGAGGAGAAGCAGTACAAGAAGATTATTTGGGAGGAAATGAACAGGGAATATCTTGAGGTGATCTGATTTATATCCTGTTTTGTTCAGCATTGTCTATGGAGATTCTACTGACATAAATTGCATGGAAAGTAATAATAGAATCATGACTTGGGGGCTGCAGTGCACAAGTTACTACCTATCTATGGAAGGCATAAAGAGGACATTTGGAATGATACATATATGCTGGTGTATAATTTTTTTAAAGATATTTTTGCATTGCTGTGTATTTGAAATTAAATTATATAGTATTCTACATTTAAATATTTTTATAATATTCTACTAGATATTTGGGGCTGTTCAATATTCTATCTGCCCAAGTCAAAATTGTAATGTTTTGTGCTCTTGTTTGTTCAAAATGTGTCATGGAAATCGACTCATTGCACAGTGAGTGCTTTTGGAAAATTAATGATTTGATTGGTTATAAGACGTTACCCTTTTCATTCATGCTAGCCTGTAGTTACTCCATATATCTCTTTTATGATGTCAATAAATTTCAGGAACAAGCGGCTAAGGAAGCAGCCGCAGCAGCTGCAAAGGAAGCTTGTGAGGCTAATTTCCATAACTGCCCGGAAGGCATGCAAGCTGCACAGGAGCTTGCTGCTGCTGCCGCAGCAGCTGTGGCAAAATCAAGGAAGGTGATTTCCTTGCTCACATTACAAACTAATTGCAACTCTTTTCATTGCAATGCCATAACTCTTTAATGGTTTCAAGTTGAAAATAATTGCTTTGATGTTTAATATATTTTGCTCATAGAACGGGAAAACTAAATACTGATATCATTTTTGTTGAATGACCAATCAATCTCCCCTTGATCAAATTTACTGTTAGACTTGTATGTAAACAAGTAGTTATGAATCTTAAAGAGTAGTCCAACTTAGGTTTTCATCTTCTACATGGCTCTTTATGTGGGGCTTGGTGCACCATGAATTGGACGGGCATATTAACATGTTTCAAATATCATTATGTTATGTGGAGATTCAGAACTTCCTACATCAGTAGCTTGTTAATAAATGCGTACTCTTATGCTTAAGGTGGTAAAATTTAGTCATTTATCTCTGGCAGTAGTTATTCTGTGATTTATATTAGATTGTTTAGTTACTTAACTGATAGAGACATCTGCATTTCTTTTGGTGGGAAAAAACTGTTTAAAAAGTACTCTGTAGATTGTTGATGGCTTAAGTGAACTGCTTCATGGTTTTCCACCACAAAGTGCTGTTATTCTTTTGGGCCTGGCGATGTGTGTTGCTTTCTGGAACGGCCAGATGGTGTCTGATAGTGTAACCCAAAGCATCAAGCATGTGTTATTGAAATTCTGTTGCCTTGTGCCACTGCCTATTGGCAGTGACCCAGTCTAATAGTTACTGCCACTTTAAATTGATTCTCAATTTCCATATGTATAAGATGCAGAGGTCAAGCTTTTCACACTTCCTTCCCTTCTCTTAGATTTTTGTTGATGCAAGTGTTTTCAAGGGGAGTATAAATGAGAAAACCGTTATGCTAGTTACATTGCTTGTCAACTTGGACATGTCCCTGCTGCTTTTTATCTATATATGTATATAATATGTTGTCACTGTATTTTTTTCAGGAAAGGCAACAGAGGCGAGCTGCAGAGGCAAGTAATTCCTCTCCGCCTCAAACTGCAGCTGAAGCCACCCGGCAAATGTTAACTAAAAAGGTACTGATGTTAAACAGAATATTAAGAAACAAATTTCCTAAGCTTCACTTTATTTTTGAACTTGGAATTTTGGTGGTATAGGGAACTTAATAACCAAGCTCTAGGATTATAGCTGCATTGCTGGATTTAAAGTAGGAGCTAACTGAAGAAAGAACTAGGAGCTATAGCTATTGATCTTATTCATCAAACTGACATCCAAAAAAATTGTGAATTAAAATTTTTTTCTCCGCATCAAGGTTGAATCACATCAGGAATAGTAAGATTTGATAGTATAAAGCAAAAATATATATATTCGAAATGGAAGATTGATGTAGGACCCCTATGTAAAATTAAAATGGGGGATGTTTTGGGCTGTGAACAGTAACATGAACAGTAAAATTGGCTGTAAACAGTAAATTGAACAGTAAAATAGACCAGGAATTACACAGAGAGTTCCTTAGGCATCACATCTCTCTATTATTTATTAAAAATATCACTAATTATATATAAAGTTGTAACTACTAATCCTAAAATATTAGGATTCCAAAGTCTCTGGGACTCCAAAAACTCTAAATCATGGTTGCCACAGTTCACTAAATCCTTAACGACTCATGATCTGGGTACATCGATCTGAAACGTGATGGGTTCATGATCCAAATCACCATAATTGACGACCTCAAATTGCAATACTAACTCTATATCAATTTGCTTTAGAACATGTAGCACAAATATAAAATACATATTAATTGACTACATATATATAGATTTATAATTATATATTCTTTTAGAAAATAGAAAATCAAGCACAATTATAAGATAAATGATAACGAACTTAGTATTTATGAATGTTTTGTAATATATAATGTTGTATAGTAGTGAAAACGATTTACATAAGAGTTCTAAAATAAATTGCGACCCAAAATACCGTACCAGTTAAACCTACCCCCATCGTATCACGTACATAAGAATGTGTCGTACCATGTACCCATACCTGTACCACATACCAAAGCGACCAACGATCCAGGTAACTTTGCTCTAGATCACTAAAAATTAGAAAACTAAAACAACTTAGAACTAGGACTCTAAATTCTAGAATATTCAACCCTAGAATTTGACTCAAAAAACGACCCACAGGTTGGACTATGACTCATTCCAGATATTCTAGAAATTAAAAAAATATCCTTGAGTCTAAAAACTATTAAAATGACATAAAATACTAATACTAGCAAATTGACTCAAACTAACTTAAAATAAGACTCAAAATACAATTTTGCAAGGTTCCATATGGATTTTTATTTTGATGGAAAGCCAATTTCATTGTTTTTCACATCTTCGAAATTGTGTTTCTTTGAGCATCTTATGGATTGCATAAAAGATACTATAGTAGTCTACAATGATTTTGCATTATTATTTAAGATGTGACAATGAATGAGTTTTCTTAGCAGCATTAACATATTATGTACTTCCAAAATTTGAGCTAATTTTTTATTTTATTTTTAAAAGAGAGTTCATGCCTTTAGCGTACCAATTTATCAATTTCATCATTGTAGTAAACTACGCATTATGTGCGATTTGCCAATTATTTCATAATACCATGACACACCAGATTGCATGGCTCAAAGTTCTTATAATGTGTTGACACAGCAGCCAAACAAGTTGTTAGTAGTGTGACGGGACTTTAGGCGGCGCTATCTCAAGTTATTGCAAGAACGCACCCGTGCATAGTGTATTGTCCAGGTGTTTGATAAAATAGCAACTAGTGTTATTTAAGGCGTAAGACAAACTGTGTCGTTGAGGGTCTCTTGGGGCCAATTCAAGAGGCAAGATGCGAAGTGAGGGCTTTATCAAAGAGATGTGAACATTGTATATAACAGGCAAATATTTTATCATTGACTAATCTGTCAAGCAAGGCACAAAAATTGCAAGTCACAAATAATCATCCAAAAATTATGTAGCATCAAATTTCCAACTTTTTAAATACCAAATAATACAAATAGGGCAAACAAGTAGAATTAATTTCACAATGAAGTTTTAGTGCATAAAACCTAACATATAAACCATTACATACAATCACATTTCAGAAAGTAAAAGGGCTTTGAGAGAAGTAATAGAATGTAGAAATGCTTTTGCGCACTAAAAAAGAAACATAAAGTAGAAAAAGGGACAACAAAGGGTTGGTGGAATGATGGAAAATGAGGCCTGTCTTGGTTGTGCAACAAACATTGGGTTCGAGGCTATAGTCCACCAATTATTAAAAAATAATGCCAATGATACGAAACAATAGCAGGAGAAGAGGAAAAGAAGGGTATCAAGCATACCTGGTAGCATGAGAAAGAGTCACAAAGAGAGAAGATAGTAGATAATGCAACCCAAGTTTTAGAATGGATGTAGAACTTTTGGAATCAAAATGGCTACCAAACAACTAGCAGTAACACACAAATACAGTAAGTAAATGTAAACAAAGCTATCAAATGCAATCATCATGGGGCTAAACTATGTTTATGGTAAAGAAATAATGTCTCAAAATGGCCCATAAACAACAATAAGCAGTAAGGGAAGGCTAAAGGTGTCAAGTTCTGTGGTCTTTTAATTCAGCTCTAGGTAAGGAATGAATTTTTTGAAGGTTTAAGCAAAAATCTCCAGCCATCTAGAACATCAGGTGATGTTGGTAAATGGAAGGGATAGGCTTTGGAAACAAGGGCCAACAAGAAGAAGGGAGGAAATAAGGAAGAAATCTTACATGGAGGTCCGTAGGAACTGTTAAAACCTAGAAATCTATAACCAGCTGTGCAGAGAAGCTTGTAACCCTTGGGAGTTAGGCTAATTATAAGAGGGAGAACTCTGTATCCCAACCCTTCATTTCCCTTCAAGTGTAGGTGTCTCTTATCTTATATAATTTAACTTTCACCTCATTTAACAAAATGTGGACATCCCCCACATCATAGGGAAAAAAAACTTTAAAATAACATAACTTAACATAACATAAAATAACAAAAAAACTAGAAATGTAAATATAAGTCCAAAAACTAAACTATATCAGCTCTCCCCTGGTGGGATGAACTCGACTCCGGCAAGAAAGCCTTTGAAACAAGTCCTTGCATTGGCATCTCAACTCCTTCTCGTCAATCCACGAGGAATCAGTCAATGGCCGATCTCTCCATCGGTCAACTGTAGCTATTTTTTTTTTTGGGTCTTTTGCCTTGTATCCTTTTGCATATAATGTCATGTATGATTGAACCAAATCATGGGTTCATTTAAGTTTTGCATGGTGGTGTGCACTTATGTGTGTGTGTGTATTATTTTACAACCTATTGTATCCTTGTGTTAGACTTTTGAACGATTTTTGTATTCACCCTTTAGTTATATGCATTGTTATGTTTCTTTGCAGAGGCTTATGTCTAAAGTCAACTACGATGTATTGGAGAAACTTTTTGATGAATCTGTATGTACATCTTCTATCCACAGTTTCAATTTCTTAGCATTGTTGCTGTGTTGTTAGTTTATTAATAGCAGTTGTCTTTATTGTTTTTTTTTCCATGCATGCAACTCAAGGCGACCCAACAAAGCCTTGTCACAATTACTTAAAGACTACTTCATGAACATTTTTTCGCCAGTACACTCTGTCAATCATCTTATCTTCTAGTAATGCACAAGCTACCATATTCTTTGTACTTCCCATTCAAGATTAATTTTGGTTTACCTATACCCTACTCGTTATTGTCAATAGCGATCACATCACTCTTCATCATTAATATAGGAGTTGGTCTTGTATAATTATTTCCAAAGACTCCAAATCATTGAAATTAATTATCTCTCAATTCATCTTCCCTACTTAACTCGAGGTTTTTAAAATTAGGATCCTACCTTGGATCATTTTTTTTTTTTTGGGGGGGGGAGGGGGGAGCGGCTAAAAGATTAGGATCGTAGTATCAAAACGGGAATCGTAAGATCTTATGAGCTGAAAAAATAGACTGGAAAATATATAACAATGCAAAATATTTAAAAACAAATTTAATACATAATGCAAAAATATAGAAATGTCAATGACAAACATCTAGAACTTAGAGTTATAACAGCATCGAAAATAAAAAATGGGTTGTTTATCTTGTGGGGATTTTTCAAAGAGTAATAAGAGAATTGGAGGAGTAGTTTAATTTTAATTTTTAGATAAAAGACGGAGATGGGAAAGAATGGGAAAGTGAAAAACTGTCGAATAAACAACTTTAATTGTTCAACGCCCAAAAAAATGAAAAGCATAAGAGAATGAAAATAGAAGTCATATGTGGCTATGGTCATTTGTTGACAAAGAAGAGAACAATATAAATTGTATTCAACTTTCCAATGAGAGACGAATAAATAAATAGAGAGTTTTCGATAACGAAGAGAATTTTTTGTAGCCTTTTTTCATCAATCAAAATTCCCAATGGACTTATTAGTGTATGAGACAATCACATTTGGATTGAACCTTTAAATATCAAAGCAATAAATATGGATTATAGAAGCTCAATGACTAAAGGATCTTAACAAACAATCCCAATATCTTGATTGGTAAAATTGCAAGCGGAATCGGGATCCTATGATCTTATAAGATCTAAATCACAATTTATTAAATCCTATGATTTTGGAATTTTTCAGTACATTTGAATCGATTTTCATATACTGAATCGGGATGCTGGTAACCGTGCTTATGAAATCTATCCATATCACATGTTCATCTTGACTCCATATTTTAGTTTTTGAGCACATTGTTTCTTTTGTTGCTCAATATTCTTTACTAGAAAACATGATTGGTTTTGTAAGTGTTTTGCAATCTTTCAACTTAAGAGATTTTTGCCTATCACCTTATAAACCAGATGTATTACTTAATGCATCATTCCTTTGCAGTAACATCATCTCCAATCTTACCTCCTGGACTTCTATCTCTTGGTTAATTTCATTATTATTTCTCTCCGCCGGAGAAAGTATGAGGTTTTTTTTTTTAAGGGAAGGGATGGAGGTGTGGAAATGAAGAAGCAAAAGACATGGAGAATCAAAATGAAATCAACATATGTTAAATAGTTAAAGATGGCTAAAAGACATCATCTGGAAACTCCTTCCAACTTTGAACAATTGTCGTAGCTGCCTAGATGTAACATAGTTGAGTAAAGAACCCAAGGTAGTTAACCAGGATTTTGAAAAATGGTTGTTACGTAATGGTAACGTAGCTGTTTGATCCATTACACTCTCTTATAATGGTGGGGATGAAATTCACAACCGTAACGGCTGTTACGGCCGCTTAACGGCACTGTATTGGCCGATATGGGCAAAGTCAGGTTGATTTAACCCATTACAACCCGAAAATCATCCAAAATTCAGATCTAGAAACCCAAGTTTCAGCCACTCCGTTCTCTCTCATCCTCACTCAAATCTAGAAAATTTTTCATCTTTGAGATGCAAAAATGATTCAAAAAGCCTCTTCTTTAATTTGGATCTAAGTATCCATTTCAGTTGAATTTCAGATTTGTGTTGGATTTGATGGAACAATCTCCATATATTTCAGATTTGTGTTTTGGTATTGATTAGCTGAACTGTTGAGGATTTGTGAAGCTTTCACGTTGGTCTCAGATCTGTGATGAAAAAGCTTTGCTTTTCGGTTTCAGATGCTCGCGTCGTTCCATCGAAGACTCTGTCTCTCACCACCTCTGTATTTCATATGTCGGTTTGGTTTTGTGGGTATTGGGTATTTGGTAAAGTTTGTAAGTGTCTCACTAATTGCTTTGAGTGGTGAGATCTTGTTATTTAGTTTAAATGGGTCATGTGTTGAGGCTTTCTAATCATTTTTTTTTTACACAAAATATAAATTATGATATCATATCATAATGTTTTTTGTAGTGAGCTCATTATTATAATGCTTATTCAATATTATACATATTTTTAATATCTCATTAACATGTTTATGATACAATAAAATACAATAAAAATTACAAAACACTCATATTTGCATTATTTTAGAGTTGAAATATGTAAAGATTCATATTTTTTGGTGTTGTGAGTAAAAAAAAAATTCACGCTTTCGGTTTTTGTTACTGTTACGTAACACCTGTTTCACCTCGCGTCCGTTATACCGTTACCTTTACCGTTATTCAGAACCATGTAGTCAACTGATAGGTCGATATTAATTAATGCTCGTTGGTTTTCAGTTTTTATCAATACCATTTGGCAAAAGGTTTAACATGAAAGGAGGTGGATTTTGCCTTTTAATGAAGATATATTTTGAGGCATCCTAAAATATGAATCTTATGCGAACTATAAGTAGATTATTTTGACTGAAGAAGTAGATTGAAATGCTCAAGTATCTTCATGTGACCTAAAGATTAATCATGAAATTTTATTATATCATCTATGTTAGAATTCTTATTTGAGATTATTAGTAGTGTGGGTAATAATGTAATTGCTCATAATGTCAATTTATTATAAATAAGAGAGTGTAGGGCAACATTACTTATATACCAGATTATTCTTATCTTTCTCTTGTCTCGCTTTTCTCTTCTCTTCTTTGTCTTCCTAAACCCTAATATCAAATTCACTAATTTAACTTGGTATAGAGCACTTCTTTCCTTGTTTTTTTTTTCCCCTTCCTTTTGTGACAGGAATCGACAACACATCTATTGTTGATCTTTGAGTTTTAAGTTTGGTTGAGGAGTTGTTTATGGTTGGGTTGCATCGACTCTGTCTTTGGTATTTCTTCCTAATTTTTTGAAATAGACATTGACATCTCCTGATTGGAAATTGACTATGGATGAGGAAATAAAAGCTCTTAATGAGAATCAGACATGTGACCTTACTCCTCTTCCTTTTGATAAACAGTCTGTTAGTTGTTGTTGGGACTACACAGTGAAATATTATCTTGATGATCTAGTTGAGCATTTAAAGGTCTATCTAGTTGTCAAAGGCTACACCCAAACATATGGTGTAGATTACTATAAGACTTTCTCTCCTGTTGCTTATCTTAACCTTGTTAGATTTCTTATTTCGGTTGTTGTGAGTTGTGATTGGCCTCTGTATCAACTGAACATCAAGAATATTTTTTTACATAGAGACCTGTAGAAGGACGTATATATGGTACAACCTCCAGGTATGTTGTATTTGATAAGGAACAAGTAGTGTGTCATCTGAAGAAAACACTATATCAAAGATCTAAGTCTTTTTCAGTATTTTCTTGGGATTGAAATTTCTCGGTCAAAAGAAGGTATCAGTTTTTGTGCCAATGGAAATATGTATTAGATTTATTATCTGAAACTTGCACTCTTAGTGCACGTCCGGCTGATACTCCCATAGACTGTACTATTAAGTTGAATGCTGATAGTGGTGAAGTGTTTGATGATGTAGGGCGTTAGCGAAGGTTGGTTGGTAAGCTGATTTACCTTATAGTTACACGTCCTCATTCTACCTGTGATATTGGTGTGGTTTGTCAGTTCATGCATGCTGCTCGTAAGCTTCATTGGGAGGTTAGTTGTGTATTCAAGCACCGGGTAAAAGATTATTATATCTTCCTTGATCCTCCATAATTGTTATTGAATTTTCTGATGCTGACTAGGTAGATAGTCGTATGAACGTTTATTGGTGATAATCTAGTTACTTGGTGTAGTAAGAAACAAAATGTGATTTTTTGGTCGAGTGTAAGGTTGAATATCGAACTATGGTTCATATTGCGTGTGAGATGTTGTGGTTTCGTTCACTACTTCTTTATATAGGTATCAGTGTGCCCTTTCCTATGGAGATGCATTCATACAACTAAGCAACTATTTCCATTGTCAGCAATCTAGTATTCCATTAGAGGACTAAACGCATTGACGTGAATTGTCATTTTATTCGAGATCTCTTAATATGTAGGGAGATTAGCAATCTAGTATTCCATGAGAGGACTAAACGCATTGACGTGAATTGTCATTTTATTCGAGATCTCTTAATATGTAGGGAGATTATGAGTCTAGTGATCAGTTGAGTGACATCCTTACTGAATCATTGGCTCGATCTGTCTTTAGTAATTTTTGTTTTAAGCCGGACTTTTTTGATCTGTATGCTCCAACTTGAGTGGTTGTGTTAGAGTTCTTATTTTAGATTATTACTAGTGTGGGGTGATGATTTAATTGCACATAATGTCATTTTATTATAAATAAGAGTGTGGGGCAACAAGCTTGCACACCAGATTATTATTGTCTTTCTCCTCGTTCTTTTCTCGTCTTTTCTTTGTCCTTAATATCAAATTCACTAATAGTATATATAGTTTCTCATGTCTCTGCTAACTAAATATAATAATTTATTAATAATAATACTAATTTTATTTAAGTTTCCATATAATTATGATTGACTGTGATTAAAAAATTGGAGCAACACAGTACAAGCAAAAGACACATACATGGGCTCACCTGGATTTGTGCTATATGAGCCACGTTACCGCTTAATGTAATGAGCTTGATCAGTTGCAGTGGTGGATGCACCAGGGGGCCTGGGGGTAGTGGCCTCCCAAGTTTTTTGGAAAGACCTGAAAGTATAGGTGTCTCTATAGTATCCATTCATTTAAAATCTTGAACCGACCACTCATTCCTTGTGCATCCGACTTCCCTGTTTGCTCATTATACGAATTTAGAAAGATAAATTATTTGGTCTTTCAAGCCTTCTTAATGATGGAAATAGTGGCCATGTGATTGATTCATGTGGTTGTTGAAGATGTCCCACTTATATATGATCAAAATGAAAATGCAAGTAGTGGAAAGTAGTAACCTACTCTATTTTTCAAGATGCCCAAATTTTATTATTTTTGATCTAAAACTATTTTTAGTTTATCTCAAGATGAATATTAGAAGTTAGTGGACAATCTACTGTTTCATTCTCTAATTTTTTGTGTATTATATCCTTTTGTGTTGCGTACCTTTCAATTTACATGTACTAGCAGGCAGCTCCTGAGAACGCCAAGAAAATTCGAACCAAATCAGATTCTTACAATGATGGCAACGTGCCACATTCCAGCAAAGAAGATACAGAATTGAAGGGCCCTTACGAAGATTCAGGGGTTACCGGAGCAGCTTACATTAATGATATGTGTTTAGACAATATGGAAGGATATGATTACGATGACGGTTATGATTTTGATGAGTACTGAATAAGGAGTTACTCCTTTTTAAGTTATCTTGGGAGGGAATGTAGGTATTTGAATTACCTGTTGTAATGTTGATATTAATTTATCTCGAGAGCTGCTATTCGTTTTTGGAGAATCATCGCATATCTATTTCTGCAACTTGAAGTTGAGTTAGGTTGGCAAGGTTACAAAACTTCGGACTTCGTTTGCTTTGAAAGTTAGCATGAGCAGGCCTGTCAACAGATCGGATTTGCATCTGTCTAGATCAGAATCCAATAAAAAATTTGAGATTCAAATGTAATTCATTTACTTGATGAATTTAAAATTTTAATTTATATCCGCATCCATTAATGATTGGATATTTGATTCGATCTAAAAATTTGAATGCTAATAAAATTTTATAAAAAAATAATATTAAATTTAAGTTAATTATTAACCTAATTTAATTAACTAATCATTCTATTTTATATTTTTTGTTTAATTTCATTAATAATATAAGGATGTATGTATATATATATTTTTATTTGATCGAATTTATATATATTCAAATTCAAATATGTTTAAAGATTCTATTTTTTTACCGTACTTGTTATTTTTCGCTAATCAAAACAAGAAATGTACAAAGGCTCTATATTTTTACCGTCTTACTTTATTCTATTATTTTTACGATCAACAATACAGACAAAATAAAATATAATTTACCGTAATTTTTTTTATAGTACCCTAGCAACTTATCCGGCACCGTAGTGTCATCCCAAAAAAAGAAAAAAGAAAAAAGAAAAAGAAAACCCTCAAATTCATACTGTAGCTTTTGTATCTATCCCCAAACTGGGGGTAGGGTTACCTACCATTCCACATGTTTCAGATTTAGAACATCTTTTTGGCACCCACTGGAATATGCCTCCCCAAAGTCCAAGCTTTACATCTTTTCTACAATTAAAGTTTGATATAATTATTGTCATCAAGAAGATGACTAATTCTCTCACCTCATTGTTGCTTTGCTGTTGTTGTTTGGACACAGCTCCATACATTCAATAGTCACCAGCCCCTGACCGCCAAGTGTCCTTGCATTTTTGTCCATAGCTAATGGGTATTATTTTACACATGAATGAAATTAAATTAATTTTAAATATTTTGATATATTTAATTAATCATATTAGATATTTAATCCCCAAACTCACCCAAAAAATGTTGAGATAAGGCTTTTGAAATTGAGTTGAATTAATTTATTTATTAATTATGTTACATTCAACACAATATACACAACTCATAAACCAAAAATTTAATACTAAAATTGAAAATCCTCTTTTCAAAAACTAACAATCAACTGAGCATATGCTTACCACAACAATTGGGAACACATGTAATTTCATTAGTATTTCCATATATCAATTCAAAAAACAAAAAAAAAATCATAAATTTCTACTTATTATTATACTTAAGTAAAAATGTTCGTTTTATTTAGGATTAGAAAAATACTATTTGAATTTCATTCAAGGATTTTATTTAGGGGTCCTAATTTAATGTAATTATTGGATTAACAGTAAATTTTATTAAACATTAAAATTTAAAATTAATCTAATTATTGCATTGAATTCGATCCTTATAACATTACTCTAGCGGGCAGTGATGTCCAACATGATGTGGAGGTTCCCAATTCAACTCTCATTCCCTCCTCCTTGTATTTAGACTGTGTTATTTTGAATCCATATCAACTTTAATGGATTAATTTTAATTTAAACATTTTCACGTTAGCATGATTAACAAGTTTTGTCAGGAAATTACTTAATCAATTTTTGAGTTTATTTTTTTATTTGTTTGGGTTCATTTACTACTTTATGAGTAAAATTTATCATTTTCTAAGATATATTTTATCCTTCGTGAAAATGATCGTCCCTCACACCACTACATTTGTATGTACTTAGCGATAACCCCTACTCTAGTGTTTGTTTTTCTAATGTGACATGATGAGAGGACAAAATGGCATCAATCAAGTGTTCCCCTTGCAGCCTCACAGTGCAATCACACCCAATGTTAAGGTTCCACGTCATCAAGCATTCACTCAAATGTGTCGTACCATGATTGGTTGAGTCAAGTTCATACCTAATGCCTGATTGGTCAACAAAAAAAATGCATAATATTTAACACATGCATGTATGTGCCCCTTCGTGGCTTCAATTCTGTTGATAAAAAGTCTATAATATAGGTGCATACTGCATACATCCGGCTCACGAAGCCGCCCCACAATTTCTTTCCTTGGCAACACTCTCCCACACTAGAGACACAGAGAGATCAAAATCTAGAGAGAGAGAGTGAGCGAAGCAGAAGCAGAAGCAGAAGGCCATGGGAGGAGTCTACAACCACCTCTGGTTCACTCTCTTCATACTCATCTCCACCACCGCCATCGCCAGATCCGTAAGTTACCCTTTTCAAAACCCTCAATGCCCTTTCATTTTTGTGCTTTTACACTATGATCCAGTGGACTCACTCTCGAGTGTAACCGATCTATCCATGTAGTTTATTGCAAGTGTGGGAAGTTTATTCTAGGAAGAATTACATTTAGGCCCATTGAAGTTTGTCCCTTATTCCCTCACACTTTTTGATATTTAAAATGTTATACACTAACTTTTGAAGTTTGAATGTGCATAACACATGTAATTTAATCGTTTAAATTATAAATAGAAAAAATTTCACAAAAATCTTCATGGTAGTCTGAGAGATAATAGGAAAACGTGAAATAAAGAGAGAATTAATTGAATTGTGTTTAAACTTAGTCGAACACTTTACTCACCCCTAACCGTTTTAAAAAGCAAATTCACAAGAGTTCTACTTTATGTATTAAAAAATTGTAGTGTTGCTCTATCTCTGTATGTCTGATTTTTGATGAATGTAGGATGATCCTGATTGTGTGTACACGGTCTACATTAGGACCGGTTCAATCCTCAAGGGTGGGACCGACTCGATCATAAGCTTGACCCTCTACGATGCCAATGGCAATGGCATATTGATCAAGAATCTCGAGGCGTGGGGCGGGCTGATGGGCTCCGACTATAACTACTTCGAGAGGGGTAATTTGGACATTTTTAGCGGTCGAGGCCCCTGTTTGGACGGGCCAGTGTGTTCGATGAACTTGACCTCGGACGGGTCGGGCAAGCACCATGGGTGGTACTGTAACTACGTGGAGGTGACCACCACCGGAGTGCACGCTGGTTGTGCCCAGATTCAGTTCACTGTGGAGCAGTGGTTGGCCACCGATACGTCGCCGTACGAGCTTACAGCTATCAGGGATTACTGTTCGTCCGATGATGAGAAAAAAGTTAGTCAGCATGTGATCAACGGCTCTGGTTCTCCTCTTGTGGCTGTTCTGTAAGCAGTATAGGCTTTTGGTGGCCAAAGCTGTGTTATTAAAAATAAGAGAGAAATAAGAGAGAGGGAGAGTTGTGCTGCGGTTATTAATTAACGGTCAATATCTATGTTAGTTTGCATGTATGATTATGAGTAATTTTTTTTTTTTGGCATAATATTTAAATTTGTGCCGATTATTATCTCAAATTCAATGGATAATTATAATTGATCTCGGAATTGTTAAAAGTGAGACTCAACCACCACATAATCACTCTTAAGAATTATGAGTATGGTTTTTATATAAACTTTATTATTAATTAAGAGAGAGTGGAGAGGAAGGGAGTTTGGTTCTATTGTGAAATATTTGTAATTGCCCGGAGTTAAGTCTTGAAGGATTTATTCTTTATGAATATTTTAATCTCGATGTAGATGATCTGTTTTTGATTAGATTGAGGAGGAGATTAAAATAAATATTATTTGAACTTAATTTGAAAATATTATTTAAAGATCTAATAATGTATAACTATTGGATTAGATTGGATTGAATTTATACGAGGTGGCCGATGAATAGGCTACATTATGGGATGCACTTTTTGATAAACATTATTTAATATTCATAGCATAATATTTTTTCTTTTCTTCACAACTCCTCCAATGCAAATGAATGAAAAATCAATTTATCTATATATTGTGGGTCTCACTTCTTTTCGTGATGACTGATCTACCAAGAAAGAAAATAAAGAAATCGAAAATGGGCTCTCAACACCTCTACATGCAACAATTTTCTAACAAGTTGTTAAATGCTTTTTAATTTACTAACCATTATAATATAATTAGTGAGTCACATTTTTTTAGTATTCAAAATTGATACAAATTTTGATGAATATATTGTTTTATTTTCTAACAATTTTTCTTCTTTTATTTTGGGCTTCTTATACATTTTTAATTTTATAGATTGCATTTGTGCCCCTCAAGATTTGAATATTGTGTGTGTGTTTTTTTTTTTTGGGGGGGGGGGAGGGTGTTAATTTTTTAGTTGATTAGTTTAGAGCTCATCATATACAATTAAATAGTTCAGTTAAGAACTTAATGATAGTTCAAATGATAGTAGGGGGACAAGTTGTAAATTAAGACGTTTTGAATTTGAATTTTTTTGAGGTTAGGTCAAAACTCAGAAAGGATTTATCCTTCGTGAATATTCTAATCCTAGTATGGATAATCTGTTAAAAGAGAAGATATGCATAAATTAATCTAAACACTCTTAATCGTTGGACTAAAAAAAAAATTAGTTCAGGCATGATATTCATGTACCTATCTTTACTATTATAGCAATTATTTTTTGTATGATAGTATTTTACAAGTCTTTGATCTCTCTCTCTCTCTCCCTCTCCCTCTTTTTAAATTTATAGAATATCGCATGAGTTAAATATACAAATAAAAAATTTAATCCAATCTGATTTTATTAAGTATCTTAAATAACTGCCAAAAAAATTGCATCATACTTACCAACTACTTATTTAAATTTTACAAACAGTCAATTTTTATAATTATCTATTCTTATAATTATTTTTCTAACTTTTTAAATAATGAGATAAAGAAAGAGATCAATAAAAAATTTAAAAATTATGTGCAGCACAAAATTGAAAACGGGATGGGTGTCTTTTTCTTTGTGTTTGTTTGTTTTTTAACGGATGGTTTTTTATTTGCCTTATCTGTTGTTTATTTATTGTCGGTTGGATAAGTTGTTCTGTTCCCACTCACCAACCCACCTGTCCCTACCTCTTTAATGCACATAAATTCAATTTTTATGGGGCTGAGATTGATCCACGTTAATGATAACGACCGTAGATGGAGATCAAAAGCATTATCCAACCCCTTGGAAATGTTTCCCTAACTAACCCCCCATGCCAAAACCAACCACACACACACAAGAAAGAAAGGTATCACTCAATTGGATTGAGAGCCGAAGATGGGTTTACTTCAAGTTATAAAAAACTTTGACCTAAATTTAACCAATGTACATAATTTTGGTTGAAATTTGTTTGATTTGATGTATGAAACTTGAGTTATACAAATTTGGGTTCAACTTGATTGTGATACAAATTTGGATTCAGATGAACTTTGGTTATGATAAATTTCATATGAGCCTCCTGATATTTGAATTTATTTTATGTACATTCCATAGTATGTTATAAATTATACCGAAACTTGAATCGCTATTAAATAATGAAAGTTATTAGTAGATGTGGGCAAATGACAATTTTGTCCTCCGTTTTTCTCCTTGAGAAAAAAAAATAAAGAAAATAGGGGCCTAATTTAGAGACTTTACAACCATAAAATTATCCAAATTCAAATATTCGATGAAATTCATTTTTAATTTAATAACTATAATTAATTGCGTGTCTAAATTAAAGTCCTAAATGAAGTATATAATATACTACTTTTCTGAAAGCTGTGGTTGCAATCACTTTGAGTTTAATGAGCCCAAATTAAGGCCCACACTATTCAATGGGCTATCTGGCCATCTGTTCATGAACTACTGAGATTTTTTTAAGTTAATTAGGTTTGGGTCCCTTTTTTAGTGTGTAAACTAATTTTAGTTAGGGGTGTAATTTAGGCGGGCTAATCCGAGCTCAATCCAAAAAGAATAGTGTTTGAATTAGAATTTTTAATACTTGGACTGGGTCTAAAAAAAAAATCACAACCGGAATTAAATTTAGGCAAGCCTTAGGCTGAGGCATCGGGTTGAACCTAAATATTAAAATTGGGTTGAATCCGAATATATATAAATATATTTAACTAGGGTTAGTATTATCTCCACTCTTTAGAATCCAGACTTTCACTTCACTTCAAGTCTTCATCCCTGCGCCTCTATCACTCTCACATCCCTCTCTCACTCGTCACTCGTCTCTGATCTGATCTCAAACTCTCAACCTGCCTCTCTTCTTAGACTCTTAGTCTTCCTCTCTCACTTGTCATTTCTCCGTCTTTTATCAACCCTAATTAAATAACTCGAGTCCAACCTAACTTTTAACTCGAAAATAATCCAAATTAAGTAACCCGAATTCAACCCGAGCCTGCTTGAATTAAACTTGGGTAGTACTCAGGTTGAGTACCTCGAGTTAAGGTAGGATTAGAGTTAGGGTTGAAGATTATATACCTAGAGCTGGGTTAGGCATGACCTCTCAACCGCCCAACTCGCCCAAGTTACACCCCTAATTTAGTTCTATCGAATTTTTAGTATAAAAAAAAAAATCCTTCTATTTTTGAAAAAACTTGCATGTGCGAATGTTAAGGGATTGATTAATTAATGGTTTCATTACCTATTTTTTCTTCATCACATGATTGTATCCTAAAATATAGTTATTTTTTTCATTTGTTATTGAGGTTTTGTTGTGTTGTCTATGAGTTTTGAATGATCATATGTGTTTATAGAGAAAAAAGTATATTAACGATCCGTGTTTTAGTATACCTGTCTGACGATATGTGTTTTAGTGTATATGTTTGACGATATGTGTTTATAGAGAAGAAGGTATATGACCGATTTATATTTTAGTGTACTTATCTAACAATCCGTATTTTAGTGTATATATCTGATGATTTGTGTTTTAATGTATGTGTCTGACAATTATTGTGTACCTGTTATTTTTTTATAGTTTTTTATTACGTACTTGTTATTTTTTGACTCAAAAATATATTTATACTACTAATAAAAGGAAGCTAATAAGAAAAACTTTTGATTTCCTATTCTACCTCTTCTTAATCATATAAAGACAATTATATCCTACTTATTACTTTAACTCTTACACTCTTCCCTTTGTAAGAATAAATATTTGTAATTATAAGTGCAATGAATACATAACATTATATATAGGAAGATTTTTCATATTCGTAACACTAGAGAAAATTAAAAAATAATAAAAGAATAACATGCTCTCCTTCAAAATTCTCACTTACCACAAGTAGATAAATTTTTTATCTTTAAATAATAGAAGCTACTGATATTTTTATTCTTCTCTATAACTTCTATAGCTCCCTCCATTTATGAATTTTGTTTTTATTTTTTTTTTCTTTGCAAGTTGTCATAAATCTTATGAAAGTAAAACTATAAACAATATTAAAGATGATGACCTCAAAGTGCAATAATTCTTAGTTGTTTATATGATTTTTTTTTTTATCTGTGCTTAACTTCATTTGATGTTGTATTACTATCAACTACTGTTGTGATGATTTAATCTGAGTGTAATCTAAAACTTTAAGAGAATGTGATCTGTCTTATTCACTATTTAGATTCAATTTCTTTTATTTATTTACTTCTCAATTTTAATTTAAAATTTTGATTTGTCACTGTCTTGGTGCATGAGATTAATTTTTTCAACTATATGCAAATTCTACTTATTAATTATATTTTTATTCACTTCTATCGAGTTTTAATTCATTTTTTGGTCTTCAATTATCCAATATTTATTGTAAGAATGTAATTTTTTCCAATGCAAAGTCAATATTCTTGATGAGAATTCTACTAAGTCTTGCTCACACCATGGTAGAAGTAAAAAATTTGAAATATAAATTTTATAAACAACTAATAAGTAATCAAATCAATGACCAAATGTCTTTCTTTTACATTTTCTCTTTTACTTTTTAACTTCACACTTATTTTATGTTTATATAAAATTACAAATATAGAGATAATAAGAGTAAAAATTAAAAAATAAAAACTAAAATTATAATTCAAAATAGTTCACGTACAACGTACGTGGGTACCAACTAGTATATATATATATATATATATATATATATATAATTGTGTACCTATTTTTTTTAGCGTACCTTTATTAAGTTCAAAATTACACCTCGGAGGACATGGATATGTCTCTTTAAATGAATTAATTACAGCATATTCAAAATTTGAAAAAATTTAAAAAACATACTAGATTGGATTTTTAAATTCACATGAAACCTTTGAATTCAAAGAGGAAACCTTTTAACTGCCTTGGATATTGTCTTTCTTCCTTAAAACTTTCAATTCGCGTTGATCATGGAGGAGAAGAAGTCATGCTCCAGTAGGAAGGAAATCCGTGTATGTTTTTCATCATACAAATACACAAAATTAAATTATCATAGGTTCACAAATTAAAGATTAAATATTATATTTCAGTCATAAAGGGGAGATTACACATGTGGGTCATTTATTTTATATTTATAAAAAACAGAAAAAGATCATTTTTTGAGATCCTTCAACTCTGCATCAAACTTCTTCGCTTTCTTCCTGTTCTTTTGCAACTTTCGTTGAAGGATTTCGCCATTTTCTTCCACTCATCTTTTTCTTTGTTAGACATGTAGAGTTCAAATTTGAGACGGTCAATATCAATTTGCATGCCATCTTATTTTGCGTAGGTGTCGTCCAGAAAATCTGAAAGCAGTTGTATATTTGTTTGTACTCTTTACTGTCTTAATTGTTCCTTCTTCTTTTTTTTTTTTATGTATTTTTTTTCTGAATTTTAGATACACTATTTATAGAAGTATTTTTCATGGGGTAAATGAATAGATTTAAATGTATGTTTATTGTGGTGTTAATTTTATAGTTAATTGAAGAGACGTCTATCCAATCATCTAATCTCAATGCATTTGCTGTAGAGATACACTGCTTGACCTCAAGGGATAAATTTATGAGGGATAAATTTCTCATGGCTTGACCTCAAGGGATTGCCAAGATTCAGATTCAAATTCAAAATATTTGCATTTACAATTTGTCTCCGTTACCACTTGAACTACTTTAAAATTATGAAGTACTACAATTAATAATCCAATAAATTCAACACAAATCACCTTTGAAATACATTTGCATTCTAAAATTTGGATATGTCTATGGTTCCCCAATTTTACAATACCGAAAAATAATTCTCAACAATTAATCTTGATAAGAGTTATTCACAATCATTGATTTTTCAAAAAATAAAAAAATAAAGAGAAACAATATTGTAATGATAAAACTTAGCTCGTGTCACTATTCGATTATACAACAAAATCAGAAAGGTATGGTATCAAAAAGTAATGACTATCGTTAACATTCTTTCAATCTTGACCTCCTCCCTGTTTCTTCAGCTGTATATGAGCCTCCTTCAATGCCTGGCTTACTTCCTCATCTTCTGGTGTTTCTCTTATTAGCACCTCATAATCTTGTATACAAGCTTCCCATTTTTCCAACTACAATACACAACAAACATCATGGTTATTAGTGATCTTTAACAATTGTTTCATACACATAGACATCATAGTGATAAGTGATGACAGTGTAATAATTGCAAGTATTGCGATATTTTTCAAATTGATTAATAAGGAGATCGAAACTCTCTAATTTTGTCAGATAACAACCATTTTTTTTTTTTTGAAACAATACATCATGACATGTAACATCTAGCACATGGACGGTTACCTTGGCATTGCAATCGGCTCTTCTTAATCTCGCCTTGCTATACGATGGGCGCACATTGAGCGCAGCGTTGCAATCCTCGACGGCTTTCTCAAATTGGCCAAGTTTGGAGCGACAAGCTGCTCTGTTGCACAACAACACTGCATTGTAGGGGTCGTGGTCGAGTCCCTCCCCATAAGCAACACATGCCTCAGAGTGTCTTGATGCCTTGAATAGTTCATTACCCTTTGATCTAGCATTTGCCACGGACCTAGTCCTCCTAATAACCATGTTCACTTCCTTGTTGTTCGAGTCGAGCCGAGCTGCTCGTTGAGCTGCGGAAACAGCATCTTCGAATCTGTCAAACAATTGAATTTCTGCTAAAGTTTGAACGATGAACAGTCAACCAAATCAAACACACCTTAAAATATGAGACATTTTTTTTCTTTGAAAGGATAAAGTGATATTTTTTTTGTTTTTCAGGGGGCAATGTTCAATAAATTTTTTAATAATATTTGATGAGCCGAAATCTAATTGGGCCGGATCCAGTAAATAAAGAAAGCCCATATCCATTTAAAAGGCAGCCCAAGTTCGGTTAATCAATCTAACGCAGTGCAAGATTCAAGGAGCTTAGAAAGATAAGAGCATGTGGGAGAGGGATTATCGGAATATACACTTACGAAAATCAATTTTACTTTAGTTGTACTTACTTTTTGTAACTATCCTCCCCGAAAAATTAGTACTCTCATACTCACGTTACCATCTTACCATACCTATAAATTGTAAGTTCTCTCCACATAAGAGGCATCTCTCAATACACCTTGATATCTCTCTACACATACATAACTTCTCTCAATTAACTATTGTATATCTCCCAGAACTATCTATTGCTCTCTCCCCTGTTCACCCTATTTCATCAATAAAAACTCACGGCTACCGTTATCGTTTCCCGAGAGAAGAGTAGGTCACTCAGACCTAACCAGTATATATCTGTGTGTTTTATTCATATTTATTGTTTTGTCATTGATTACTTTATTTATTGTCTTATTTATTACACCATATTACACAGTCGACCGTTAATCTTATACGAGATCAATTTGTGCATCATCAACATCCATGCACTTTTGAGTGAGATATAATTTTTTTTTTGTATTTCGAGGGCCGAGAGGAGAAAAGAAAGATGAGATTTGAATCCACAACCACTAACGGGTGAGAGAGATATATGTCAGATTATACAACAATGCGCCGGCTTCTAAATATTAGTTATCTAAACTAAAATATTAAAACCGTGTTGATGTCATGTTTAGGCTTGAAAAGTCAATGTTTTGACTGTACCAAACCGATGGTTTAACAAATCCTATGAATTTTGGGATTTAGTTGGTGGGTCAGGGTCAAATTACTCCTTATCGTCACCTACCCCTTTTTCATCATGGTCTCTCTCTCTCTCTCGGTAGGTATGCCAAAACAACACCATTTGGTTAGGAGAGAACCAAGAAAACTTAACCGAGAAGGGAGGTTCAATGGTTAAATAAAGAACAATGTGTAACTAGGATTTTCTAATTTTGAATCCATTGACATGAATTCGAATTTAACCGTAGAGTTTCTAAGTGATTGTATTCATTTGAGATTTGTGTTACAAGAGCCCAAAATCACTTGATTAAAAGAAGTTAATTACCGAAGAGAAAAAAAATGGGAACTTTGTTAACGCGGTATCTCTTGTGTAAAATAGTCTTTATCCCACTTTAGTCTCGGCTGTTATATTTCTCATATTATCTTTATCAATTACTTGAATTAATTTCACATTATCGAAAAAAAACTGTTCATCAACTTTTAGACAAAAAATATCCACTAGTGTGGAAAAATACACATTTTTAATGCTTAAATTAGGACAGGGTGAAACCAATAAACCTAGATAGAAGTGCAAAGTGAGAAATGTGAAAGTAAAAAAGGACATTGTAAGACTAATATATACAAGAAAACTGTCAGATATGGAGAATTTAATGAAAATTTGTAATTAGGACTGATAATCGAGTCAAACTTTGCAAGTTTGAGTCAAACTGTTGAATTTGTTTTTTAAATAAGTTAAAAAAATTATTTAAATTCGACTCATTTAAAAAATTAACTAAGTCCAAATAAGTGCAAAACGAATCGAATCTGCTCGATTATCGGCCAACTTGTAATGTATGGAACACTAACCTGCCGGCAGCCATGTCAACTTGAGCTCGGATCACTAGTAAACTGGCAAAACCAATAGGGCCATAGAATCTACTGCAGTCATCAACCTCAAAACTTGGACCTTTTGTCAAAATCTCGTCTGCTTCTTGGTGTCTATGGAGTTTCAACAAGGCCTCGGCTTTCAAAGCAAATATCTTTCTCAAAAAAAAAACAACCAAAACAAAAAATCATGAGATCAACTATACCATGTGGCACAGAAATATTGAGGGGCAAATTTATAATTTACACCCTTAATATAGTTTCGATTTGAAGCATTGAACTTAAAGTTTTAATCGAGTTTTAATTTAGTCATTTCATCCAAATCAATTGATATATTTTGACAAAATAGTTTTTTTTTGTTAATTAAAAGGGGAAGGGCGACCAGTAAATAATAATCTCTCTGAGCGTGACCATGAGAATTCTCCACTATGAAATGTTCGGTTTGATTTTATAGACAGTCTGTGACCACAATATTGTCAAAGTCAAGCAACAAATCATGTTGCTCCTTAAATCGAATCATATTTAATAACTACATGGGAGACTAAGGTGGCTATAAACGGTACGACTTATTATTAGACCACAAATTCGGGTGGTTGACAAATTAAGTTCAAGCGACTTGGCCATTACAAATTTTTCGGCCGTTTATCTCTTTCCATCAAATACATTAATATTTCTCTATTGTCATATCTCCCCAATTATCACCCCAAATCTTCTTTTTTGAGTCTATTATCTTTATTTATATCTAAACCATATGAAACAGAGTAAGGCTTTTTAACTTTGGTACGAAAGGTTTTTTGGCTCATTTAATGTACTTATCGCCAAGTAACGCGTCGGTCATGTGAGTCTACTCCATCATAACTGACTAACAAAGTTGGATATAAAGACCAAATTACACTTTGAAATTTTGATTTTCGCGGCTGGAACTTCAGGGACAAAATAGAAATTCGAGACATACTTTAAGGGTATAAATCATAAATTGCCCAATATTTAGGGAATGGAGTTGGATTTGTAAAACTAAAGGACTAACTAACCTGTGGTGCAGAATCAGCACCAGCTGATATAGCAAGGCCAGTTTCTTTTAACAGACTGTTCCAATCTCTTTGCTTCTTGGCCTCGGTGCACTTGTTGAGATGAGCCTGAACGTTTTTAGCTTTAGTGATAACATCAGGGTCGGATTCGGATCCTGCATGTTTGTAATGGTACATTGCCTTTTCTGCTTCTCCTAATCTGCAAACACAAACATAACAACAACGCGACAATGAATAGAAAGATATTCTCCACAACAAAAATAGATTCTAGCGACGACCTTCCACAGCCAACCAAAAAAATGGTCGCCAGAGACAATTTTAGTAACACGAAATTGAAAGCATACGAACAAAACCAATACACGCTTTATTATCGTCAATAGTCGTGTCAAAAGGTTTACTGTCAATTTTTTGATTGGCATCAATTAAATATGAGTCTAGAAGTATATATGAATTTTTGGCATCCTTCCCATACAACTTGGCCTTCATCAGTGAATTTTAGCTATTGGTTCATAACAATAATCTTTTTGTCAGATGATTTTGGGTATTGGAAGCTTGTCGCAAAAAAAAAAAGAAAAAAAAAATTCACAACAAAAAATACACTTTTGGTGATGAGTTCTACTTTTTCCTCGCTAAAATTGATATGTAAGAAGTCATAAATTTCAGTTTCAGATGAATTTTAGTCATCCAATTTAAAACTAAAACTAAAAAAAAAAAAAACACAACAAAACAAGTGCTTAAGAATTCAAAAGTGTGGTTCAAGTAGTAACAGAGAGAAATTGTAAATTCGGATGTTTTGAGTTCGAATCTAGATAACCCTTAAGGTCAATCAGACTATGAGAAATTTATCTCTGTGAATATCCTACTTTCAACGTGGATGATTTATTTTTATTGAACTAGAGAGGAGATTAATCGAGATGCGCTTAAACTGACCTGAACACCTGACTTTGAATAAAAAAAAAAAAAAGTGCATAAGTGAACGATATCATTACCTGAGGTATAGGGTTGCCAACCGGTTATGAGCTCTTTGGTAGAAAGGTTCAATCCTTATGGCTTCTCTGCACTCAAAAACTGCCTCAAGAAGCCTACCAAGGGCAGTTAAAGCTGCGCTCTTATTGCTCCGATAAGAAGCCTTATTCGGGTCAATAGAAATTGCAGCATCATACAAAGCCAATGCTTCTGCAAACCTTCCATTCTTGTAATCTTCATTACCCAAAATCTTCAATTCCTCAGGATCCATTCGAGTCGAAAGAGCTCTGCAAAGGGAGGTTGGTTTTTCGGGTTCTTCGTTCGATTTCTTCACGACTACATTCCCCATTACACTGTTTGTGTATTTTGATCCATTAGGTGGTGAGGGGTCAACAACATTGCCTCCTCCTGGTTGTGATCTCAAGTTACCCAAATTGCCAAACAGCATTACATTGCTTGATGAAGCTCGGACAAACGTACTCGAGCCTTTCGACCTTTGATGATCATTGATCATGCTTTCAAGCTCACCAGATATGCCAATTGCACCCTGTGGTACCCTTCTGCCTTGAACATAACTTTGATTTGGAGGATTTTTCAACGTCGTTTGATCATCGGAGATTTTCTTTCCTTGATTTTGATGGTATACAGGTGGGGGCTTGGGATGATTTGGTGAAGGCCTAGCAATAATTCTATCAACTTGTTTTTGTGAGGTTTCTGATGAAACAGTAGTCGATTCATCGTGGAAACCAGCTTCATCTGAACCACCTCGTCGCCTCTTTGAGTTTGGTGTGCTTGGAATTCTTGCAATAGCATTGACAGTCGCCGTGGGAAGTGAACCTGTGGAGGTGGATCTTCTAGGCCATATGGTTCGACGACCAAAAACTGCATTCAACAGGCCACAGCCAGATTTTTTCTCCTCCGGTGAGGCTTCCAGGGACATGACTCCTTAAGCGTTTTGATTCAATTCTTGACAAATACTAAAGCAGTTTTTATGATGAAAAGAATCAAAAAAAGAAAAGGGTATTTGCCGTTTGGAGAAGGGAAGGGGGTTGGAGAAAGTTTCAAATACCATGCATGGGAATTTTATACAAGTTTTTTATATACTATGCAGCAAATTTGAACCAGTAATATGTTTTTATGATTAAAGCTGAAGACTTGTGAGCCTTGAGAAAATGGTTTCATGTCATATGACACCTAACATATAGAAAACTGTTTAGAGAGAGAAAGAGAGAGAGAGAGAGTATGCAACATGGCTGGACCCCAGTAGAAGAGTTCATAATCCATCTGGCTTCACAGCTTCCTGGAGAGGCTGTCAAACAAACGAATAAACAATCTATCTCTCTCTCTCTCTTTCTGTCTGAGAGCTGGAAATTAGATGATGGCATGAGAGGGAAAGGAAGAAAGAGAATGTGAAAAAGAAAAATTTGCAGAAAAAGAGAGACTAGTAATTTAGAGGTTTGTTTTTATTTCAATGTGATCAAACATTTTCATTGTCGTTTCTTTTCTTTTTTTTCCCTTGTTTTTCCTTTGTGTGGTAGGAAAAGGGGGGCCAAGAGACTCGGTCAGGGAAGAAATGAGGATCTCTAGATTTTTAGAAAGAGAAAGGAGGTGCACCCTCCTTGTCATAACCTCCTCATTCGGGGTTGGAGATTGTGTATTTCCACAGCCAAGAAAGAGAAAAGGCCTCTGCAGGTAGAGTTCACGTGTGTGCTTTTGAGTAGCCCACGTATTAAAACAACTATATTTCAATTGCCCATTGTTTACCATGAGTAATGTCTTTCAGACCACGTTAAATTGACTACTCACTAACTACAGATACTAATTAAATTCAAGAGTCATCAACAAGAGTCAAATTTAGCACGTTCGAATTTATGATTCATTCTAGAACTAATGTTAAAACCGCTTAGCCACTTGTTCTAGTTAAATGTTCATCAAAGTTTGAAATATTGTTCAAGCCTCTATTCTCTTTACATTTTTTTTTTCAATTTTTTGAAAATTTCATTGTAGGGCCTTTTTTGGGATAAATACCATTTCACCCCTTGTGTCTTGGACTACACCACTTTGCACTCCCATAACATTAAAGTACCACATGGACTCAAATCCTTCTCAGAATTCTTTCGTGCTACTTACTGAACCATGTGGCATTCATTATTTCCTTCTCTTGGTGGGTAGTTTTGTTGTCTAAAGTGTTATTTACCACTAATAAGTGTGGATTCTGGTAAAAGTCCAAACCTAAGCAATCCAATACAGAACATGTACAATGTCGTACCATGCATGCAACTCTTGGCATAGAAAAATCACAAATTTTCTCTGTGAACTTGTTCCTAGAAGAAAATGCTCCCAAACTTTTAGACTGCTACAAAAAAGATATTTTTTTAGTGTGTAGGAATGGACGCGTCTATTTCCATCATTTAGACGTGCACACCTCTGTGTGACCGCGTGCATGTGTTTGTATGTGCGATTGTGTGTGAGAGAGAGAGAGAGAGAGAAAAAGAGAGAGAGTGTAGGGGTACACTATATGACATCTTGTCTCGTAGCCCTGCAAACAAGCTACCTGCACACAAATAAAGATATATTTCTCCCAACCTCCTACTACATTAGTTCAATCATGCACTTGAAACAACAGTAACACTCGAAACGATTAAATCCTACAGCATATCACCAACCTGCCCTTCTCAACTCAAAACACAAATAGAAATAGATCATTTTGGGAAACAGGGAGAATGGCAACAATGAAACAAGCGTACAGCTTGAGGCAATTCCATCATCTGAATGGCAAAGTTCATTTTATTCCAAATGTATTCACCAAAACTAATCAAAAAATCGATGCCATCTTTAAAACGAAAACAAAACTCATATTGCTATAGGACTATCTCATAATCACGTTCAATGGACTTGTGTCCTAGACCTCGTACATGTAGCATAGTAGTACCGAATTGCTTCCATGTTGTGCGTAGCAAGAACAAAATTGCCACTTAAAAACCACAATTGACATTTCAATGGGGCTATGAGTGAAAAATGTTAGGCTGAGATCCAAAATATGATGCTCCTCTTAGCCCGTTACAGGAGACGTACATCATCTTAGTTCTGTGGAACGACTATGTCCAGTTTTATTCATCTCCTTGTGTATTGTTTCTGCCAATTGCTCTGCATTGTACTCTACCCCAAAGCATCTCACAACTGTCATACTTGGGTTCAGTATATACCTGTTAATTTTGACATCAATTATAAACATGTCTTTGCCATTTTACTTACACCAACAAAATGAATAAGATAAGCTTTGGGGCTCACATGTTGTGGGAAGACTCAACAAGATAATCATCCCCTTCTTCATCAACCTTTCTGAAGTACACTCGGTATTCCCATGCCATCTGTCTTATAGCAGCAACTGATCCTGTTAATCCTACTATTCTCAGGTCAAACTCTGCATTTCATGCAAGAAGAAGTGAGCAAGTGGTAACTTTATTTGTCAAAAATGGAAGGAAAAAAAACAGAGATTTTACAACTAATGTTTATAAATCATATTTTCAGGAAGAAAAAAAAAAAACCAACCTTTGAGATAAGCACGAAGATGTGACATCGTATCACGTTGAGGATCAATTGTAACAAATACGGGAAGGACTTTAAGATTCTGTTTTGACTCTTTTTACAACAAATATATAACAAATCAGTTATCAAACTAAAAAAGTATTTTAAAAAACTTGAAGTTAAAGTGAAAGAATAGAACCTAATATATCAACAGCCTTGGCCATTTTTTGGGCTTCTGCTGGACCAACATCAGGAGACGAAGTATAACTAAAGTAGAGAAGAACCCAGTTTCCTAGAAGGTTGTGTTCGGTTACCAAGCGACCCTCTGTATCAGTCAAGCTGAAAGGACCACCGATTATGGGCCCCTTTATATTGCATCTTTCAAAATTTTTACCCTTGCCTGATTCAGTCCAACAAATAAAATAGGTAACTAAACTGTACATCGTTTTGTATACAGGAAGTATACAATTTATTTGGCTTCTGTCATACGAATCATAGTTATCAAATTGAGATTCGTATCAGGAATCGTAAAATTTGACACAAATTTGAACAATTATAAAAAATAATATATACATATTTAAAATTAACAAGATATTAAATATTAAACATTATTGGATTTTTAAAAAATAATCAATTAACAAGTATTGACATGATCACGTCGTCTAAATGGAAAGATACTAACCTTTATAAATCTTTATAAACTACAATTGAATTTTTACCTCCAATACTTTTTTCTTAATGCATAATAAATCATTTCCTCAAAATGGCCACGATGAAAGCCGCATGATTTCAACCAAAAAATAACTATTGTCTCACTACGAATGAAGTACTAAAATAGGAAAAACTCATATTGATTCAAACATGTAAACTTAGAAAATTCCTTCCCAAGTTTGATTGAAAGATAAACTTTTGATGAAAAATAACAAACTGAGCATTTATTAAAGAAGAAATATGGTATGTTAGAGGTTGGTAGTTGTTTTTGAAGAAGGAGAATATCTAGAGTGAAGGAGACGTCTCTGTGTGATGTTCATAGACGCTTGGACAATTGTTTGAGAGACAGAGACACGAATAAGAGATACAATGAGTGGGGTGGGTCTCTTTTAGCAAAACGAAGTCATTTTACTAGAAATAGGGTTTACAAAAATAATAAAACGAATCATACGATTCTTTTGAATTGAATCGAATCTTGTGATTCTTGCAATTCAAATGCGATTCTCGGCCAAAAACAAATCTATAGTAAGATACGAATTGAATGGACACTAAATCGAATCGAATCGCAAATCGTACAATTTTGATAACAATGATATGCATCTTAAATCTCTAGACGCAAACTAATATAATTTCCCATTGATGGTTTATTTTTGATATATTGACTTCCCATCAGATTATGAAAGGAACAAATTGTTACCACTACAAATGAGAAAAGGAGTGATGACCCTGTCCTAGTAGTGCCTCTAATTACTCACAGTTGATGTGGGGAAGAATAAAAAAAATGTGCCAGACAGCCCGTACACCCTTTTTGGTAGACTGGACATGAAACAGTTGCCTTAAATAAGAAAGCGACAAAACATGGCAGGTTGGCCAAATGTTGGGAAGTAAGGCAAAACAAATCTAAGATGCAGTAGAACCAGTCATTGGGATATCCACTTCCAACCCATGAAAAGGTAATGCAAAGAACACTAACAAGAAAAGTGTGTTTTAGGTAACTGAAAGGAAAAAGCAAGGGGCTAGCAGCAAAGTGAGGATAGAAGATCAGATGTGCGGATGGGAGTAGAACAAAGTAGGTAGAATTCTTAACATAATTATTCTTCTTTTCATATGCTAAGTGCCAATCAAACTCTAATTTTGGAGCCTAATCTCAAGATTAGACATCCCACTATCATGAAATAGGCAGGCATTCGGTTCACAAATAACCCTAGATCCAGAAGAGAAGCATATTGTAAGCACTGTATGGAGGTGTTTTATATAATAATAATTGAAGGTATCCCCTACATTCTTATGTGCACTTCAGATGCACCCTCTATAAATATGATAAACATCATACTTATGTACATTAGTTCCAGCCATAGAATATAAACAATCGAGGCAGGGGTATGAGAGCTACAAAAGTGATATATTCTTTATAAAAATCTAATTCCATCCTTTACAAAATTCTCAGTTAAAGGGAAGATTAGGGGCATTTCATCGATTATCAAAGGCCAAACAATCGGGTTTACTTCCCCATTAGTATTAGTGTCAGCAAGGGTGCATAGTTATGAAATAGAAGTATTTGACCAAGATAAAAGGAAAAAGGAAACAATGTAGTTTGTGGTTCTCATTTGGATGAAGCATGACTGCTATTAAACTTAAGTAAATTATTGAACATCAAACTTCCATTCGCTAATTATCAATTGTTTATTAGTAGATACACAAAAACTGCTCTTCCAACTAGCACCTTAACCCTGCACCTCCCCCACTTGTGGTAGCAGGAGATACCAGCACTAGATCAGAGTCATCTAGTTTTGTTTTTATGCGTATTATCTGTTTTGCTTCTTTGGGTGGATTGCTTGTCGACTTTCTTGTGCCTCCTTTCTTTGATGAAATTTTCGCTCCCTATCAAAAAAGGAGATACCAACACTCAAGCTAAAACCTCAGTTTATTAATCAGTAAATGCCGGAAACTTTGGTTCTTAAACCATGGAATCCGGGAAAGTTATTTGCAAGGACTCACTTGACAATAATAACAACAAAGAATCCTCACATAACACTTCAACCTTTTATATTTGCGACAGCTTAGCTGACACTATGAAGTTCTGCACGTGATCATCTAGAAGATATGTATCGTTTCTCGCTTACTATTATGATGGTACTACAGCATAATGGCTCCAAAGAGACAAATGATTTAGGAATATTTAAGGTGATTGAGGTAGTCCAACTACAGATTCTTTTTTCCGAATTTCTTAAGCAAATTGTACTAACTCAGGCGCTTGACACACAATACATGTCTTTAAGTAGGTTCCAGTTCTTCACTAACAAATCTTTGTGTTGAAGACATAAAAGGATGTACTAATAGGTGCATGGAGCAGAAAGATGGATCCCTTTTTAGATTCTAATCCTGGCATCTCTTGCTAATAGCATCAAATCAGTGAAAAGCAAGCAACCCTTTTAAACAGGCATTCAGGAAAGCTAATCTGGGGTGATACCAGACGACAACAAAATAGCCTGCGCACGACCAATCCAGAGTCCAAAAATACACTACTTGCTCATTCCAGCCTGAAGTTATTTTTAAAGGCAAGTGCTAAACAGATTCTAGTATTCTACATTTTACTTCTTTTATCAGGCAGAACTCATAAGCATTTCAACGTTAACAAATCACACATATACACAAACGCTTAAACATATGCAAGAAATGAAGTTCAATAACCAGAACACTGAAATTTCTAAAACAAGCTACCCATAAGAAAAAAGTTAAAACCCAAAAACAGGTCCTCATGAATTGCTAATCATAGGCAGCATAAATCCTCTATCTCAAGAATAGTTTGCGATAGAGAAAAACTAGCGGTCGCCCTGTGCGATGCATGGAATTTGCAATATCCTGCAATGCAACGGCCACAACAAATCCCACTCCCACCACCGTCCCTACCCTAATCCCATTCTAACATTAGTAGAAAAATATGTATTAATCTACTAAATTGATGTTTTAAATAAACTTAGAAGTAAAGTAGTTGTTAAAGATAATAAGAATTCAAATGTGAAGTAGTTATCCAAAAAGTTAGAAGTAATTGCATAGGCCACATGGAAGAATTCAATTGGAGGAGACCCATGTATTACTATTAAATAATTCAAAATTAGGAGAAAATAGGATTTAGGGAGGGAAAGCTTCTTAAGCTCTCTTTCTCCTAAATTGATGCTTACAGTATACAGTATAGATGAGAATAATGGAAAATAGATAACAAGGCCAAAAGCTAAGGTAGCGTTTAGTAACGTTTTCGTTTTTATGTTTTTTTTAAAAAAAAACATAGAACAAGTTTTTGTTTATTCTGTGATAAAAATTAAAAATATAAATCATGTTTGGTAATTATTTATATTTAAAAATTTTAAAAATTAAAAAAAAATATATGTTTGGTATTATAATAGTGTTTTCATAATGCATTGTGATAATTTTGATTAATTTTTTAATGCCACATACATCTCCACCCACCCCACCCAGCCACCATCGCCACCACCAATCCCACCAAAAACCCAGCACCACCACCCATGTTTAACCACCTAACCCATATTTTTACCCACCACCAAAATCACCGAAAATCCACCATCACCACCCCTGTTTAGCCACAGTCCAACCCACCCCCAAAATCAGCGAAAACCCACCACCACCATTTCTGTTTAGCCACCACCCAATCCACCACCAAAATCATCGAAAACCCACCACCACCATCCCCTCTGTTTAGCCACCACCCAACCCACCTATTTACCCACCACCAACACCACCTAACCCACCTATTTACTTACCACCACCACCCCTGTTTAGCCACCGCCCAACCCACCAACACCACCTCTGTTTAGCCACCACCCAACCCACCTATTTACCCACCACCAACACCCTTGAAACTCACTACCAAAACCCCTGAAAACACACCACCAAAATCACTGAAAACCCACCACCACCACCGCTATTTAGCCACCACCACCGAAAACCCAAACTAAAAAAAAATAATTCCACTGAGGGGTCAGAAGAGAGAAAGAGATCCATGGAGATGGAGATGGAAAGAGATCAATGGAGATGGAGATCGCTGGGCTGAGTTGATCGATGGAGCTTTCTGGCTTCAGATACAAAAAGGGGTTAAGAAATGTCTTTTTATACTTGAAACAAAAAAAATACCTATTGTGTTGTTAATGAGGTTCGAAGACGAGATCTCATTAATTGGGGGTGAGAGGACGCACATGTTTTCGGTTTCCCTTGTTTTGAAAGCACCTAAATAGGTGTTTTAAAAAACGGGGGTTGTTTACAAAACAAATTGGCCAAAAAAAAAAAAAAAAACGCCCCGAACATGTTTTTTTTGTAAAAATTAAAAACAAAAACAAAAAAAAAATGAAAACAAGCTGTTACCAAACACAGCCTAAATGTGCAAATATCCTATCGCGAATGTTACAGTTTCAAACTTCTATCCATTAAAAGCACTTAAATCACAAAAGAATGAGCTTAATAAAACAAAAAAGTTAAAGATAAACAGTACCGGCACCTTTAAGAATTGCTCTCCTCTCATCATTATAGTGGAGAATAAATGCAGCCCCAGCAAATCCACAAAGTACAGCAGTTGGCTGAAGGAATTAAAAAGCTTAAAAGTTCAAAAGAAATTGAAAATGGAAAAGGACAGGGAAACACAGTGTCCCAAAGACCACATCTCAAGAAGAACAGTACAACTTTACAATTTAAGGAATTCCACAGGGTCAGAATGTATAAGATTAGCACAACTAATATGACGATGGATCTTTTTTTACATATAGATGATAATGAACTAAAAGGTAGCATACCATTATGTAAGATCTCCATGAGTGAGAAGTTGGAGTTTCCTGAGGCTGCAAAGGAGGACCATTTCTGCATTTTGATGATCTCAGATAGCTGGAACTATGGACATTCCTACATGCAACACCCCTACACAAAACTTAGTCAAAAGGACAATTGTTATTGACCTGATACGTTATGAATTCTATAATTATATGCATGTTAAGTTATCTTGCAAAAAGTAGGTCCTACTTGTTCACAAACAAAAGCTTTGATCATAATCCCCACGATGCTTTGTCAACTCTTGCCTCCCAAATAAACAAGTAAATGTTTGCTCACAGAACATAGACTCATCCACATGATCAACTCTTATTAACATATCATGAATATAATTGAAATATGGCTTTTGAATGCTTAGAATTTTATCTCTACATATGCAAATTGGCTTCCTCAATTTAAATTTCCCACAACATATCTCTATCATACACCATTTTGGAATGAAGTGCCACATCATATAAATGTCATTCATGGAACTATGTTGAAAAGTAGGTCTTCATCCCTGAAATTCTACAAAAACTGACGATCCCTACCCAAGGGTTCCTAGTTCTATAGTCACTAAATGCTCTATCATTCTCTCATTAAAGGTATCAAATGAAGGCATGTTCTCTTCAATGCTTTCTTTTGGAGAGGCAACGTATCCTATCTTCAGACTAAACATTTTCTATTGATCGAAAGCCGAAGACCAATAAATTCATGTTGATTTTGGAAAAGTAGTACCAACTTTTTTGTTTGCAAATGTAGTGCCAAGTTGGAATCATCCAAAACCCTACTAATTGCCACCATCATTTATCAATAACTTAAGGGTACAAGCAAAAAATGTGACATCAGGCAGATGGGAGGAAGTCAGGACCCCCAAACCTTCTTCACAACGAAATCTACATAACCAGATGGAAACAACACCGCAAAGAATGATCTTGCTGATAACAAATAATCGGGACTATACATTTTCAAGGAGACAAACAAAGCTTCCAAAAAATGGAGGCAATACAGCCAACAAAGAACGTAAGTGAGCTATATCTCTAGGCCACTAAAACTTATCTACCACAATTTACATAAACACCAACAGAGTTAAGTTGTTCTGAAACTGTAACATCAAAGAAGAATCATCACATCCTAAACTTGTCAATAGACAACCCATGACCGATGCACAACCCCCAAAAACCCTTGCTCTAAAATAATTCAAGACCTTCACAAAGATATCCACGTCCCAACAAAAAGAAAGGACAGCCTCTAAATGTGAATCACTAATATACCTCCTCCATAAATCTCAACTAAGCTCAATAAGTTCCATGTGCTTACCATTTTAAAAGTCAGTTAGGGCAGACAAAACAAGGATAAGTCATATAGATCATCTCCCACTACATCTTATAATTTGTTAGAAAGCATATTTAAAAACATCTATATAATAAAGTAGTTAGATTGTTTGTCTTGAACATTTTACGGCGCAGATCGTTTGAGGATTATTAATCCGACAATCCTAATTAGATTTTCATTCTTTTTACAACTCTAAGACTCTTATCTCTCATATAACTCTCTCTCTCTCTCTATCTCATATTTCACTTAAATACACACTATATATATATTAGATGTTTTAAACACACTCTCTCAAACACACACACACACACACACTCTCTCTCTCTACCTCATTCATTCACTTTTGTTAGTGAATTATGTGTTAAATGTGTATTATTATTTTCAGTGTTTCTTTACTCAAAGTTTGCAAATACGACATTATTGCTAAATGTTGTGTTAAATGTGCTATTGTTATTTTCAATACTTTTTTACTCGTACATTTGTATGATTTTATAGATGAGAAAATATTTAAATGTTAAAAAGAAATTTCTCAGGTTGTAGACATTCAAAACCAAGCTAAATCACAAAAACAAAAAAAATTCAAAGCCAAGTTAATCACCAATAAAAAAATAACAAGTGATACCAATGGCACAAAAAAAAAATATTCAAAACCAAGCTAATTACCAATAAAAAAATAAGTGAAATCAATTGCACTAAAAAAAAATATTCAAAACCAACTATAAAAAAAATTTCCCAAGTTGTAGACATTCAAACCCAACCAAATCACCAATAAAAAAAATAATAAAGCCAAATTTGAGTAATTTTATAGAATGATAAATATTTGAATGTTAAATTTTTATTTTTTTTTGTTCAGGTTGTAGACATTCAAAACCAAGCTAATAACCAATAAATAAATTCAAAGCCAAGTAATCACCAATAAAAAAAAAAGTGAAATCAATTGCACCAAAAAAACAAAATAAATTCAAAGTCAAACTAATCACCAATAAAAAAATAACAAGTGATACCAAAAATAAATTCAAAGTCAAGCTAATTACCAATAAAAAATAAGCAAATGATTGACTTTATAATTATGTTATGTTATTAGGTTGGATGGTAACACAATGGTGATAAATTCATATGTCTTATAATTGAGAAATATTTTATTTATTGCTTAAAAATTATAAATTTATTATGTCCCATTAATATTTATTTATTTATTCTGAGGTATTTGTATATGTGATGTTATTTTAGAAAGTTTTTTATACATTTTTGTGATAGTTCTATTAATATGGAGGATATGATCGACAGTATATTTCAAGTCATTTTAAAAGAATTGATATGAATATTTTTGGGTCATTTTCTTTTTCAAGTGGGCAATTCCTTGCAATTTTTTTATGTGTTATATAGTGCATTCTGGCATGGATAAAATATAGCAACAATTACTAAAGGAAAAGCGTCTGAGGAATAGATTGGTCATGACAATAATATTCTTATATCTACATATACAGATTTATCTACGAGACATACGCATTTACAGATATCTCATGGTCTTCACATTTTTGTATCACTATTAAACACAATAAACCAATAACTTTAATGTTACATCTATCGTTTGTTGTTGTAAATGATGTTGATCCCGATTCCTGCATAATACAACTCAACATATAAAAGTTACCCTTTCTTGCCGCCTTGTGCATGCCATGTCTGTGTCCCTTGTTTCTCTTTCCATGGTTCACAGACCTTAATAAGGAATCAAATGAATTGAAGCCAGAGGTTGGACTCACTTAAAACTACTAAGTCCATTCTCCCCATTGCAGGCAGAGCTCTTCAAGGCCTTAGTCACATATAAATCCCTCAATTGACCAAAACCTCCAACTTCCAACACACCCCAAAGGATTGAATGGGTGTGCACCAGAAGCAAACATTGTAATTTCCTAGCTGGAAAGTGATTTAACAGAAGAATCCAAACAAAACTAAAGTAATCCCCTCCTCCCGTGCAACTAAAACAATCCCGCCAGCGAGTAAAAAAAAAAAAAGAAAGGAGAAAAAACCCTATGCACCCACTCAACCTAAAATTATTTTCAGTGAATGAATAAATTCAACAGAACTGAACTACATCCCTTCTATCAACACCTTTGTAAGTTTCCCAGCAGAGATTCAGTACAGAAGTTGTAAAATTACACCAGATTAAACAATACATGTGAACCTCATAAATCAAAATGTCAACAGTCATATTCAGTTCAAAAATGTCTGTAAATTTATACACCCACTTCACATGTAATGTGAAAGCAACATTTCAGCAATCCAGATTCAAGTTGCAGCCTCTCAATTGCCCATAGAACAATCTGAACAAACAAAAGATGCCACACAAGTCACCCACGTAGACATAGGTAATACCCAGCTAACATCTCCACACAACCAATACTACAACAGAAAAAACAATATAATGAAATTTGTAGAGATAATCACACAGATAAGAGATAGACCATATGAATCTCCAACATATTAAGAGGCAGACCATATAAAAATCTATACTATATAGTGTCTAAGAACACTCGGGGACTCTGTAGGCCGGTTCTTTAAGGAGCAAAAAAGAAACCTTGACATTGGCATTGCTTTGTTAAACTAATATAAGCATGGCAAACCATAAAACTGAACTATGGTTGAGGGGTATCTCAGATGTTCATTGTTTAAAGGAAGAAACTCCATTACTTTCTCACTATTTTCATCTTTCTTGGGCATTATTACAAAGACGGGGTTTAATCAATAAAGTATGGATACTTCATTAATGTCAACACATCTGTATCGGATGGTACTCAAGGATACGTATTTAATACACACCAAATGTATCCAATAATAAATAAAATATATAAATACTTCTATATACGGAGAAGTATATATAATTTTTAGTTTTAATCTTTACCCTTTCCTTTTGATTTCACATACACCGCAATATATCAACAAAAAATCATATCACTTGGAAAGACACGTGGGTGTTTTCCAAGGATTATCCATTATCGCATGACCAAAGAGTTTAAATGAGTTGATTGCCGGATAAACTTAGCAAAAAATACTTCTAAGCAAACAATATAGTTAAATGTTAGTTCTTATTCCTTTACGTTCACTTTGTAAACGTACCATAGTGAGGCGAAAGGTAACTTTTTGAAAATAAAAAATTGTTAATGTTGTTTATTATTGTTAAAGAATTACTAAAAATTATAGCATTAAGTCATTACATAATAGTAAAAATATATATTTATAGACGTATCACGACCATACCCGTATCTTATTTTTTGAGAATTTCATAACGATATCTCGTATCTGTATCTATGCTTCTTAGGGTTTAATGGAGCCAATATTCATCTTTCACAGCCGAGATTCGGCATGAATGTCAAAAAATTGCGTGAAAATGTCTAAAATGTCATAAATTACAATTGCAGCAGCCCCATTCAGGTCTAAAATGTCTCCAAATTTATATGCCCACTTCACATGTAATGTAAAAAAGCAACATTTTACCCATCCAGATTCAAGTTACAAACAGTTCCTTTCAATTGCACATAGAGTACTCCGACCAATAAAAAAAAGATGTAACAATGGTCACACACGTAGACATATGAATTAACCAGCAAATATCTCCACACAAACTACAATAAAAAAAAACAAAATCAAACAGATAAGAGATATACAATATGAATCTCAAACATATTAAGAGACAGACCATATTTATGTATAAAAACTCACCGGTGTCTAAGAAGATTCAGGGATTCTGAAGAGCGGTTCTTTAAGGAGTGAAAAAGAAACCTTGACATTGTTTTGGCTTTGTAATACATATACAAGCATGGTAACCCAAAAGAGTGAACGTTACGGTTTGTGGGTATCTCAAATTTTCATTGTATGCATCATCTTAGAGACGGGGTTTAGTAAACTGTTACACACATGGCGAGGAAGATGACCGGCAACGGCGGCGTTTCGGTTTCTTATTACCCAAGAGAGGATTTTTCGACTTGTCAATGTAAACGACGCCGTATGATCACAAAAACTTACTTGTGTCGCTAGATGTTAGATGTTAATATTTTTGTATTGTGTCACTTTTAAAATGTGTCGTATTATTATTTGTATTAATAAAAAATTATTTAATTTTATAATAACTTATATAATACTATTTAAAAAATTATAAAACACTTATTTTTTATTTATAATACTTATTAGATATTTATTTTTTATATATAATACTCATTAATCGTATTGTTCATATTTAACCTTAATTTGATTCATTTATTATTCGCATCAACTAATCTAATCATTTTTGAGTTTTATATCAGATTGTGGATAAAATTGACACATCTACTTGCATGTTATTAAGGGTGTGTGTGTGTGTGTGTGTGTGAAGTTCCAACTTGCATGTTATTAAGGGGTCATCTAATCTATATTTATATCTATATCTATACTACTAATAAAAATACCTTAGCATGAAAATTTTTTGTTTTTTCTATTTTATCCTTAATTAATATAATAAACTCCATCATATCCTTTCATCTTACATTAAGCACATCAATAAATTAAATATTTATTCTATTTATTTAAACTCTAACTATTTAATATTCTATCAATTTATCATAGTTATATCAATGACCATTCTTTAAGGCCTTGAATTGAGTGTTCTTATATAAATCAAAGGTTTTTTAATTATTAACTAGCACTAAGGGTAGGAGTTTCTTCTCATTAAGAAGAGTTAAAACTGTTTTGGTTTTTTTGGACTTCTAGCTACAATCTCCCTCCTTCTCAATTATTCCATTACAACCGAAAAATCAATTTTAGACCATTGGCTTTGTGATTTTGAATAACTAATATCTTTTTACTAAAATAAAATTGTCATACATAATATCATTGGAGACTTTTCATATCAGATGTAAGGGTCACCTTACTGCATACTTTCTATCTTTATAACATTCTACCATCCATAGCAAGTTTTTCTCATCTTCTTTTCTCACTTTTCTCTCTACTCACCGATCACTTTTTTTAGAATTCTTAATCGTACTAAAAACAATATATTTTTCACATTCAATGTGCACATTGGATTCACTTCCAAAGTGACAAATATTCACTATTTCGAAATTAACTTATATTGCAAGTTGTTCTCATCTATCAGGTTAACCAATCAAAGGGAAGCTCTTTAAACCTACCATCAATCAATTTCATTTCCTATTTTGCTTTTATTTGTTATTTTTTGTTCTTCTAAATAAAACTTCAAGCATGACATTATGGTATTTGATAAGATGGAAATTCAACTTTCGTGGCTATCAGAAACTTCAAGTACTAAAAGAATAATATTTTTGCTTTCTCACTTGACAAATCAACACACCTATATATTCTGAATCAATTAATATTGCATTGAACACAAAACCATCCTCCAAAATCACAAATCTCAATTCACTGAATTTTAATTATTCTCTGAAATTTTGATAATCTAATTTCTTCATATCAATTCTTAATTTTTAGGTCAAACTTTATATTTTTAAAATTTGAAATTTTGATTACCTAACTTTAAAAATTCACTTGTAGAATTCGAACTTGCCTGATAATGGGTTATGTATATGACATGTTACCTTTTCTTCACCTTCATATTCAGTTTTTTAAGTTATTTAAAGAACGACATTGTTGTTCAAAGTTTGGCATTTCTTGATAACAACATACTAAAGCTTGATTTTTTTATTTTTTTTGTTACTCGATTTTTTATTTTATTTTGAGTTTGGGGAATCAAAGACTTTATGATGGTATCAATAAGAACTAATAGGCATCAACTACCTATGTTGGATAAAATTCAATGGGTCTATACATACTATTGTTTTTGGAGTTAGGATGTTATGCAACACAATTAGTTTGGTTGGATAATATGACAAAGTATGGAAGGCACACTCTCTTGGCTATAATACAAGTCAAATTTACTTTTCTAGCGAAAGTTTCAAAATCACATATATGAAAAATTACAATTATACTAAAAAGAAATGGAAAAAAGTATAATCCATTTCTAACTATGTGATAGTCATTAAGAATTTAAGCACTAAAAATACTCTTGCATTTTATTTTTCTCTTTTTTCCTTTGGTGCATGCTACTTTATTACTATTTTCCCTTTTCTAGCATATACTACTCAAAATGACTTGTTAAATGTGTTTCCCCTTTTTATATAGCCCTATTTTGGCACAATGTTTAATTAGTGAAGCTATGAATTGATTCGAGATCAAGGGGGAAGAAATATTAGATACAATCGTCAGTTCTTTTAGAGTTTATTTCTCATAAATCTATACTATTTTAAAATATTAACATATATAAAAAATATTTGTTTTTCACTTTTATCCTCCAACACTACAACTATACCATGTTTATCATCCAGATTTAATGTCACAATTTATATCTATATTGGTGTCATATTAATTACCCTCAATCAATTGTCTATACTTGCCAGACTAATTACTCTCAATAATTACTATAACTGATAGTCTCTTCTTATTCAACAATTCTCCATTCACAATCCATCATCTTTTCAGATTCCATTTCCATTTTCTCTTCCAAATTAAAAGGCCCATCATTAAGAGGAGTCATTTGACTCTCATTTCTTCCACAAGTTAGCTCTTTTTCCGTACTTCTCATTGTCATTTACCACATATTTCAATTGGTTACCAATACTAACACATCTTCTTTGGTTACGGGTCTCATTGAAGAACCCGATCTCCGGTCTATCTCCAATGGTTCAATTATCTTACTAATCCCCAACAACTACAGTTCACTGTGATATAGTTGAATTAAACAACTAATATACCGCCTATTATTGTTGACAAAGGGTTTTTTATTGGGGTTTTTTTAAGAAAATTTTCAAAATCTACTGATGGGATTCTTGTTGATTGTTGTGCATGTCAAGTTGGACTACGGGTTCTACGAAGTGGATATTCGTCTTCCAAATTTTCTGATGCCTTTGATCTTCAATTGCAATTATGTGGTCAAAGGACTCATGCCATCAACCCCTATCATTACATATATTTATCATTTGATCAGATAGTAGTGCATCAACATGGGAACAAAGTTAAATTTATACATGAGTTTTTTCTTATAATCTCCTATGTGGAAATATTAATCTATCATATTTTTTGGGTACTTATATTTGTTGTCTTCCATGCTAAAGACAAAGCTTGAGGCCATAATAATGGAGACATTGACAAGAGCTTAAGAGAATACAAAGCTATCTTTGACCAATTTGATGGTCTGCATATAATAAACAGAAAATTATAACAAAATTATGACAACCATTTGAGATATTGTATTATTAGTTCAATTCAATTTAATATTTATGTGTGTGCACTTGCACGTATGTGTTTTTATGTGTAGTAAGGGATCAAAAATCAGTAGATAGGTTGACAATTTTGTTTAGATTATGGGAAACAACAGACTCACCAATGTGGAAATGCAAAATATAATTTAAATACTTTTTTTTTCTTTTTTATTTCTCTTCATTTGGATTCTTATAAGAATATAATGATGTATTTTAAGAAAATAAAATAACTGAGACTCAATCCTAAGTTATGTTCGCGGACCCTTGTCCTTCATTTCCATTTATCTCAAAACTCCTTACTAACCGAAGAAATTAAATTTTATGTAAATAACTAAATGCATGGACAAATATTTATGTGTGTGCAAGCATATGTGTGCTCTTCTATGTGTAGTAAGGGATCAAAAAAATTGTCAAATTAGCAAACTCATTCAAACATACTTTGTCATTCATTGAATTTTTTTTCTTCCATTTGTGTCTTGTTCAAAAAGTCATATGCATTGGTTTTCCTCTACTAGCCATGCTATGCAAAATTATTAGGTACTTGATAAAGTATACCCGAATTTGTGGTGTGCATGTGTGTCAAAAATTGATATAGGGTTGAGCCTATTTTCTTTGATCCCTTTTGCAAATATAGATTCGATATTTAGTTCAAATTTTGTTGGAAGCTAAGTTTTTATGTTACAAAGAACAAAAAAAATTTATCAAGTTGAACACTTTAATTTGAAAATGGTGCACGTGCAATGTATGCGCATCAACTAATAGATTAAAAAGAAGAGTCCATTGCACCAAACTTTCGGTACTATAATGTTTGAAAATTAGCAAACATATACCGCAGAATCTCTAAATCTACATAGATATAAAGAAATGCATATAACCTGAACCTCTCTGAGATAAGTATGAAGTTATTCAAATCTCTGTGCTCTTGTAAGTTCCACAACTATTCCACTGGGCTACGCTACAAAATCCAGTAAGAGAGAAGAGAAAGCCAACACACAATTTGATTCTCCCATGGAGATTAGGAGATAGGTGTGATCTAAGAAGCTGGATATAGACTTTGAACCATCTACACTTCTTTAGAAAGTAGACTCTTAGCTTTCATCTTGCTGATAGCTCTTGCAGGGTTGAGGCTTTTGGGGCAAGTGGCTGTACAGTTCTCTATCGTCCTGCATCGGAATAAACGCCTTTCGTCCTCCGTCAATGACTGCAGTCGCTGCTCTGTGAAATCATCTCTGCTGCCAACAAAGATTAATGCATAAGAGGCCTCTCACTCGTTATCTGAAGTGACGTACACCATCACCACTAATATAAGATCAAAAACTTTCAAGTCGATGCTTTAACATGACAAGAAATTCAGGATATACAAACTCAAAAGTAGCACGACCCATAAACCTGAACAATAAACAGAATAAAAGGTATATAAAATCTAATTTTGATATGACAAAACCGTTTAGGTAGTAAAATGTTACATGTATTGGCCCAAACACAACATGAGTAACAAAAAAGGTTGGGTTAATTGGTATAACAAACATGATTAATCAAACAGGTCGGGCTAGTTAATACTTGATAAGAATCCAAAGTGAAACACATTGAACATGACTCCATTACAATTCTACACGTAACAGGCTACTCTCAGTTAGCATAAATTAGCTGCTCATTGCCTTCATCAGTTTAACTGTTAGTAAGGGGCTGATTGCCTCTGTTTAAACACTTGGGGGACCTTCGTTTGGAGGGGAAAAAAAAGGTCAAGTAAGGGTAAATTTCAAGAAGAGACCTGTCGGAGATCCAACGATAAGCCTGGAGCAATGTTGCTGGTCCAAGGAACTGCTCTGGGTTCCACCAATATGAAGGGCATGAAGAGCTGCAACAAGCACACAGTATGCACTCATATAGTCCATCTAGTTTCTTCCTCTCCGCTGGCGTTTGCCTGAATTCACGACCATCCGGAGGGGGCTACTTTGTTTTGAGCCAATGCTCCATCAACCTGCACCATGATGATTTAAGAATATATCAGAGAGAATGGAAGTAAAGATGATCTTTTTAACTTGATAATATAATGGCAGGAATGGAGGGAGCCAGGGGGTAATGCCTCCCTCACCCCTCAAGTTCTTCAAAATTATGAGTTATAGCCCTAAAACAATGTTTCGGATCGTAGTTACATGGTTCACTCAAAGTTTTAAAAATTGCACTTCGTAACCTTAACTTATTATGATCATGATTTTACTTTACAAGTCAATTACTGATTTGAACATATAATCCAATTAACCATTTAAATTTGAGATATTTTGCACAAACCATTAATTTTTGTTCTCCGTCAATTGTCAAATTTTGAACGAAAATGGTACGCGAGGTTATTTTGAATGATTAATGAGACAATGTAGTTAAACTCCTAGTTGATAGGTAAAGCAAAATCAAGAGCAAAATATATGATTCACTCAAACCCTACACATATAAGATCCAAAGCTATGTAGAATATGTATGCAAGATATCGGCACACAATCTCGTTTTGTTCACTTTTTCGCACTTTGCGAAGGCATGATAAAATTTACCAATGCTCGAGTGATAATGTTACGAAATTGAACTGAAATAATTGATCACTATTTGAAGAATTGGTCCGAAATTTTTTATGTGTAGTTAATTTGATAAGTCGGAACTAGTATTTTTGTTTTTTACATGAAATTCTAGTTTTGTCTGAGATGGACAATGTACTAGAGTGTATCCAGTGCACAAGACTCTCACAATTACAGAATTTGGGGAGAGTTGGATATACGCAGCCTTACTTTTACGAGGTTATTGCTGCGACTCAAATCTGTGACCTCTAAGTTATAATAAAATAACTTTACCGTTGCGCCAATCACAAATATTGAATTAGCAAATCAATACATGGCAGGTGATGATCTTAAGGATAAAAATGATAAAACTAAAGGAAGGGATTAACTATAAGTTGATCATGTTACTTGTACTGGTGGAAGAAATTGGTGAGATCAACAACCAAATCTTTGATCACAAACATGTGTGGCAGAGGAGTAATTGTTGTAGCCTTAGAAGTGTCTGTGTCAATGGGTTTGAGGCATGCCACTGTGTTAGTCCCATCTATGTTCATTGCACATGACCCGCATATCCCCTCCCTGCATGGCCTCCTGTGGCTCAAGCTTGCATCGTCCCTGCTTTTATCTTCTGTAATGCATCCAAAACCTGCAAAAAAATAATTACAAGTTACATTATTCATGCAAATTCGAAATAAACCCGAACAATTACAAACTTGAAAATAACATGGATCAAATTCGTGTTAGATATGAACAATTTATTATTTTAACATGACTAATGGGTCAGTATTAGACACAAAGAGACACTATTATTCTAAAGGATCGATACGACTTGATCGTGATAACTGATATGACACGACTAAGAGTAAAAACTCTGGATGAAGGGCATGTGGTGCTTTGTTAGGGGATTACCATAGGTCCACAGATGGAGAGGTCCACAAAATAAGACTGGAGAAAGGGCTTTAGGTTTGGGTTTTCTCGGCTCCATCTGTAGACCTTGAACTCCTTTTTAAGAGCTTTGATACTCTCTTTGAGATTGTCCTGTGACTCCACAACTGCCTCTGCATGTTCTTGTGCTGCAGGGTGGCCTTCTAGTATTGGAAGGTTTTCCTTCTTTGGGCTTGTTTTGTTCAGCAAACTAGCCACCTTCTTGTATCCTTCCCCAACAGACCTCCTCTTTGACATCTCTCTCTCTCCCACTCTTTTTCCTGCTAGTGTGTCTGCAACATGTATTATTATATGTATGGCAGAAACAAAAAGAGAGATGGCCATTCCATGCAATATACACACTCTCTCTCTCTCTCTCTTCTTCCTGTGTTTTTGCAAGATTTTCTTTGTTTTTCAATGCAAAGTTGGGTTTAGGGACACCTGGTTGCATGATTGAATACTTGTTCTAGAGTTCTAGTGACATGTCACTGGCTTGCATTCCCATTTCAAGAGCAAGATTGAGTCAAGCTTGGCGATCCATTGGACCATTGGTCAAGTAACAAGTGGAGAGCCGTGGAAAGGCTAATGGGCCAATGGATAGGATAATGGGTCGGTGGTTTTTCGGCTTGCCGGGCTGGACAACCTTGCCCAATTGAGTCTCTAAATGTAGCCCATCTCCTAGCACCCGGTCCATCAATCCACCAAATTGTTTTTTTCTTTTTTTGGTCAGTAATTCAACAAATTTCAAATATTCAAAAAAATAGATTAACTCAAAAAATAAAAAAAATATGAACAACATACCCATTAAGACCAACTAGGGGTGTCAAAATATGATTCAACTCTTTAACAAGATACGAAATTGGAAGATTTGAGTCTTCATTAAGTTTTCCATTTTGTAAATGAATGAACCCGACATGATATGATTAATAAACGAGTCAGGTATAGATGAAGTCAATTAAAAAAAAAACACGACACTACTTATTTATATATAGGTTATACACGATTCATACAATACGAATTAATAAACATATCGAATATGAGTAGAGTATTTTTTAACTCGAACCCGCTAAAATCCGACACAGACCTGCCTCATCAAACACGGTTGACGGGCCTAAGACCAACCCAATAAGTAACCCGTTAAAGATCCAGTAACAACAGACATGATAGGCAGGCCATGGGCGGCAATTGAACGGTTTTGGTAGGGTAGACCCAATCCGGCCCATACCGTTAATGATCTTTACTGTGAATGTTCCAATTAGTCAAACTTGGTAGTTACAATTGTGGTCCAATATATATCCAGTTAGCTGTATTGGAATTTTCCATATTTGGTATTTAATACTTGAATTTTGGACCCGACAAACGACTTATTTCTATATTTTTTTTAGTAGTTAGGTTTGGTCAAACAATAGCTAAATTTATGCTAAAATCAAAGTTGCTCCCAACAAAAGTGTTTGAAGATAGAGATGAGACAGACCGTTTTAAAATATTTGTTATTGAGGCATATAGGAGGCACCATTGATTTCCATTTACTTATTTATTCAAGGAAAAAAAGATTCAAGAAAATATTTGGATCAGTTCAGTTGAAAATCTCAGTGCCAAGCTCCACTTCTTTGTATTTTAAATAGGATCCTTTCTTCATCTTTTTTTAGTTCAATGATCTGAAGTGTTTGAACTAATTTACGCGCATTTTGACTAATTTTTTTTCCAATCTCGTAAAAAATAAGTTATCCACACCAGAATTAGGATATTAATAAAGGATAAATCTCACACGAACTGGCCTAAAAAGATTGTCAATAATCGAATTTAAGACGTTTGAGTTTAACAACTCGGCTCTATTACCACTTGAGCTACCCTTAAAGTTAAATAGGATCCTTTCAAAGAACATAATTTATAGTCTATCGCATGCATGCACGGTTATCCCTGGGAAAGGGTTAAGATGTGGTAGCCCACACCCGTTCAAAAATGATCTTTGGGTTAGTCCGATCCAAAAACTATCCACCCATGAATCAAGTGGATCATGCCGATGTTAATGGCCCGCCCAGCAAATACACCTAAAAACCTACCAAAATTAAATATTTAAGTTGGAAAGTTACATATATAAGTGATAAATAATTATAAACATATAATTTTACTATCTAAAAAACCCTGAGCTGGCCCGGTCCGACTTGTGATAAGATCCGAAGCTCGGCCCACTTGACTATTTCACCGGAGGAGACCTGGCCTCTAAAATGGCAGTGTAAAAGGAAAACTAGTGGAGACTAATTCATTCCGACTAATGAAGAAACTATCCGTTCTTTCCATTCATATGTGATGTAGTTGGGAAGTGAAGGCTGCTATAATGTTCTATTGTGTAGGAATATTTCTATAAGATGGATGATGGGTCAAAAGCATGTAAACAATATTTATGTTACGTTCGTTGAACAATTTAACACATTCTAGAAGGATTAAGGATGCTTTTAATGAAAACCACACTTAGTATTTTTAAAACTATGTCCTTCGAAACACAAACCACCTAGTTATTTATTCAAACATGCTCCCTTGCTTGCGACTCTCGTACAAAACAGAACTTTCCTAATTAGTGTGATGGGAATAAGATCCTGTTAATTGATTTCTATGTTTCTCAATGAAGGATAGAAGACTTATAAACTTAAAGGTCATGACTACGGTACTGAAGGAGGTAGGATAACAAAATTTAAAGGTAATTAAGAGTTAGTTACAACTTATACTAATATAATACTCAACCGGGTCGAGTTAATTAAAAAAAAAAAAAGGTTTTCATTCCCAAAAGCATATTAAGTGTCCTAGTCGGACCAATAACTAAAAATAAATAAATACTACGGTACAAAAAAATTAAATTTCCATAAGCATAAAAAATACCTTAAAGTATAGTAACTTCTACCCACAAAAGTGGTAAGTGAACTCAAAAGTTAGTAAACTCTACGCAAAAGATAGTACATATAAATATACGAAAAAATGATAAATAGTATGGTGTAAAAAATAAAATAAAATGGGGTACCATAGTCAAAACCCTAACTAAAATAACTTTCTTCACGAAAGTCCAAGCATGTGATAAGAAAACCATTGAATGACCTTTGAAGCTTCAATGATCTTGGTGTGCGGGGGGGTTTGGGTGTGTGCAAGTGTTGACGGATTCAGGCTTGGTCTTTTTAAAAATCTATCCTGACTGTGAAATCCGTGATCCTACTCCAAGGTTACCTCTCAAAAACATTTTCCTTCGTAAAAATAGGTATATTATATTTTGACCCTTTCAATTATCCTCTTCTGCACATTGCTCCCACAATTGTCTAGTTTTTCTTTTTTCTTTTGCACCCTGAAAGTTAGCTGTTTAGTTCTTCATATTGTACTTCTACTTTTTTTTCTTTTTTTTTTTATGTTTCAACGGTCAGGGATATTTGAGCGAACTTACTCATACATCGATTAATCCATTCTCTGGTCTGGTCAAAGACAGATCATTCACGCCGAGATTAGAGTATTCATGATGGATAAATTTCTCATTACGTGATCCAAAAAAGTTTATAAGATTTGAATACAAGACGTTTAAGTTTATATTTGCTGCCACTTGAGCTATCCCTTGATATTCTTGAGTGAACTATATGATGAGTGTATTTGAATATGTGAATAATTTATCAACTAACATATTAAACCCCCCCCCCCCCCCAACACACACACACACACACACACAAAAGATTCAAATCCTAGCAATATTCAAATCTTTATTAGTATCCAACTAAACCTATTGCATAGCCTATCACTTTGGATGAGAAATGGCATCAGTTCATCCACCAGACTTTATATTTTATTTTACTTTGTTTAAAAATTTAATGACATGTAAATATTTTTTCTCAAGATATAAGGCATTTTCGATTTTGGGACAATATAAAAGAAATTTAATCAGTTACGGGAACAGTGTAAGAAACACAATGCAATGGAGTAAAGTGAGATCAGAATCATATAGTTTCACTAATTGAGGAGGTATAGTGTAATTTGTCCTAAAAGTAATTTAGTAGTTGAATGCAAATTACTCAACCACGTCAAAAAGAGGAAAAAACGAAGTAGAAAATTTAAGTGGTGTCTAATCACCCATGTAAGAGATGTAAAACTTAGTATTGCTTGTTGGGGTTAGGTAAGCTTTGATTTAGAAAATTCAAATGGCCCTTGTTAATGATGGTTGCGTGTTGTTGCAATTTGGTGTTTTATTGGCTTAAATGAGGAGTTTGGTTGACACGATTAGGATGCTAATTTGTGTCATGTTAACTAATTATAAAAGAACTTTAAAGTAACAAGACACGTAAACATGGAAAATAAACATAAGATTAGTGTCAATTATGAATGATTCTATTTGGCATGATGATACATTGAATTGGCCGTGTATGAAAAGAAATTCTTATTTTTGACATATTTTCCATCCGCTAATTTAATATTGCACGAATCCTTGTAAATTAGAGAATTTTTAACTTGGTTTTGTTAGTTTTAGATCGAGTTGATCTAACCCCATTGGTTTAGAGAGAAGGATGACCCTAATTTTGTTTTTAGTACATAGGTTGTACATAACGACTCAAATATGACACCATTAGAAAAATAAGTGGGACTAATACTAAATCATATGACATAATTAATTGGATAGTTTCGCTGACGATTTGAATAGTATTCCGTATAAATCAAAATGACACAATTCAAAAACGATACACACCACTCAATTGGTACTCCTTGCAAACCTAAACAAGGGTTTGCTTGCAGCTTAGCGATGCATGACATTTACCTGACGTATAAGCAGCTGTATGCAACAATAGTTAGGTATGATAGTATAAGGTTTTTTTTTATAAGAGTTCTTTACAATATAAAAACTTTATACATCTTTTTTTAATTGTTTTATATTCTCAAATACACATCCTTCATAATTTCATGTTGGAAAAGATTTACAGCTATCACACATCTCCAATAAGCATCCATCTTTTTGGCTGTTTGGATTCTAAATGAGTGGTGAAAATAACATTGGAGCAGAAATCACCAAAAAAGAGTAGAGAAAAAGAACAAAGAAGAAAGAAAATATTCCCAATAGTGGTTTTCAAAAGAAATTCTGATTTAGAGAATATATTTTATGTGTATAAAAACGGTCTCTTTGCATTGTGTTTATAAGATTCTCTTTACATTCCAATGAGAGTCTTGCGTGAATTTTAATTAGTGTCATTGTTCATATATACACATACTTACTAAAACACAACAGAACTTTAAATTCA